ATATTTTGAATTAATTAGTTTATTTTCTTAATTATTATTTTTTTAATTTATATTTTCTCAATTATTTATTAAAAATGTTTAATTTTTTGTTTTAATTTAGCAAATCCTCTGCATAAAAATATTTGATTATTGCCCTTCCTCAAAACACTCTGGAAGCAATTGTTAGTATAAAATTAATAAAAAATTAAGATGGATGAAAAACGAGAAATTTCCAATAAAACATAATAATCCTAATTAAAAAAATTGTTTTAATAATTAAGCAGATACTAAAAATCTCATTTTAAATAGAAATTATCAAATTGATAATCATTAGTAATTAATAATAAATGAAATGATAGCTCTATTGTTTTTATAAAAAAAATAAGAAAATTTTATAATTGTGCTTGAATATAAAATAACAAAAAAGCATAAAATAATTATTTGATTGGATTTCTTAGTTTATAAATTATTTACTCTTATTTTGATTGTAGATTTTATAAAGAGAAATATTATTTATTAATTTTTAATTTCATTCAAATTTAATGATATTCTCTTAAAATTAATTGTATATTTAAAATAATCAATGTATTTTGATCATAAGAAATAAAAACATAAGATGGAGTCTTCTTCACATAGATGCTCCCTATTCTAACAGGGTAATTATACAGTTTTATATCTTTTAAGATAATAAAATTTGTGATTATTTTCTCTTAGATTATTTAAAACGTCCCGTTATAGTTATCAAGATTTTTCGATTGATCTCAATTAAGGTTTCAAACATTAACAAAAATCTTAATAGAGAAGAAAAAAAGGTTCAAGAATAAATTATATATATTTGAAATTTATAGGGTATTTATATTTAAAAATTTATGCTTTTAAATAATAATTTTTTAAATCATAAAACCTGAATATAATTATCTTTGATAGCACAAAATTTTATGGAAGTATTTTAAATTAGCTAAGAATAGATTTTGAGAATAAAATATAAATTTAATTAGGAGAATGAAATAGTCATAGATTATAATAAATAATTTATATATTCTTTAGACTATTGAATAAGTGTCTAATTTATCTTCTAGATTATATCAATCATAAAATTATTTACTTGATAAATTTAACAAAATAAACACAAAAAGATGATGAAAATACTTAATTAATTATTAATTAGAAATAATCTTAAATATTTTATTCTAATTTTTTTAATGAAGGAAAATAAGGCAAATTCTAATGTATATTCAATGAATAGATTTATTTAATATATTCAATAAAACTGTAAAATTGATGAGCAAGCACATTTTTCCTAAAATATGATTTAATCACACTATTTTCTTGCTCGGTTTTACTAAACATCATTCATTCGTTTCAAGTTTAGCTAGATGTGATTAAATTTTATAAATAAAGTGTCTATTTTTCTTATTAATTTTATATAATAAATAAATAATATGAAATTTAAGTGTTTCATTAAGCGATTGATATATAATAAGAAATTTTAGTTTTCTTTAAAAAGTATTCATCTTGGTTGTTTGGTTTTTCTGGATAATTAATAAATTATTATGTTAACTAAAATTAACCTCATAAGAGTAAATTCTAAAATTAAACATTATCATGAATATAATAAGATTATTACTAATTTGAATCTTCTTTTACTTTAATTTTCATGTCAAAGACTTGTTAATAATAAAAATTTTATTTTATCGGGTTTAACTCTTCTAAATTATATTTTTAATTATGTAAGTAAGTTTAAAGTAATTGATCATATTTATTAACAATTAATTGTTCTAATCTAAGAATAATATTTACAATGTCAAATGCAGAATCTTTATAAGTTGTTTTAATCACTTAATTTTTTGTTATTGTTGGTATAAATGATAATTATTCAATAACTTTATTTCAAATAAACTTAGTTTAAGCCTAAATTAATATTTTTTGTCATTCCAATAAAAAATTAATCAATTCATTATCATGTACAACAGTGTTTATATTAATAAAGAATAAAAAAAATTATAATAAATTCATTTGATTCTATCAACTAATAAACCTTAAATTCAAGTTTTATTAATGATTTATTTTAAAAAGATTCAATTTGAATTTCAAACCTATTCAAATTATCAATTTACCACATTAAATTTCTTCGATTTTTTTATAAAAATAACTTCAAAAGTGGTTTAATTCTTGAAATAACATAAACTTTTCAGATTATACCAATATTTGTTCTAAATTTTACTTTTTTAATATCTCAGCTCAACATTGTAGATGATAAGATTATTTTATCATACTTCTGCGATGATGGTAATTCAATTTGTTTTCAAGTATGAAATATTTAAAATATCAGGATGCCTTTCAATAGAAAATTTCTAAAAAAATACCATAGAAACCTAATACTAGTATTTATTCTGATAATTTATTTTTTTACGTTTTATCTACAGAATAAGATGCAGATTATTCTTAATACAATTTTACTAAAAGTATAAGCTCAACTTCTTAAAATTCTAATATTTATTCAATTTGTTAAAATTCCTAAAATTAGTATATGAAAATGTAAAAATTTTTCTACACCCACTTACCTTCGCAACAAAAATAATGGCTCAATTAAATTAGAGAATGTAACCACTTTTTAATAAAGCTTTTTTTCAATTAAAAAGTCTTCAAGAGTCTTAAATTATAACTTTATATTAAGAGAGAAGACGAAAGATTCTTACTCTTAATTGTACTTTTTAATATTGAATAGAATTTAAAATAAAATTTATTTTTTGGTTAAGGCATATTATATTACTATTCTTTGATTATAGAAAATTATTTCTATGAAAATTAATTTGTAAATTATATAGCAATTTTTGCAGTCAGTAATTCATCATATATGATGGCACAATATTATTTTATAAATTAAAGCCAGATTTTAACTGGATAATATGATAGCTAAAATCTGTTAAATGATACTATCTAATTTATAGTTTTAGAAACATTTTTAAGGAACTGTTCTCTATATTCAAATGGAATACTCATATAGATTTTTTGTTTATAACAAAATAACTTTACAGTATCGTTTTACAATATCACTTAGAATCATTCGTTAATTAAATTAGGTTACAGTAATTTAAATTTACCTGCTTAGAATTTATTCATTAATTAGTAAAATCATTCAGGAACATTCTTGACTGTTCAAAATGATTCCATCATTTTATATCCTAGTATTACAATAAAATTAGATGAAAGTTTTACAATACATAATACTTGACTTGTTCTGTAAAAAGAAGTGGAGAAAGTATAAAAGTTGATTTTTCTTGGAAAAATGATTTTTCTTAATGTATCTATTATACTGAATTAAATATTCCGACTTTTTATTTCACATATAAAGATGGATTTTTGAATTGCTTTCTCTAATAATCATTCTTTTAGTTTTCTTTTAATATTTAGTTAAAAATAGTAAGAAAAAAAAATGGAGACCTTGATGGCAGAAATAGAGTTAAGAAAATTATATAATAAATATTTTATTCATTCATTGTGCAATATTTTTAATAAATCAAATTTAATTGAAAAATAAAGGTTAGCCTTGACTATAAAAACTGCAAATCTAAAATATTCAAAAGATTTTTTCGATATCTTTTTTTAAAATCTGACACTGTGAGTGAAATTTGAAAATAAAATTCTCCAATTTAATTTTTATTGTATAAATATTAATTTTAAAATCAAACCTTATTTTTAATATAATATTATATTATTGTTATACTTATATTAGTATAAATATAATATTTCTTCAGTAATTTTTATAAAATATATCTTTCTACTAACTTAATTCTATTTATATTATAATAAAAGTTCCTTCTCTTTAAAGAATATTTGTATTTCCTCTTAATATAATATCGTTTTTAAATATTTGAATTTTGTTAGTAATCTAAATTTGAATAGATAATGTAGATAAAAAAAATAAACATATTATTAATATGTTCAAAACATCATATTAATATGCATCAGCCTATTTGCTCAATTTTTGTAAAATATTGATTTGATACTTACTTTATTTCAAAGATACAATAGATTTTTTACTGAATGATTTAAAATTTATGTGTATAATTATAATTATGTTGAGATGAAAATTGAAAGCATCATTAATATATTTTATTATAAATAACAGACAATAATCAAAAAAGTAGTAATGAGATAAAAATTTGAAATTGAAATTAAATTTATGGTGTTTATAATATTTATGGATTTCAAAGAGTTTAGATTATATGAGAATAAATGAATTCTAAATAAAATACATATAGAAATAATGTTGATTTTTGCTGGTAATTAATAATAAATGAGAAATAATATAATAATTTTTCATTTTGAATAAAAATGAAACAAAAAAAGAATAAATCATATAAAGAGAGTTAAGAAGGTAAGGTTAGCAATTTGATAAAGAAATTGGAGAGTAATTTAAAAGTGAATGAAAAGATCAATAGTATGATAATGAGATTGGATAAATTAAAATAATAGCTTAGTGTTCAACCTTAAAGTTAATAAAATTTAAAAGAGACAATTGCATAATATGAAGTAGCAATATGTAATTATGAGGAAGAGAGAAGAGTATAAAATCTTACATTAGAAGAGAGAAACAAAATATTAGAAAATATAAGTGAATTAATACATCAGATTGAAGTAAATATAAAATATAATAATTAGCCATTGCCTGCATATAATTTAAATGAAAAGAGAATTCATAAAGATTTGAAGAATCTAAATCGAATAGAAGAGAATTTTTTGATATTGAGAACAAAATCATAAGATGAATAATTTATAGTTGAATCTTCTAGAATAATATGTTTAGTCGTTGAAAAGAAAAATAAAATAATAATGAAGATCGATAGAACAGATGATGAAAACCAAAATATGACTTATAAAATGCAATAATTAAAGATTAATGATAAAGATAAATAGGTTGAGACTCCAACTATGTTACCTGAAGAAAATTAAGATTATGGTTTAATAAAAGAGGAATAAAATTAAAGAAATTCATAATAATCATTATAAAATATAGGAGAAATAAAATAGGAATCAGAAAAGAATTTAAATTAATTTGAAACTCCAACAATAGGTAGAGATTCTGAATAAAGTGATACTAAGATGAGTAATGAAAATCTAGAAAGTTAATAAAATAATGAAGAATAAAGAAATGATAATAAATTAAATTAAGAGAAAGAATAGGTGTGTGAAAATGAAAAATGTTAAATATGTTTTGCTTAAAGAAGAAAATATGTAGCTATACCTTGTGGACATTATATTTATTGTCAAAATTGTAAAAAATTAGTTGAATAAAAAATGAAATGCTTACTATGTAGATAAAATGTATGTTAAATGTTCGAAGTATATGCATGAATTTGTTAAATATATTTAATTTTTATTATTTATAATATGTAATGCAGATAATGATAAATGATGGAAATAATGATTATTTTTTCATTTATCAACATTGACATTTCTATTAGTCTGGTTATGGTGTTTATTAATCTTATGATTATAATTAAATTTTGTTAGCAATATTAGATGAGGAAACTAATTTAAATATTAAAATATACTTTCAGTAGTTGGTTATTCAGTTTCTTGAATTGGACCTAAAAGTTTTAATGCAAGATTCTTAAAAGTAGATTAAACATTTGTTCCCTCTTTTGCTGAAACTTCATAATAAAGTAAATTTTATTCTTTTGCAAACTTTTCACCTTCTTCTGTTGTTACAGCTCTTAAATATATTAATAATTAACCTTTCTTTAATATCTATTTTATTTGCAATAAGCACTCCCAATACATCAGATCCCCTTTCTTCTCTTACATATTCAAGCCATTATTTAATATCTACAAATGTCTATGCATCTTAAATTATAATATTAAACAATACTTGAAACATCATAACATAATACAGCTGCATGGGAATCTCTTATATATGATGGAATCAATGATCTAAAACGTTCTTATCCTGCTGTATCCCATAATTACAATCTTACTGTTTTATTGTCTACCTATATACATTTTGAAAGAAAATCAATTCCAATTGTAGGCTAACATATCAAAATTTTATGAATACTTGATGTTATTATGGTATTTATTCATATACAAAACGAGCTATGATTGATGTTTTACCAACAGCTTGATTTCCAATAAATACAATTTTGAATTTAGCAAATGCTTTTGATTTGTTTGCAGAAGTGGACATTTATAATTAATTTATATTGTTAAATTCAAAATATGCTAAAATCTTTATTATTAGTACTTCTATATGCTTTAATAACATTATCAAAGCATATTAGAAATGAAATTATAGGATTAGAAGAAGTCAATTACTAAGTGATTATTAAAGTAATTGATTTTTCAGGGTATGCTCTATCCGGAGTGATTGTTAATGTTAAGTATTTGTATTTATCAATTTAGAAATGGAAATACAATAATTGGAGATAAAGATCAAATGACTGATGGAACAGGGATTGTTTAATTAACTGGAAAAATCACAAAACAATCATCTTATCAAATTACAGCTATTGCATCAACTACATTTAACGACATTTCAACATCAAGTAAAATAGATGGAATTATGGATTCAAAAGGCACAATTATATTTAATGGAAAATTATAATTCACTTAATCTGATGTTTAAGTTTAAGATATGTTTTAACGAGGATTAATAATAGTAATTATCTAATCTAATTTCAGTTAAAAACACAATCGAATTCTAAACCTCTTCCTGGAGTAAGTGTCACGTTTACAGCTATTTACTCAGAAGACAAAAAAACTAAAGAGATTAATTTCAAGGCAGTAACCAATGAAAAAGGAGAAGAAAATGTTAGATTTTTGTTACCCTCACAAAAACCTGCATTTATAATACTTTATACAGCATCTAAGAATGAATATTGGAATACCTAATAAACAAATCGTAATGCTTAAGAATTCGCATTATGGCCGTAATTATTATATTTATATCTAAAATAGAGAAAAGAAATATGAACTCCCAATAACAATCAATTTAGATCCTGGTTAATTTAAATTTATCTTAACTGCATTAGTTTAAGATTAAACATCTAAACCATTGTCTGGAGCTAAATTGTAAATAGGAGGCATGAATTTAGGATCAAACAAAGAATTAGAAGCATTAAATACAGTAAGTGGAACTGATGGAAAAATTAGTTTAACATTACCTTTAAAAGCTACTAATAAAATTCATGTGAAAGAATAAATAACAAAAGATGAATACATAGGATAGAGTCAAGAATTTGATGAGTTGTTTGATTTAAATGTAAAAAAAGATTAATTCACTCATGATTTAGGAATTATTAAATTATAAGAAGCATCAGGAGATTTATAAGTATGAGTTTAATTTTATATTATTAGATTTCTGGAACTATTAGTGATTCATCAAAATAGGTTGCATTTGTAAAAGGAGCAACTATTGTATTCACAGTATTAGATAGTATTGATCCAGTCTCAGTAATTACTGATGCTTAAGGTAAATTTAAGGCTGAAATATTTGTACCTGCTAATAAAGATTTATAATTGAAGGCCACAGTTACTGCATAAGGATTTATGACAAAAATAGCTGCACCAAGATAAATAAAAGTTTCAGCTAAATAGCCTTTGTAGATTACATTTGATGTAGTTTTGGACAGAACAATAAAAAATATAAAAATAAAAGATAAACTTGTTGATCCAAGTGGTAAACCAATATAAAATGCAATTGTAAAGATTGTAGAAAGTAATCCAATGATGCCTGATAAAACATTATATAATAAGGAAATTATTGATAATGCAGAGTAAATGATTATAGTTAAAAAATAGTGGTTCTTTTGAATATCCATTTGGTTGTTACTAAGATTTAAAATTTGATGCAACATTTGTATTTTAAGTACCATAGTTTGTACCTGTAACTTATAAAACAGGAGATTTAGAATGTAAAGATTAAGATTTAGTTAAATATTCAATGACATTATCAAAATAGACAGCAATTTTAACAATAAAAGGATAGGTGATAGATGTTGATTAGAAAGGAATGAAAGGAGTGAATTTAAAATTTAAATCAGATCCAATATTAGCAATAGGGAATTAAAATTTAGTAACAGATGAAAAAGGTAATTGGTCAGTTGAGAAATTAACAGTAATACCTACAACCACATATAAATTTACAGTGGAATATACTAATGATATAAAATAATAAGTTGAATTAGTATAAACATTTACTCCTAGTATGGAAAAGGAATAAACATTTAATTTTCCAGTGATTGGATTTTAAAGATATGTTAAAGCTAAAATAGCTGGTAAAATAGCACCTGCAGATGGAAAAGCAGCTATTCCAATACCTTTAGTAATAACTTGTGATGGAAAAGCAAAAGATGGAAAACCTATAGTAATAGAAACTACAACAAAAGAAGATGGATCATATTCTGTTGATGTAGAAGTATTAGCAGGAGCAGATAAACCATTATCATGTGTAGTAACTAATGGTATTATTTATAATAATATTAATATACAGGTACAGGTAAAGATACTAACACTGGAACAGGTAAAGATACTAATACAGGTAAAGATACTAACACAGGTACAGGTAAAGATACAAATACTGGAACTAATACAGGAACAGGTAAAGATACTAATACTGGAAGTAATAGTGGTACTAATATTAATTGAAATTTAGGACCTGTTTAACCAATAAAAGTTGATGTTAAAGTATCTGCACCTACTTGGAGTACAAACACAAATATTCCAGTCACTTATAATACTGTTGATATTGTAGTAAAAGGAGTTGTCACTGATAAAACTAAAACTATTTCTACTGTTGAAAATGTTGATATTACTCTTATTATCACTCCATAAGATGTTTATATTTAGAATCCTGGTAAACATTTACTTGAATAATATCTCTTATATCAAAGACATTTCTAAAGTACTTCTAAATCAATTTTATAAACTAAATCAGCTAAAGATGGATCTTATGAATTCAAATTTAAAGCTGTTTAAGCATATACTTTAAAATTTGAAATATAAGCCAAAAAAGAACCAATATTTGAACCTTATGAAAAGAAAGGAATTGAAGAAAAATGTTTAAAATCAGAAACCTTAACTGAAAATATTGAAATAGACAGAATTAAAATGTTAACTAAAATTCATTCTACATTGGTTGGTACTGATAAGAAACCAATTACTAATGCATCTGTTTAAATGACATCATCAGATCCAATAATGAAGGATTCTAAATATTATAATTTAGCTGTTAAAGATGATGGTAAAGGATCGTTCTTTTTAGATTTTGAATGCTATAAAGATTTTGAGTATGTAGTTAATTTATAGATTGATGTTCCATAATATGTTTAATAGAATATTAAAAGTTCCAAATTTAAATGTTCATAAGCTTTAACTGAATTAAATCCAATTGCTTTAACTTTAGAGAAAATATAAATAAAAGGTATTCTTTCAGGTAAAGTGATTGATCCTTAAGGAAATGGTGTACCAAATTTAGTATTAAATATTATTACAGAACCTGATAGTACAAGTTTAGAAACTAAAACTCTAGCAGATGGAACATGGACTGTAACTGATCCTAAACTTTATCCAAATACAGAATATAAAGCAATAATTACTTATTTAGATATAAATAAATAAAAATAAAAAATAGAATAAAAATTCACAATTTAAAGTGATAATTAAAAAGTGTCTATTCCTGAAATAAATTATTAAGCAATTGTGAATGCTAAAATTTAAGGAAAAATAGATTTAGAAAAAGGTAAATTAAATTCACCAGTAAAGATTAATTTAAATTGTCCTAAATTTAAAGATGCAAAAGGAGCAGATATCAATCAAGATTTTACAACTGATAATAATGGAAATATTGATATCTCATTATAAATATTGGCTAAACATGATGATAAAATAGAGTGTATCTTAAAAACAAAAGATTCACTTGAAGAAACAACATAAAAAATAGAATTAATACCTCCTAAATTTTAAGTTTCTGGAGTTTCTATAAAAGCTAAATTGATTAGTACAACATTTACAATAACTGGTAAATTGATAGATAAATCTGAATTGGAAGATAAATTACCTGGTTTAAAAATATCTTTAGCATTACATCCATAAGATCCAATTTCTACATAGCCAATAATTACTAAAAGTGGAAATGATGGCACATATTCAATAAGTGTGGAAGTTGTTAAAGGTGTAACTTATGAAGCGACAATTACTATAGATGCTTAACCATTATTTAATGTTGCAAATGAAAAAATATAATTGATTGGTAAAGAAAAAGAGTAAAAAATATCTAAGGATATCTCTCTTACAAGAACAGTAATAGATTGTACAATTAGTGGATAATTGGTTGATATGAATTAAAAACCAATACCAAATTCTAAGATAGAGATTTTAAGTTCACGACCTTAAATGACAAATACTTAATTGTATAATAAATTTGCATCTGCACCAAAAGGAGATTTTTAATTAGCATTTTAATGTTATAATTCAGTTTCTACTACTCTTAATATGGATATGGAATCTGATGTATATCCTAAAACTACATTATCTCCATAAGTATTTACTTGTGGTGATAAAGATCTAAAATTGAAACCAATTGTAGTAAGTACGAAATCTGTATAAATAACACTTTCAGGTGTTTTGACAGATAACAGTGGAGTATCTAAAGGTGTAGCAAATGCTTAAATAGAAATAATACTTAATCCAACTGATCCATTAGCATCAAATTTATAAACAAAATCAGATTTAAATGGAAAATATTCTTTAAGTTTTGGTGCAGTTTAAGATTAAATTTATACAGCTGTTATTTAAATTTCACATCCTGACTTTTAAGCATATAAATCTTAAAATATTTAGATTAAAGCTGATAAAGCTTAGAGTATTGATCATGATGCAAAAATAGATAGAATAATTCTTTAAGCTACTCTATCTTCAACTATTACAGATCCATCTGGTAAATAACCTCCAGTATCTACTTTAACAGTTGAATCTTTAACACCAACTGTAAAAGGAACAGAAAAAAATTAAATAACTACAAAAACAGATTCATCTGGAAAATTCAATTTGTAAGTACCCTGTTATAAAAATGTTGATGAATCATTTATATTAGATGTTAAAGCTGATAAATATAGAGATACTAAATCAGATAAAATACAATTCTCTTGTTCAGGTCCAACTATATCTATACCACCACTTAAAATTAAATATGAATTAGCACCTACTAATACTAAATTAACAGTTGCAGGTGAAATGATTGGACCAAAAGGTAAAGGATAATAAGGAATTAATATTAAATTAAATTCTGATCCGACTACTAAAGAATATGAAACTAAAACTGGATCTGATGGTAAATGGTCTATTTTAGATGATTAATTATAATTTGGAACTAAATATTAATTAACTTAATCATTTCTTGATGCAAGTGGATAAAATCATAAAGTTACTTTACCATTCTCTACAAATGATGAAAAATCAGATTTAACATTCCCTAAATAATATTATGATGATTATGTTCCATTTTAAATTGATGGTAAAATAACTGCAGAAGAAGGCATATATCCATCAAATGTTCCTGTTACTTTATAATGTGATGCATTTGGATAAAATAAATTACCTATTGATCTTTAAACTAAAACAGATTCTCTTGGAGCATATTAATTTAAATGGAATATGCTTATGAATGCAAATTCTAATGTTGATTGTCTTCTCATTTCACATGAAACTACTAAATTTAAATAAACCAATAATAGATTTAAAATTAATCCAAATAGTGATGTTGTTAAATTAACTAATTAAGCTCAGGTCACTGAATAATTCAAGGCTTAACTTGCTAAATATTATTAATTCTCCACTATTAATGGAGCTGTTATAGCTGAATTTGATTGCAATTCTAAATTAGAATGGAAAGGATTAGAAGGCGTCACTATTAAAATTAAATAATGGAATGGTATGACTTATGCAGATCTTTAAATTGAAACTAAGAGTGACAAAGATGGTCTCTTCGTTATCAAACATTAAATTTTAAAAAGGTATTCATTTATAATCATTTAATAGTTAAATTCAAAATGAAATGAGATTAGAATTTACTAAAATTAATTATATCCCAACTACAGCTGAATTTAATCTTTATTCATTTGATCCTTAATAAGATGGTTCATATCTTATCTAATTGTCCACCATTAGAATGGTCAAAATTGGATCCCCAGATAAATGTCCATAAATTAAGAAAAATAAGCATCATCATTGATATACTATAATATACAAATTGTTAATTTTTTTTAACTTTCTTAATCTATTCAAAATTATTATCCTATTTTATATATTTTTTTATTTTATTACATTGTTATAACTATTCTACCTCTTTAAATCTATTTCTTTTTTTTAAAACACTCTCCTTCTAGTTTAGTAATTTGATGTTCAAGTTTCAGAATTTTCATTTTTTAGAGCTTGTTATAATTTAATTTTTCTTTAAGTTTTCCATTAATTTACTAAAATTATTGTGATAAATATCTTTAGTTATTTTTAAAACAATCATAGATTCATATTTGTGAAATCCTTAAAATTTTTCTTTATTTAACAATATAATGGATTCTTAATAGATAATAGCAATGAGAATAACAAAAATAATGGTTATTCTTCTCCGAATTTAAATATTTAATTATTATTTTTCTTTCGTTTATTAAACTCACTTATAATGATTATTATTATAACATGAATAAATAATATTGTTGATTATCATTAATAATAAAAAAACAAATTATTATTGATAATTAATATTTTAGAATAGATAGATTTTGTAGTTTTAATACTTAAAGTTTTCTAAATAATGTTCTGAATAAGCATAATTAATAATGGCAATCATTTTAATTCACTTTAATTCTGAAAACAAATTTAAAGTTGTAAAAATTTTATAAAATTTATCAAAATAATTGATTAAAATTTGTATTTTTGCATTTAGTGAAGAAATAGTTGAATATTAAAATAATAATTCTTTAATTAAAATAAAAAAATGAATTAAGAAGATGAATAGGTGAAATACTAATCGTAGTATATTAAGGGAGATTCTAAAGTATTATAAATATAATTTTTTTAGAAAAAAGATTAAAATTAAATTGAGGATAGGTTAATAAAGGAAAATTGTCAATAAAACAATTTTGAATAAATTCCTAAAGAATATATAAAAAAAGGAAAGGCAAATGAAAAATAAACGAATATAACAAAAGAAAAATCAGAAGGTCATGAATAGAAACAATTAAAATTTTAAAAATAATCAGATGTTCATGAAAAAATATAAAAATAAAATCAAAATTAACAATAAGGTCAATTTAAATAAAGAAAATAAGAATAAAGTATATAAGGGGGAAGAAATGAATCAAATAAATATGAAAGCAATTTTTAATAAAGAGAAAATAATAAAGAATAATATTAAAAATATTAAGGAAAATAAAACAAATAATAAAATTATGAAAAGAAATATAATAATACTAAAAGATTTAATTATCCAGTTCAATATCATTCTCACAATAATAATAAACCTTTAACCTACCCTTAAGTTGAAGAAGAAGAAAATAATAATAATAATAATTAAAATTTGAGGTATGATAAAAATGAATAAGAAAAGAGTAACAATAATAATAACTCATAAAATAGAAATTCTAAATAGTAAAATAATCATAATAATCAATAAATTAGATATAATCAAAATGATTAAATAAATGATAATAATTATTAAAAAGAAAATCCTCACTAAAAGCAAGTGAGAAGAGATAGAAATCCAGAAAGAAATTATAGATCAATATAACAAGAATAAAATAAAATATATTACAAAAAGAGATTTAATAATTATGATTTTGATCGATAGGATAATGATAATTCATTTGATGATGACTATTATTATAAAAAAGAATATAGATATTAAAGTAAAAAATACTAAAGAAGAGATAGTTATGATTATTTACTTAATAAATATGATTAAAAAGAAGAAGATGATAGAAGGAATGGAAAGTAGTATAATAATAAGAAAGGGAAGAAAAATAATAGGAAAAATTAATATTTTGAATAATATTGGACAGAGGAATAGATAGAGAAAGGAAAAGCTGATAATGAGATCTTTGAAGGTATTTTTATAGGTAATGAATTCACACTAGAGAGGAGTACAATAAAATGTCCAATTCTTAAGAAGAAAGTTTATATAAATTGTATTATAATGATTTAAAATAATAGCCTTTGTTGAATCAAATAGAGCATTACATGGAGCACTTGTTGCATTTAAAATAATAAAGATCTAAAAGCGGGATTAAGAATCAGAGGAGGAATAAGAAGAAGAGATCATAGAATAAATAGAAAAAAAGGATAGTAAGATTTAAAAAGAGAATGCAAATGATAAGTAGGAGAAGATTGAAGATGAGGAAAATAATGATGATTGGGAAGATGTAAATAGTGAAGAAGATGATGATAATATTTCAGAAATATCAGACATATTTGTAGTAAAAAAGAAGGTACCATTAACGAAGATTTAATAATTACAAAAAGCTCAATTAATTGGAAAGGTAGTAGGAATAAGAAAAAATCCATTTGAAAATAGATAAATGATTGGGAAGATAAATTTTAAAGAGAAGAATGGATAATAAATAAAATAGATAGAAACAAAGGAAGAGTTAATAAATTACATTGAATCAAATTATTATATTTCATTTAAGTGTGTAAATAAAAGAATTCCATATTTTAATGTAAAGAAACTATTAAGTTTTAATTATGAATTAGATAATGAAGAACCTGTATAAAAATTTATGGATTATGTATCTTAAAGATATTTTTCAGCAAAATATTTATAATGGGGTAGAAACAGTAGATATCCAGTAGTTGAATTGATAAAAGAAGTAGGAGTGTAAGGAAATATTGATGTAGAATGTGAAGCAATATTAACAGAGAATTCGGTATATGATAATGAATTTTCAGATTTATGTAAAGAAGAAATGAAAGCATATACTCATGATTCTATAGCAAAAGAGAGTGTAAAAAGAATGGATTTAAGATAAGAATATATTTGTAGTATTGATCCTGTAACTGCTAGAGATTTAGATGATGCATTAAGTATTAAGGATTTAGGAAATGGAATTTATGAAATAGGAGTACATATAGCAGATGTTTCTCATTTTGTTACTCCTAATAGTGAAGTAGATAAAGAAGCAATATTAAGAACTACTTCTGTTTATTTAGTTCATAAAGTAATTCCTATGTTACCAAGAATTCTTTGTGAAGAATTATGTTCATTAAATAGAGATGTAGAAAGATTAGCATTTTCTGTATTCTTTTAAATGACAACTGAAGGAGAAGTATTATGGGATACTTTTAAAGCTGCTAAATCTGTGATTAAAAGTTGTGCTTAATTAAGTTATGATATTGTTAATTAATTAATTGATGGTGAAATTCAACAATTTAGTGAAGGAGAACAAAGATATCATATAGCTAATGGATTTGATGAAAATATATTGAAAAATAAGATTTTATTATTAAATACAATTGCTCAAAAAAGAAGAAATAAAAGATTAGAAGGATCATTAACTTTTGAAAAAAGTAAATTAAGATTTAATCTTAATTCTGATTTATTTCCAACTGGTTATTCTGAAGAAAAAAGAGGACTTGCATAATTTATGGTTGAAGAATGGATGCTATTAGCTAATCAATTTGTTGGCAAAAAATTAGTTGAATATGATGTCAAAACAGCTATTCTTAGACAACATATATCGCCTAAATCTGAAAAACTTGATTTTTATAGAAAATTGTTAGAAGCTGCAGGATTAAATGAAATGGCTCAAAATTTAGATGTCTCAACATCTAGAAATTTAAAATTAACTATGGCCAAAGTTGATTAAATCCAATCTTAAGAAATTAAATTAATCTTAGGATTCAGATTATTAAAATTAATGGAAGCTGCTCAATATTTTGTTGTTGATGATACTCCATTATCAGAATGGAGACATTATGCTTTAGATTTTGATATTTACACACATTTTACATCTCCAATCAGAAGATATCCTGATATTCTAGTACATAGAAGATTACAAATTGCACTTGAATAATAAGAAATTGATCAAACAGGAGAAACAAGAGATAAATTAAAAGCTATTATGTAACATTGTAATGATTGTAAATTAAATGCCAGAAGAGTTAGTGATTAATGCGATTAAGTATTTCTATAATCTATTTTCTTAGTTATTTTTAGCTTTATTATTAAAAGCCAATCCAATTGAAATAAATGGATATATTCTCTCAATTAATAAACAACATATTGATATTATCATTCCAAAATACAATTTAGAAAGAGTATAATTACATATATATTTAAAAGAAAGTTGAATTGAAGAATTTAAAAAATACATATAAATATACAGTTGAAGAGGTTTCAGAGAATACAAATGAGTTGATTATTTCTTACAATGATCCTGATGATGAGAGAGGAGTAAGACTGTATTTTGTGAAAGTAAATAATTTAGATTAATAAATAGTAATTTTAAGAAATAAAAATAAAATTATCAGGAACTGATACATTCCCAATAGAGTATTAAATACAAATAATAATTAATAATAAAGTTTAAATTTGAATTGTATTTATATAAGTCACACCAGTATTTAATTATAAAACAATAATATTTTATAATAAGAATGTAACTATAAGTTAAATGTTAAGAGTAATCTTGGACATTCAGAAGAGCTCTGAATGAACTAACAATGAAAAAGATAGTATAGAGACTTCCAAACAGGATAACAAATTTACCAAATCAATTTACTCTTCAATATGAGGATTTGGATGGAGATATGATTGATGTCACATGTGATGCTGACTTATAAACAATAAGGGAATGTTAGTTTGATAAAAAAATAGTAACATTGTAATAATTAATAATAAATTAAAAGATATGTACAAGAAGTATAATAAGGAGGATTTAAGAAAGAATAAGTATGTCATAGAAGAGAGAATAGAAAAGAACATATAAAATAAATAGTGAATTAGAGAGTAATGGAATTAATTCCTGAGATAACTAAGTAAGTGAAACTATCAATGACAACAGATGATATTTAAAAAAAGATTGAAAATTTATCAATAGACAATACAACAGTAAGTGAAGTAAAGGAAGTGAAATAAGTTCTTCATGAGAGGGTTAGTTGTGATGGATGTGAAATGTTCCCAATATTAGGTATTAGATACAAAGTAAATTTTTTAAAATTATAAATCTAGTGTGCAGTATGCAAAGACTTTGATTTATGTGAGAAATGTGAAGAATTAGGAAATCACGAACATGCAATGTTAAAGATTAGAAAACCAGAGTAGGCTCCTTCAATTATAGTAACAGCTATTGTATTTTATAATTTTAATGATTAGGGTGACAAATCAGATTTACCATAAGGAAATATCTTAAGAAACCAAATAAACTAATTAATCCAATAGATGTAATTAAATTCAGTACCTGAAACTATTAATTAATCAATCAATTTCCCATTAAGTTCTTAACTTTTAAAATCAGAATAAATTTAAACTGTATAATAATCAGTTTAAGTACCATAATTTTCTTAAATCATTGAATAAGAATAAGTTTAAGAAACTTGTTTAAATTAATCTACTAATCCAATTACAGTAGAATTGTGTGAATTGTTAGGAGTAAGACCAGAAGTAGCAGAGAATTTGATAGAAATGTTTCCAAATTAAAATGCAAAGGAGATAATGGAGATTGTTGGAGATGACATTGAATATTTGAATTCCCTTCAAAGATCCACCATTTGATCTATGAAATAATAATCATATATTATATGGCTATTTACCACCCCTTTAAAGTAATAAATCTTTTTCAGCACATTCTGTTTCTAATTTTTCTCTTTTGCCCCTATTTAATTTCTATATATATTATAATATAATTACAAGTAAAGATTAATTTATTTAATAACAATACTCATATCAGTCATAATTATTTTATAACATTCCTCTTAATCTATTAATTTCAAAAGCTTATTAACCATAAGCTTATTCTTCTGAGTTTTCTTAATCTTAGTTTCTATTCTTTTCTTCTATTTAATTTAGAATCCATAATTTTGATTATTCTTTATTATATTAATTGTATGAATCTTAAATATTTTTTAATATATAAAATAAATGTTTACAATATATCTTCACCATCAAATTCCTTCTCTTTATTATCATTATAGATTGTTCTCAAAATGATTGTTTGTTTTGTTCTTTAGATAATATAATAAATATATAAATTATAATATATCAATCATTAGATCAATTTTCCTCTTCAAATTATTCTTCGAAATATTCTATAAAATCGATATTTTATAATAAATACCTTCTTCATTAATTTCCTTAGTAGGATGTAAGTCTGATTATAGACTAGCTTTGATATCACTATTACTTCTATTAACTTTATTTATATAGCTAGATGTTGGTCTACTATTTGGTATTTATCGACTATATAATATATAAATAATAATTACTCTTATCTTACTGGAAAACTTCCTTTATTATTTTCTACTTTTTCCCATTAATCATTTTCATCATCATTATCTTCTTCAAATACTCCCTCCACATTTATATTATAATCATCATCATCTTCTTCTTCTTCTTAAACTTCCTAATCATATTCTATTTATGCATAATTCAAATCTGTTTAAAAATCATCTTCATATTCATTCTATTCATCATCTTATTCATTCATCTAATATTAATTATTATCTCCCTATTCTTCCTCTTACTCCTATTCTATCATTTTCATCTCTAATGGATCAGGATCTGAATGACTTCTAACCAATCCTCCCTTTATTAAATACTATTAAACTTATTTCTAAGCACTTCCATCCTATCATAATCTAATATTTCTTACTTTCCCCTCTTTTGTATCTAAAAGAGCAATCATTTATTCTTATTTACTTCTCTATTATTTACTATACAAGTATCCTTTATCTGTACTAAATATCTTATATACATTATTACTCCTTCTCATAATATTATTATAGATCTTCTGCTGTTATATCATCTTCACCTTTTATCTATTCTAACTATCTCAAGTATTCAATAAATAAATCTCCCTTTAAAGTATTTATATGTTTCGATTCTAAAATTATCTTATTTATATTATTATACTATACTTTTGATATTAGATAAGTCAATTCCAATTCTCTTATTATTTTCCCTTTTAATATTTTAGATATCTAATTTATAAACTCTTGCTTTTTGAATGTTTTCTTACTCATCGCCTTTTCAAATTCACATAATAATCCAGAAAATACTTTTGCTAAACTACATTCAATCACTTTTGTTTCTACTTAATCATAGCATACCCAATATCCTATTGTTTTTATAAACAATCCTCGAATTAATCCATTATCTTAACCAATTTATGTATTTATTGGATACGGATACTTCTATTCTGATGATTCTATCAAATATCTTGCTAAATTCTAAGCATCAATCCTTTCTAACTAAAATGGATCCTTTATAAATTTCTCTGTTAATTACGAAATTGTAGTTTATTAAGATGTTCCACTAAAAAGTAAATTATCTATTTAATTAGAACTTTTCTAAAGGGCTATCAATTTATATTTTATTTCTTAAACGAGATCATAAATTTCTTCTAGTTAAATTGGTTTTGTTATTTATAGAGATGGCTTTGCACTTTAAATACGTTTCTGTTATTTATTATGTGCTTATAATGCAGGTGTATGTTTTGATTTTTAAGATATTTTAAAATCTTTATCAACTTATTCTTTGATTCTATTGAGATTGTTTTTGAGTTCATTTATCAACTTATCTTTATTCTTTAATCTAGTTTACATATTCTAATCTAATTTAACATATTCTCTGTCTAAATCTTAAAATGCAATAAGAAGTTATTATTATTGAGATTATAAAGTTTTATTTTCAATTTCAAGAGTTTCAATATCTGATTACATTTATTTGATAAGATTGTCTCTCTAATGCACCATATCTTCTAATTTTTATTAATCTTATTGTTTTTGTTAAGTATAGAGATTTTATTGTATTACTTCTTCAATAAATTTTTTCATTCTAATGGTTTCATCTTAAAAATGTTTTCTTTCAATTTCCATTTCAGTAAGTTTAGTAAATTTGAGAGATTTTTTAAGTTAGAGCATTTCTGATTCTCTTATATCTAAGATTTGTCTTAATTCTTTTATTTAAGTTTTAAGACTTAAAATCATTTGATTATCAGTAGTTGGTTTGGCATAGAATCTTTTCATGTTACCAGTAGCTTCAACTTCTTGAATAATCTTTTAACATTTTTATAAGTCTTTCTAGATGATTCATGGCAATAATACTTCTAAGTTTGTGTTGCGTGTTCTCAATTTAATATTTTCATCTTTGAATTAATTGAGCTATACCTTCAATAATTAGTTATCTTCTAGCAATTTTTCAGTCTCATTGACTCTGTATAATGAAACGTTTAATTGATTATTTTATTTGTACGGACTTGATCATTAATTAAGAGTATTACTTTTTTAAAAAGGAAGTATTCTTATCACTTTAATGAGAGACATTCTATTATGCGCTGGAAGGTCTAATTGGTCTTTGATTCATAATTTAATTATATTATGGATTTTAACGATTTAGTCTTTGCATGTCCAAAAGCTAGTTATGATTATAGTCTTTAAGGTTTATACTTCATAGAAGAAGAAATTCATTATCATAGAAGTCGTTCATTAATGCATTTGAATGAATTGAAAACATTAAATGGTACAATAAAGGTGACTCTAAATTAATCTGAGACATCTAGACAATTAAATTAAAATAAGTAAACTAAAAGAATAGTTACTCTTTTATAATTGGAAGAATATCTTAAAAATGGAATTATTGTATATTTTCATGCAAATGCTGAAGATATAGGAATGTGTAAATCCCTTGCATTTTTACTTGGTGTTGAATTGGAAGTATTTCAATGATACTATAAAAGATGGCATCAATTTGTATGGAATATTCAGGTTATGGAATATATCAAGGATAATCTTCAAGTGATATCATTATTAAAGATGCTTATTAAATGATAGAACATTTAATTAACAATCTTAAAGTTCATGAATCTAATATAATTATAATGGGTAGATCAATTGGAACTAGTATTGCTGTTGAAATGAGTATTAGATATAAAAAAATACGATCGCTTATTTTGGTAAGTCCATTTACATCTCTTTGCGATGTAATCAAAGAAAATAGTTTTGATTGGGTATCCAAATTAGTTAAAGAACGCTTTAGAAATTTAGAAAAAATGCATAAAGTACAATGTTCTACATTATTTATTCATGGTATAAATGATAAATTTATTTCTTATTAACATTCAATTTAATTAATGAGTAAGTGCAGTGGATTTGTTCATTTATAATTATTTGAAGGAATGACACATAATCACTTTTTACTTGATTTACACATAATATCTCCTATTAGATAGTTTTTAATGAAAATTTAATAATGAATAGTATATATATATTTATAATATATCATTAATCATTTTCACTTAAAGCTCCCTCTTCTTCATCAATTTTAGTTAATAATCCACTAATTTAATAATCTAACAATTCTTTCAATTTTTCTTACATAAATTCATCCAAATCTATTTATTAATATAAATATTCTACTATGTTCATGTGCAAATCTAGCTGCTAAATCACAAGATTAATCTCCTTCATAAACAACTATTCTTTCAGTTTTATTTGGTCCTAAATTCACATCAACAAATAGCAATGGTATTCTTTCATCTTATTCTATTACTTATATTTATATATTTTTACAGCTACCAGATCTAACATCACTCTATTCTTCTTTTGGCTAAGATTCATCCATATGGAAATTCTATGATTGAAATGTATTCATTTATTAAGATTCCTATGATTACATACTCTTCTATCTAGATGATTAAGATGTTTATTTAATTTGATTCTATAAATCATTTCTACTTTCTTTTTTCTACTAAATTTATTAAACTGAATTTTATTAATTTTATGTTCCCTTTACACTTTTATATCCTCTCTCTAACATTCCTTAAACTTCCTCTCTTCTCTATCTTGCTTATTTCATTCTTTAAACTGTCTTATCAACATTCTTATTTACATAATGGCTATCTGATTTTTATTATTAATTAGTCTTATTTGATAAATCTGGTTAAAATGTACATTCTTCCAATTATTTCTCATATTCTATCTCTTCTGTTGTTCTATCTCTTTTCTAAGTTGCTGGTTTAGCTAATGAGTAAAGTTGTAAATATTTATCTTATTTCTTTGATGAACTTTTTCTTTCATCATTATTTTGAGAATTCAATAATTATGGTTTAAATGGACATTTATCTAATTCTTATTATATTATCTCCTATTTCTTTTATTCTTTATGATATTCTACTGTCTTCTACTATAAAACCAATAAATCTGCATGACTAATCTATCCATTTTCTGGGATATTAACTTTAATTAATTAATTATCTATTAAATTTGCACTTTCTTCTAATAATTTCTCTCTAAATTAACTTGCTAACTATTTTGATTATTCTAATATTTATGGTTTATATGGATTTTCATCTTTCCAATTTGTCTTCTTTAATTCTTCACAACCTAATCTATTTCTATATAAAATATCAAATTATTTCTAAATCTTCTTTGTCTCTTCAAATGTAAATATTATATTTCCATCTTTATCAATTGTTCCTAATTTTGGTCTATCATTTGGTTAATGTGCAGTTACTATTTTATGTTATTATGGTTAAATTGACTTTTAATAATTTGGTACTTCTTCATTTTAAGCTGATGGTAATTCTTTTATTTTAAAATCTGTAATTCCAATTAATGTTAATAAAAATAAACATAAATTTCTCTTACTAATTCCTCCTAATTCATCACCTCTTAAAACAGTCCATATTTCACATAATAATGCTCTTTCTTCTGATAATCTTAAATTTTCATATTCCACTGCTTTTTCATTATTTTCTTTTGCTTACAATTAATTAATAAAACCTAATCTCTATAATATTTCCCCTAATTTTAAATAATCAATAGAAAATGAAACATTAGATGGTCTTTCTTATCCAGTTTAATCAAAAATCCAATCTATCACTGTCTCAAATTCTCTAATAAACTTTTATGCTACTATTTTTTCACTATTATTTGATGTATATTTAACATTAACTGTTACAACCTTAGGTGTATTTTTCTATTCTTAAACTTCTCTCTATTTCTATTATCTTCTTTAAGCATCTTAATAGAGGATATCTTCAACCTTTTAATTTCTTACTATATTTGAAGATTTCTATTATATTACAGGTTTAAAATCAACAGTTGTTAATTCTGATTATTACATTTTTGGTTCTGAAGGTTTCTTTTAATTTAAATTATATAATCTTTCATATGTAGGAATAGATTCATCTCTAGATTAAAAATTAAAATCATTAGTTTTAGGATGATAAGGATGTTATAAATCTCGTTCCATATCATTTTATTTGATTTATTCTAATTTTTATTCTATTTTAAGAACATGATTCTGTTAATCAAATAAAAATTAATAAAGTGATCTTTTTTCCTAACCGTCATTTAATGTTTAGGGAGTAAATGAACAGGGACGTAATTCTTCTTATTCATAGTAATCCTTTAACATTTAATTATTCTATTTAAAAATTTCTGCCTCTTAATTCAATCTCTCGTATAATATTTCATTATTTTGTTAAACCATAATCTTTTTCTAAACAGGCATTTTTGGTACATTACTATTTTAAGCTCTAAGAGGAAATTCATCTGGCTAATCATCTCCTTTCAGTAAAGCAGGACATACTGTCATATGTTGTTGTTTTGAGTTCATTTAATTTATCAGTTAAAAAATAAAATATATATTTATTGTCATTCATATATTTACTCATTTATCAAACTCTTTTTTCATAGTCATCTATTCAAAAATACCATTTAATAATAAAATTGCATATTTCAACATTTATTTTATAGTACTCTTTTTATTATTCTAAACTCTTATATTTTTCATATTTTTTTCATTTTATTTGTCATTTTTATTTTATTTTTTAATATTTTGCTAATTCTTATGTGATTGCAACAAAGATCGTTTAACAATTCTTATTTAAGATCTCATCTTGACTGGCTTTTTAATAACTGTAATTATTTTAAATGAATTTTCAATAAAATTGCTTTAATGAATCTGGGATCTAACTTAACTCCTTTCTCATTTTAATTCCTTTTTATAGAACATGAACTTGAAATTATCTAACATAAGCTATTATCTTATATTTTAATTCTCACTATTTACTATACAAGTATTAAGAAACGAATCTAAAACATGAAAAATTTTAATTCAAAATATATCATTTTAATTTGCATCACTTACTTAATTTAATATCAAGATCTTAATGAAATTCTTTATTGTATTTTGGTCTACCTTATTATTTATCTTAAATCTTACTCATCCTAATATATATAAATTTATTAATTGTGTTATAATTTCCATTTTTTGAATCTATTTAACTTACTGTTCTTACTCTGTTAGGATTAAGTAATTCCTGTTAATTTAAATAATTCAAACGCTTATTTACTTATTTGACTAGGCTAGAAAAAAACAATTTTGTTGTTTATTTCAAATTTTATCTTGAACTTATAAAATTGGTTGCAATTTTTTCTTGTAAAAGAATACTTATTATTCAAGAATCAAACATTTTTTTTAATATCAAAGAAATGTTATTTCATTAATTTATTAATGAATAATTACAAATTAAAATTTGATTATAAAATTATTCAAAATATCTCACAACCTTTACAGCAAGCTTAATTTGCAACAGCATCAACTTAACTTATTTCAACATTTTAGCCTTAGACTTCTTCTGGTTGTATAATTTTGGTAGCTGATGCATTACTTACAACTTAAAGTTCTTCTTCATTTTAAATTTTATTATTAACATTAGTTTCATCTTTCTGAATTTATTCTTAATTTTATTACTATTATTACTATTACTATTACTATTACTATTATTATTATTACTATTATTACTATTATTACTATTACTATTACTATTATTATTATTATTACTATTATTATTATTATTACTATTATTATAATTACTATTATTCAAGTACTTTTTCTACTTCTTATTCAGGTTCTTATTTAGAAATAATTGTTTCCTATTATTATTGATGTTATTGTTCTATATTTTCTTCTTTTCTCTCTTCTTCATTATTTTAATGATGATTTTATTAGAAAGTTTAGAAATTTTATTCAATATTTGATTATTATTAGTGTTATTAGATATGAAATTGATCATTTTCTTTTTATTAATCTTGATCATTCAATTCTTATTTTAAATTTTCTTGTTAATCTTTTTAATCAGAAACATTTCCAAATTCAGCAGATTTTTTTTGTTCAAAATTATAAAATTTTTTTTAGTTTTCAAAAAAGTCGTTTACATTATTTTCAACATTATCATAAGGATCTTCTTAATTTTATATCTACTTTTCTTCATTTGCTAAATGAATAAACTGATCAATTTATTGTTTTTACCTAGGAATTGTATGGCCATCAATTAAATCTAAATTATATGGTGGCCTAATTTTAATATAATATTATAAATTACCAGAAAACACTTTAATTAGGTTGAGTTCCTCCATATTTTTACTCTAATTGATTTGGATCAATAATTTACTATAATTTCATAAATTCTTTCTTTTATAAAAAATTAATTTTATCAGCAGTTTCAGGATCTAGAAATCCCGATATAGTTTTCCATAAAAAATTTAAACCAGTTGAAGGATTTAGTATAAACATTTTTTCCAAACAACCACCAAAGTTAGTACTCATGGTATCTATAACAACTTATAATGCTTTAGTTGGTAAACCAAAAACTCCTAAACCATTACTTTCCAATAAAAATATCCAGTTTTCTACTTTTCCAGGAATAAACATGTGTTTTTTAATAATTCCCATTTGAAATGATAATGCTTATATTATAGTTTCTTTATCATACTATATATAATATAGATTTAGTTATACTTTCTTAATATCAATAAGATGAGCATTAAGTATAACTATAGGACGATATTGTTTATCTCTTCCAAATATATAACATATGCCATTCTTAAGAAATATTTCAGTTGCTGGATTAATTTAATGATAAATGGGATTAGCTCTCCAAGTCAAATGCAATTGTAATTTCTAAGAATTAGTGATAATATAATTTACTTTAATAACTTCTTTCATTTTAAAGCGACCTGAATAGCCAATTTTCAAATAGTCACTCTCTTTCCAACTAATTTATAAATTTAAATAAGTACTCTTATGGAAGTTATATATTTAATTTTTAAATTTCTTATTTGAGTTCTTTAATCTTCTCTTGTTCAAAAGAATCGTAAGGAACACAATCATAAATTTTACGAGCTCCTTTTTCTCTTTCATGATGTTTAATATAATAATCTATAGATTTGATAATAGTTCTGAATACCTGTATGTTAAACTGAATGAGCTCCTAAAGGTGGAGCTAAATAGGAATAGTCGATACTCATAATATAAATATAGAAATTATATAAAATAAAAATATTGAAATAATTATAATAAAACATTATAACATATTATACATACTCTATTTCATAAATCGTCTTTCTTATCATTCTCTCTCAAAGATACATATCCAAAGAGAGTTCGAGGATTTATAATATATTCTCTATTTTCTATTCTAGTATGATGAACTTCTGGAAGTTTAGCTAAGAGATTATTCACATCGATTTATCCATTTCTCAAATTCATTAATAATAATGCTAGTCTTTCATGATTATTCTAAATTATTTATAAAATTATTATTACTCTAATTGCTTATATAAGAACATTTCTTATAGGCATTTCAGCTGTTTTTATAGCATTTTTTAACATATCAAGAGAAAACAACATTTTACTAAAATATTGGACAACTATATTAGTATCTAAAGAAACACTTTCATAATCAAATTCTACTCCTGTGCATCTAAAATGATGAGAATCAATATTAAAGATTATTGATGCACTCAAACTAAAATTTATCATATTTAAATTACTTTTCAATTTTTGTAGGAATGACATATTAATCTTCTATTATTACATCTAGATTTACCGAAGGTAAATAGATTTCTAAAATATCATGATCAATGTCAAATTTCACCTATTATTATTAAATCAATAATTTACACTAAGTTATTCAAAACTATGAACTTTTAATTTCGTAATCCAATAATTAAATGCAAGTCTCATATTACCTATATAATCAAGTCCTTCTGCAGATAATGCATCATAATTTTGTATAAATCCAGAAATAAATTGTTAAATCAAATCATTTGCCTATTGACGATGTGCTTTATCAATAAAGTAGGCCTAAGTTGTATTCAATAACAGGAAAATTGTACAAACTACAACTAGACGTGTCATTAATAATTTAATTATTAATTCTGGAAGTTTCTTTATAATGTACATTCCATATTAGATTATTCTTTTATTTATGTGATATTTCAAATATTTTTACTACACATATAAAGACTAACAATTTTATTTCTCATTCAATCCTATCCAAAGAATAATCATATTAAACAAATATGTTTAAAAATATAGATCAGTGGTCTAGACCAGAAATAACAAAAACGTAAAGAAAATAATAATAAAAACAAAATTTCCATGAAAAAAATAAAAAAGTTTTTGTTTTGAGATTAAGGTTAATTGAGAGAAATAAACAATATAAAAATAAAAATAAAAATAGAAAAGAGAACTCATAAAAAATTTAAATAAAGATGATCTAAATAAATTATGAAGAACACTTCCTTAATGGTTTTATTAAATGAATCGAAAGAATCTTAATTATTTATTAAAATCTAATAATTTGACTTTGTTAAAGTAGAAAAACAGAAGATTAAACCAGATGGGTTTTAAAGAGGATTTGAATGATGAAAACAATAATTTTAAAAATTCAAAACCTATAGTAGAAGATATATAACTTGTAATTCATTATTTATATTAATTAAAAATAAAACCAACCATTTAAATACTAATTAATTATGTAAATATCGTTGTCGGCCATACTAAGCCTAAAGCACCGGATCCCATTCGAACTCCGAAGTTAAGCGGCTTAAGGCGAGGTTAGTACTAAGGTGGGGGACCGCTTGGGAAGTCCTTGTGTTGACAACCCTTTTTATATTTTTAATTAAATTAATTTTTTATTATTTCATAATATATATTAATTTAATTATTTTTAATATGCTTTTATTCAATTATTTATCATAACATTCATTATAATGATCTTTATATACTTCATTTTAATCATGTTTATCATATTCAAGAATAAGTAAAGTATCCTATTCAATACGCTTCTAGTTTTTCTATTTCTTATAAAAATTAAGGAAATCATGATTTTTATTTACAATTAATTCTGTTGAATCATTGTTTTCAATATACTATGTACCTTATATTTTATCAAATATTTTTGGCTGAATAGATATACCATACAATTTGATTGCATATGAAAGATTATTTAAATTTTGTAAAGAGGATAAATCAAATATTTAATACAAGTTGAAAAAATGTGAATTTATAATAGAATTGATTCCTATATTCTTTAAATAATAAAATACTTTATTAATATTTACTAAGAAAAGAATGATAAGATATATAGTTTGATTTAGATTAAATATTAATATATTTAATTGCAAATACACATTAGTAACTTAATCAATCTTAACCCCAGAAATTTTTAAATATAGTTAAATATGTGGATTTGATTGCTGCATCCTAATATAGAATATAAAATATTACATCATAATGATAGAAATAATTAATAATTCCCATAGCAAGGCCAAATAAGAATAATTCCCATGCTTTAATAGAAGATACATATCCCCTTTTTTTAAGCAATCTCCATGCAGTTTCTAATGATTTAGGAAATATAAATAATGCTATTTCTTATCTTCTACCTTCAGATTCTAAGAAAAGTGCTGAACAAGCAACTGATGCTGCTAAAGCAGGATTCCAACCTTTAAAGATCTAATATATTATTTACCATCAACTTTTTATCTAATATTTTTAAGTTTACATAAGGCATATTTACAAATAGCGACATAAAGAGATACAAATAAAACTGATTTAGCATAATTATAAATTGCAACTGATATCGTCTTTATAGGTCTTAATAAATTCTTTCATTTTCTACCTTTACATCACTCTCTTCCTTTTGAAGATAAGAAATGGGATTAAATGTATGGGAATATAGTATTTGTATGATTTAGGAATCAATTAAAGCAATCTTACAAATGCTGCATACAAGCATGTACCATCATGAAAATCATCACATTACACTATGCCCAAATCATTAATAATTCGCTCTTGAAATTCTTTTGATAAACCTCTTTTATTAATGGACATAGATAATATAATAATTATTAATTACTTTTTTATTCATAATTTATTTTATGTTTGAGACTGATATACCTATTGAATAATGTATGAGTAATTTAGTATCATCATTAAAACCAAAATTTAGATCAATTCATAAAACACAAAATGATGATGAAGAATTGAGTGAAAATGTCGCTGATTCATAACATTAAATAGAACTTTTCAGATCATTAACTATTAAAAATGTAATTAATATTATAAGAGTTCAAACTATTAATGATAGATGGATTGGAATTTAACTTAGAGATCCCTTTGTTACTTGTGGATGGCTACTTTCTGAAACTATTCGAAAAATTAGTTAATTAAATTTAAATTATGATCCATTTAATATTGTAGGATTTAAAACCAATAATATTCATTTAGATTATCATTTAAGTTGCTTACATTTATTATTACCAAACTTAAATGGAATACTTCTTACTCCATTATTACGTCAAGGATTAAAAGAACCAATTAATTTAGATTGGTTTGAAATAATTAAAAAAATAGGTGCTGGAAGTTTCTCTGTTGTTTATTTAGTTAGAAATAAAGAAAATGGATAATTTTATGCTATGAAAGTTACAGACAAACAATTAATGTTTGAAAGTGGAAAAGAAGAATTAGTAATCAAAGAAAGATAAATTCTTATCAAATTAAATCATCGAAGAATCATTACATTACATGCATCTTTTTAATCTGTATCATATTTTATTAAACTGAATAGAAAACAAAACTATATTTTATCTTTGATTATTGTCCTGGTGGAGAACTTTATTATCATTTAAGAAAATAGAAAAGATTTTGTGAAAATTAAGCTAAATGGTTATTTATATAAATATTAGATGGAATTTAATATCTACATTCTAAAAATGTAATATATAGAGACTTAAAACCAGAGAATATATTAATAGATTTAGAAGGTTATCCAAAACTCGCTGATTTTGGATTAAGTAAACCAGTTGAAAATTAAGATGATCTAAATTTTTCATTTTGTGGATCCTTAGAATATATGGCTCCTGAAATGATTGAATTAAAAGGACATAATTAAACTTTAGATTATTATTAATTAGGAATCTTATTGTATGAAATGGTAGCTGGAATTCCTCCATTTTTTGCCAAAACTAGATAAGAAATGATTAAAAATATTTTGTCAAAACAAATCAATTTTCCAAATTTCTTTTCAAAAAACTTAATTGATCTTATTTCTAATTTATGTAAAAAAAATATAAATGAAAGATTATGTGGAAAAAGTAAAATTCTCTTATATAAATAGCAATATTATAACATCCTTGGCTTTAGGGATTCATAAAAAAAATGCCAATAAAATATAAATTAGATACTTTTCATATTGATAAGTTGTTTATGAATCAATAATCTTTAAATATTGAAAGTGGACCTAGATGTATAATTGAAGAGTTTAATCTTTAAACAATGTCACAATCAGTTAAAGATGAAGATTGGCATTCTTTCGAAAAATTTTAAACTTTTTACTACAAAAAACAATAATGAAATAATATAAAAAATGATTGTTATAATTTAAAATTAATATGTAAGATAGTTAAAACCTTAAAGATTTACAAATTTAGCTTAGCAGATTTATCAGTAGACTTGAAGAATTAGAAAGAGAAAATAAATGCTTGAAGGAATAGATTTTGAATTAATAATGTTAATTGATGTAAAATGTAAAAACAATTGATACAAAATATTAACAAATTCATCGTAAGTAAAATTTATTAAATTAAACAAAGATATTTGAAGTGTCTTTATAAATATGGTATTTCTTAAAGTTGTCTAACCAATATGATTACATAATATAATAAAATAATTGATAAATTTGGATTAGATGAAATAGTTAAAATGGACCTTAAAAGTTGTATTGAAAAATATGGGATTATTTATGAGAAAAACAAAATAATTGATGAAGAAGAAATGAAAAATATTATAAATGAAAGGATTACCAAAGAAAGTGAGGAAGTATATATGCTATTCTTTCCAACTAAAGTATATTAATACTTAACAGATAATGATTCATTGTAATAATGCATAATAATTATATGTAGATAAAATACTTGTACTTTTTAATCATTACAATCTTAAAGATTTCGAATGTAAAATTCAATTTAAAATAATTCAGAATTGATCACTGATAATTCAGATGATACAATAATAAACAATCTAACAACTTAAAAATATTTAGAAAAGCTTTAATTTGACTATCAAAATGATCAAACTTTGTAATATCCAAAAACTTTCAAAGTAGAAAAGCTTTTATAGTTAACGAATAGAGATATTACTTAACAGAATATTACAGAAAGATCACTAAAATCTAAATATGAAAGAAGAGGAGACAGTAAACAAGAAATTAGATAAGAGTCATCTAATATATCCCCTTTAAAATAAATTAATTAATTGGGAATTGAAGATAGAGTGAAGAGATTTGATAATAAAGAAAATGAAGGAGGATGTCCAAGAAGGAGATCAAGGGCTGATAGAATTAAATAGCAATAGTGATATACGAAATTAATTTATTGTATTTATAAGAAATAAATATGTTAAATTTATATTTAAATGACTGAATTCGAAGCTTTAAAATAGAAAAATTTAGGTTTAGGTTTCCAATTATTAAGAAGTAAATTAAATCTGATATTAATGATGTATTATATGAATATTTAAATTGAATAAGATAATAAAAATTTATATAATTGAGAAGGTAAAGATGTAACATTTTTAAAATTTAAGTTATCTATAAAGATGATATTAAGTCTAAATATGTATTAGAATAAATATTTATTTGAGAAGGTTCTAAAATAAATGTTTGATTGGTATTTTTAGAATTGTAAGGAAGAATAGAACATTCTATGATTTTCTTAGAGATTCTAAATATGTGTTTAGATGAGAGATTCTTAATTAAATATATATTATAATTTAATGTCGAAATCTCGTAGTCAGTCATCTATCCCAGCATTTTTGTAGAAAACATATGATATTCTGGAAGTATGAAACTTAAAGTTATAAGAAGAATCCTTAATTATAAGATATTGTAGGTTGGAATGAAGATGGTTCAGGTTTCCTTGTAAAAAATGTTATAGCATTCTCAGACTAAGTTCTTCCAATGTATTTTAAGCATAGAAATTTTGCATCTTTTGTTCGATAAGTAAATAATAATTAAAAATTAAATAGATGAATATGTATGGATTTCATAAATCAAGAAGTGATCTTAAAGAAAATGAATTTATTCATCCACATTTTAAGAAGGATTAAAGGTATTTTTAATTGTAAATAAAGAAATCTTTTGAAAAAAATAAAAAGAAAGTCAGGTGAACATAATGATGAGTAGTTTGCTATAATGGAATTGAAACCACATCGAAATGCTAATTTACAAGATGTTTACTATTAAGTTTAATTATTAAATAGAAATAAATTTAAGAAATATTAACTAAACAACAAGAACTAGAGAAAGTTTGTAAAATATTAATTGAGTAAAATAATAAAATATTACAATGCAATTAATAACTTCGAAATCAATTGGTTTAAGAAAGGTATAAGATAAAGAATTAAATTAGATTTAATGGTAAAAAGAAGATTTAGAAATTAAAAGATTATTTTATAGGATAATAACAGATAGAAAGCCTTCAGGAAGATCCTCTATAAGTATTGAAATTTAATAAAGACCTAGAAAAGATAATATACAGCAGCATATTAAGCATTGGAATCTGATGAAGACGATTTCATAATACCAAACAAAAAGAAAGTTAAAGAGGATGATTCTGATAGTACTATTGAAAGAATGGAAAATCAGTATTTCCATTAACCTTTGATGTTAACAAATGCGGAACATCAGAACATATAGGAAAGTAATGATGATGGAATAATTCAATTGTTGGATGATCAACAATTGGATGATATATACTTTGATTGATCTATAAAATAATTATGTTTAGATTTAATATAATTAAATGAATTAATAGTTGGGATCTTATGTTAAATTCTTTCATATCATACGTGAATTAGGAGATAGCTTCTAAATTGATAGTAAACAGAAATAAATATTGAAGGTCAACTTTACAATAAAGGAGTAAAAATTAATGACAATTCTAAATGATTTAAGTACTGCATTTTAATTATTAAGATGATGAGGATGAAGAAGAAATTAAATTCAGTCTTCTAAATTATCTTAATGAAATACCTAAATAAAAATAGGGAGTTTCAAGATAAATGAAGCGAACTAGATCAAGTATCACTGATGTTGATCTAATCAAAGGAGTGTAATTTGATGAAACAAAATTAAATGATCCTATTGTTGATATGGAAAAAGCATTTAAATTGATTAATCATTTCTATAATAAAAAAAAAGAAGGAATAAACATTGATCCAAGAATTAATTAGATTTATGAAAATATTCGTAATCTCTTCATTTAGAATGAATCTTTATCAAATCCATCATCAGCATTATAAACTAGAAATTCTTCTTAATCACCAACAATGGATATGAATTAATTGATTGAATCAGATTTACTAGATTCATATAAAAATATTAAGTTTCAATTTGCTAATTATATGAAAAGTCATTTATTATTAATGGATGAAACTGTTTCATACACTACAATATTTAGTTTATTAAGAGAATTAACTAAAAATTTATTGAATTGTGATAATTTTAGTTTTTTCAATTTAAATTCAAATTCTGAGTTGGAATTATATTAAACTAAGACTGATATTTTTGATTAAATTCCAATAGATTAATCAATAAGTGAAGAAATTGCTTCACTTCCATAGAATAAGATTTTTCGGTTCTCAAAAGAATCTCCATTGTGTTCAGTATTAGAATCAATGAATTATTTATCATCTTATGGATTATATTGCAATAATGTAATCTTTATTTATCATTCTAAAGAAGATAAATAATTAGATTCAGGATCAATATTGAAGTAATCTTTATATTCAAATTTTATTTTAGAATAGCCAATGATTATTAATTAATAGATGAATTAAAAAATATGTCAACATTTTTAATTCATACTATATAGAATGCCAAAGTCTAATTCTTTAGTCCTTTATCAATCGCAGATATGATCTTAGATCTAGGAATTTCATTTGTTAGAGCATCCAAATTTATTTTGATTGAATAAATGTATAATATAATTTCATAAATGTACAAAATTGATAAGTAAATTTAATTTAATGATAGATTATAAACAGATTAATAAGAAATTTAAGTTTGGGATTCAGAGAGTGTCTACATTGTATTTAAGGATTATTAAGTTACTGTTTGCTTTAAAATATATTAAATGAATTTATAGAAGTAAGCTGATTAAAGAATATATTCAGAAGTTAAACATTATTATGAAAAATATCTCAGATTTATTAGAGAATGTTTTGATAAAAGTGCTTTTTATAAATTCTTTTTAAGATCAAATGATTCCTTAGTTTTTGAATTTGATAAGAGTGGTCATCTCTTATTTCTTTCAAGACCTATACCTAAATAAATAAAATCAAACTTTAATATATAATTTAATTCTCATATGATACATAATAATTAATTATCTTATAATAAGATTTTTGATTAGAGTGTTGTGTCAAATATTGAAAATTATCTTTAGGATCATAATTGGAAAACTATGAAGGATAATGAAAAATAATATGAAATATTTTTGAAAATAGAAGAAAATACTTATAAGGGATTTGCCCTGATTTTTACTGAAAATATAAAAGGATGGGTCAAAAAATAATTTAAATAATTAGAATCTGGAAATTAATTAGATTCTAAAATCAAAGCAAAAATTAGAAAATAATTAATATAACATGAAACTATAAATTTTGTAAATAAATTAGAAGAAAATAATCCAGATGTTAAAAATTCTGTAGCATCTTTATATATGCCTTTATAACAATTAATTTTAAAAAGAACTAGATCTAATTAAGGGAATCATTAAGTTTAACCGAAGATATAGAATACTGAAATAGAATTTAAGAAATCAAGATTTTAAAGTATGGAAGAATTAGACTTAAGTGAATTTGTGTTAGGAAATTAGGATGATGTAATAGATACATTTGATTTTAATATAATGGAATTAACAAATTAAAAAGAAAAGCATAGAATTGTATGGGTAATTTTGAAAAAGAATGGTATTTTAGATGATTTTAAGTTACCTTATGAGAATTTATAAAATTTCATAAAGGAGATGGAATATCATTATAATATTAATAATAATCCTTATCATAATTATGATCATGGTATAACAGTAATGTAGACAGCTCATTATTTTTGTAAGGGTTTAGATCAAACAACAAAGAATACAATCATAGATAATTTTAATAGATTTGTTTTAATGATTAGTAGTTTTGGACATGATGTTGGACATAGTGGTAAAACAAATGTTTTTGAAATAAATAGTTTAAGTGATTTGGCTATTAGATATCATGATAAAAGTGTATTAGAATAACATCATGCAGCATTAACAATTTAAATTTTGAAAAATCCATAGTCTAATATTTTAATAAATTTAAATTAAGTATAATTTAGGAATTTTAGGAAAGGATTAATTGCGAATATATTAAGTACAGATATGTCAGAACATTTCACACTAATAAAAGATTTTGAAAATAGACAAAAGAATTGTAATGATCAAAAGATTCTTAGCAATTATATTATGCATGTTAGTGATTTTGGTGGAGCAGCAAAGAAAAGCAATATTTCTGTAAAATGGTCTGCAAGAGTGAATTAAGAGTTTAGTATTTAATATAAGTTGGAAGGTGAATTTGGATATCCATAATAACCATATATGAAAGATTTACATATTGTAATATTGAAAAACTTATTACTTTTAGCCTCAAGTATTGGCAAAGTCAGAAATGGGATTTTTGAAAGTAATTGTTAGACCTTGTTATGTTTTATTAAATGAGTTTTTGGAAGGCAAATTAAAACATTGCATTGGATATATTGATGACACTATTTAATATTGGGAAAAAATAGGAAAAAAAGGTGAAGAATAATAATTTTAATGATAACTATAATTAATTAATTTATATGTAGTGTGATAATTTAAAAATTTCAGATAATTTCTTTGAGAAATATCCTGATCGAGTGTATTTGAATATAATAGTTAGACCCATTTTATTACACATTAGCTCTACATCTAAATTGTAATTTCAAGATGGATCCAAAATTAAAAAATATTTAATGAGCAAATCTGATCATTTTTACCATTTCCTTTAAATTATAAGAGAAACATTGCATGTAAAGAAATAAGAAGGTTTATATTTATTTATTAATAATTCTGGTTTGATTTAAGCAGGTACATTTCAATTATATTTTTAAGAGAGTTAAGTGTGTGAAGTTTATAATAAATTTAAAAGTCTTGATGGTTTCCTTAGAATTCAATTAACAGAATATTAATCATTTGGATAATGATAAAACTTTATAATTCATACTACTATATTTATTGTAATCAATCCATATATCTACATATCCTTTTAAATTTTAGATTATAAATTTTATAAATTTATTTCATTGTAAAAACATAAAAATGCTAAATATAACTAAATAATAAGCATTGATTTGAAAGATAAGGCTCTTAAAGGTTATTTCTTCAAAAGCTTCATAAATTCTAATCAAAAGTTGAATCTTAAGATTTCCATAATTGCTCTAATTCAGACATGGGTTAATGTATATTCTCGAAATAAATTATGGATTGTGAAATACATGCAAGAGATGGTATTATTTAATATGATTTGTGTTTATAAAATTAAAGTAGGGTAACTTTATATTTATTAGGAGCATACATTTAAATTAATAGTAAGATAAAAAATAATTAAGGTCACTTAAACTTTAAAGCTCAAATATGAACTCAAATTAAGTTTTAGTAATCAATATTTGAATAATATTTTACTTTATGTCATTAATCTAATTCAAATTCTATAATCAATTCAATACCAGATAAACTAATGCGATAATACAATTTGGTTATCAAATATTTTGAAACATTTACTTTTATATCAATTATAGTTTATTTTTTTTAACAAATGTATAATTTTCTTATAAAAACTAATTAATGGATCATTTCAATATTAGTTCTGCTGATTTAGATTAATTATACTTTGGAATCAAATAAAAACTTATTGGAAAANTATTTGAATATAATAGTTAGACCCATTTTATTACACATTAGCTCTACATCTAAATTGTAATTTCAAGATGGATCCAAAATTAAAAAATATTTAATGAGCAAATCTGATCATTTTTACCATTTCCTTTAAATTATAAGAGAAACATTGCATGTAAAGAAATAAGAAGGTTTATATTTATTTATTAATAATTCTGGTTTGATTTAAGCAGGTACATTTCAATTATATTTTTAAGAGAGTTAAGTGTGTGAAGTTTATAATAAATTTAAAAGTCTTGATGGTTTCCTTAGAATTCAATTAACAGAATATTAATCATTTGGATAATGATAAAACTTTATAATTCATACTACTATATTTATTGTAATCAATCCATATATCTACATATCCTTTTAAATTTTAGATTATAAATTTTATAAATTTATTTCATTGTAAAAACATAAAAATGCTAAATATAACTAAATAATAAGCATTGATTTGAAAGATAAGGCTCTTAAAGGTTATTTCTTCAAAAGCTTCATAAATTCTAATCAAAAGTTGAATCTTAAGATTTCCATAATTGCTCTAATTCAGACATGGGTTAATGTATATTCTCGAAATAAATTATGGATTGTGAAATACATGCAAGAGATGGTATTATTTAATATGATTTGTGTTTATAAAATTAAAGTAGGGTAACTTTATATTTATTAGGAGCATACATTTAAATTAATAGTAAGATAAAAAATAATTAAGGTCACTTAAACTTTAAAGCTCAAATATGAACTCAAATTAAGTTTTAGTAATCAATATTTGAATAATATTTTACTTTATGTCATTAATCTAATTCAAATTCTATAATCAATTCAATACCAGATAAACTAATGCGATAATACAATTTGGTTATCAAATATTTTGAAACATTTACTTTTATATCAATTATAGTTTATTTTTTTTAACAAATGTATAATTTTCTTATAAAAACTAATTAATGGATCATTTCAATATTAGTTCTGCTGATTTAGATTAATTATACTTTGGAATCAAATAAAAACTTATTGGAAAAGAAGATACCCTTAAATATCTGACATTGAAACTAATAGAAAAATAGAAAAGAACAAATTATTAAGAAGTTGATAAGAAGTATTAATTGAATTAAATTTAGATTGTTAGATAAATTTTCTAATAGACTATTAGAATTAGTGGAGAAATGTAAATCTTAAGATTAATTGGATAATTTAATAACTATTTAAAAGAAGTTAAATACAATGAGTTTCATTAGATTTCTTGAAATGTTGAATACAACAATTGATTTTAAAACAAATGAATTAGTAAATTAACAAAATAAATAAACCTAAGGATGGTAAACCAATAACAAATAAAATAAGAATCTGTTTTAATTTTATGAAGATCAATTTTGGAAATTATATGGTCTTCTTTCATTGAATGAGTAATAAATATTGATATCATAAGAGATCACATTGATAACATGATATTATATTACTAATCAAAATAAGATAATATAGAGAGACTCTTCAAAATTAATATGGAGCGAAATAAATAATTTGATTACCTATCACAATTAAAAGCACCTCTATCTGTAGATCCAATTCATAAAAATCACAAAATTCCTGTCTCATATTTAAATAGAACAATAGAACCATCTCGACATAGTAGAAACAATAGAATTCGTGAAGCTTTAACTTCTAATCTTAAATTAAGCAATTAAACTGTTCTAACTAGAAGTCCAAAAAAGTAATCAAGAACAACATCAAAAGATGTTCATTCTGAAAATGAATAAATTGTCTCATAATTATTAGATAGAAGATCTAAATTGAATTCACATGATAAATAGAATAGTTTCTATTTATTCTGTGAATCTAATGTTAAGGATAGAATATTAAATTCAGTTAATTTATAGTTGAATTCATAACCACAGTAAAGCTCTTTAGATCTAAGAGTTTGTGCTTAAAAGAAAATAAGCTCAATAGATTTAAATTGTATTTATTTATTTATGACTTTTATAGAATCATTTAATTTATATTTAACTTAATCTGAATCTGTTACTCCAAAAAAGTAATAACAGAAACATAGATTCATTTAAAATTTAAATCAAACATTCTATTAATAATTGTTCCCTGCATACAAAACTAAAATTAGAGGATTAGGAGTTATGAGAAATCATTTATTTAATGAATCCAAAGCATTAAATCGTCTTAACATCACTATTAGTAATTGTAAAGTATGAATTCTATTATTACTCTAAAATATTGTGACACATAATCACACTGATTGAATAATTGTTTAATAGTAAATAATATTAATTATAATTTTTCTAAATATGATTATCGAGTTCATTGCATTTATTTTCAGAATTACTCAAAATATATTCGAATTCCTAGGAATAACACCTTTGATATTATTCTTAGTCAAGAAAAGCTTATGCTATGGATTCTTTTCAATAGTGGCATTTACTCTCATTTTAATACCATATTTTTCTTACATTCCTTAGATGAATCAAAAAGTACAAATTTAATATCATTTGATAAATGGCAAATATTATGGATTTGTATTTGATAATTCATTTAAAAATATATGCTAAATTACTAATTCAGATATCATATTAGAATTTTAGTCTTCCACCTTGAAGTTCTAAAAAAATTTCATATGTGAATCTATTGTATTTGAAGGAAACAACGAAATTTAATTTTAAGATGAATACTATGAAATTCAATTCAATATTGATGCAAATTATTTAATGCCAAATTAAAAAACAATTGTAGAATTAACATCATATCTAATAACTGATGATAATAATAAAAATTTTAAATAACAAAATTTAATCAAATTAGGAGAACAATATCACTTAGTAATAATATAATATATTATAAATAGTCAATATTTAAATTTCTTCCATTTAGAATTGTTATTAAAGTGTTAAAGAAATTATCTGAAATTTTAGATTTGCATGATAGTTATTCTAAAACAGGAGAAATCAAATTATTTACTCATATCCCAAATTAAAATATTAAAATCAAAGCAATAATATTAGAAATGATAGCTTATGAGTAATTACATCTATTTAATAAGAGCCGCATAGTTTAGTTCAGAAATTAGTTTTGTTCCTTATCTATCTGGCATAAGATATTATTCTTATTATTATTTCTTTTCAACACTTGCTTTAGGAACTTTCCTACTCACATTTCTTTTTATTATTTTTTGGGAAGTAAATATATTAAACTTAAAATTAGATTGTCTTAAATATTAATCTTTGGGTTTTTATTTCAGGTATATTAAAATCCTTCCATGTTCCTAACAGAGAATGAATTATTTGTTGTATATATTATATTTAAATAATTTTTATAAAAAAAAGTAAATTAACGATTTACAAAGCCATTTCTATTTGACGTATTAACACAATTGTTCATATTTTATTATTTATTTCATTAATAAACAAAGATGGAATGTTGTTACATTTTATGTCCTTCTTGCTAAGTTAGTGTCGGCTTTTTGAATTGTTGTACTTGCCATAAGTATTTTGTATTATCATAATGCAATGGTTTGCCTGTTACTTGCCCCATTTGTGTGAATGTAAATATATAAGACTAATATCATTTTAGATAAGATTAGATACTTATTATCAAAGTGATGAAGATGTTGAGTTACATAGCTAGTGTTACAGAAATTCAAAAAGAATGTTTTATCATTGTCAGTGTTGCAATGGTTATTTTTGCAAATGCGTGTAAGACATTTCCATTAAATTTTAAGAGAAAAGCAACTGAAAAAATAAATTGCTTTAACTCCTTGTCCTTTGCCCAAGAGAAAAGCTTAAAAAGTTTGAAATTAACAGTTTAAAACTTTTGATCTCTACTTTTTTTGTTTGCATGTATCAAATATTAATATGAAATTTTGATATCACTATTATAACAATCACCAAAATTTTAATTTTTTGGTTTCTTTAGAGCATACTTGCAAGAAAAACAATGCTCAGTCATTTTAAAAAAATAATATTTTATTAACTTCATACGTAATGTAATAAATCACAATTTTTTTAAATTAATTTTACATATTTTATTGTAACAAATTAAAATTGGGCTCTTACTTTTTTTGCAAAACTCATTACAAATATTAGAGGTTAATAGACGAAATTTATAGAGCCATTACATAAGATAAAAGTTTTTCCTTTAAATATTTGAATTAATTATAATATAATATAAATAAAATTTATATATAAAAAAACTCAAATGGTTTTAAATTCTTAGTTAATATGCTAAACAATTATTGACTAATAAGGATTTTAATATATGAATTAATTGTGTAATTTTATAATATTTTATCAAACTTTGGATTTCACAGTAGTATTTTCTTTAGTTAAATCTGCTTATATTTATCTCACTCTTTATGAACGCCCTTTTGGATTAACAGTCTAAACTATTAAAATATAAATTAGAGAATAATACTTCTAGTTCTAGGAGATAACTATCTATCAGTTAATATTTAAGTTGGAGTAGTTGAATCTTCATTTGTTTAGATCTAATCCATTAAATAAATAATATTACAATTTTAGCTGGACAATTGAATTATTCTATATTATAGGTAACATCATCACTAATTTATCTGCATGATAAATTTTATTAATCAGGGTTTCTTGTTGAATTAAGCATATCAGTTAAATTAAAATTTATAGAATCTGTTTCACTTTTATGTATTGAAGATGGTTATACTTTAATTTTACCAATATGACCTTAACTTAAAGTATTCTTAAATAATTAAATAATTTACTTTAAAATGACCTTTTTATCGAGATGAATTAAAATCATTAGAAAAATTATTTTTTTTATGCTTAATTTATTGAGGAGTCATATTTTAAATTTCTTAAAGATTAATTTAACTAAGAGCATTTTCATAAAATTAGTTTTAGCTTTTTTATCTTGTAAGTTGAGTTTATATAGTTTTTAATTATTATTCTTTTTTGAGAGATTCTTCAATTAGGAGAGACTATTTTCTTTAAAAATCATTCTTCAATTTGAGAGCAACAACTTAACATTGTTCTGCTATTTTTTTTTCATTATGAAACTTTTTTGTTAATTCAGTCTTTTATTAAACTAATTTGGTTTCTTTATCATTCAATTACTGATTCAATATTTTAAGTTAAGAATCCAATTTATAATTAATCTCTCTACATTAGTTATAGATTAAACTAATTACTTTTATTCTAATAGTTGTTTTTCCAAAATTATTTTATCTTGCTCAATTTGAGAAAGCTTAGCTATTTACAATTATTCTCTTTATTGGGTCATTATCTAATATTGATTATTCTAAATCATTGTGTCATTATGAGCTTTATTTAAATCAGCAATTTATTGCATTAAGCTTCTTTACTAATTTATATCTAAAATTTACTGCTGAATCATGAGCATTATTAGATTCTTAAATAGCTTTTTATAAAATGCCTTTATCCTTAGATTCACAATCCAATTAATAGGTAAGTTCTTTGAGTTTAAATTTCAAACAATTGAAGTCCTATTGAATAAGATGAAATAATTATACATATTCAAAAATAGATTTCTAATTACTAAGGGCATCAGCAAATTCATGAGCAAGTCCTTCTTTTTCGATTTCATGTTACTTTTTGATTTGACACAATTAAAATTGGAATTCAATACAATATATACATTTTCTAAATGAACTTAATATTTACTTTTCTACATCCTCTTAATAATCTAATTATAATTGCTTATAATCATTTTACAATTAAAGAAACTCTTGACATTTCTTACGATGCTGAAAAATAGTAGTTGAATCTTACTTCATATTCAAGGATTGTAATTTTTTCTTAAAGTGTAGTTTTGAGATTAGATAATTCTTTTTCATGCAGTTAATTTAATAAATGTATTTCTTTGCCCTTATCTTGATTTGCTATATCATTCATGGCATACATTAAGGATTCATTAAGTCTCTTAAGATTAATTTCCCTATCTAGAGCTTCTTTAAGCTACATCTCTAATAAAATAGATTTATTCATTAACTGTTTATGTGATTATTATATATATATATAAATAATACTGTCTAGAAATAATAATATACTATGAATCTAATAATAAAATATGGTTAAATTTGATTAAGAAAGAATGTATTCATAATAAAATTCTAATAAAAATAGTAATATGTGATACGTGCTATGCTTTTATTAAAAATTATATTAAAAATGTAATTTGGTTAAAATACAAAATAGTTTATGACTCCTGAAATGATGAAATCAATGTCTCAAATGTGTGCAAATATGAGTGATGATTAATTAAGATAGTATGCTTAAATGGCAGGAATGGGAAATGTAGATCCATCATTTTTGAGGTAATAAATGGGTTAAGTAAAAAATATGAGAGATGAGGATTTATAGAGATAAGTTAATTAAGTATATTTATTTAACATTCATCTTAGACTCGTCCTGAAGATATAGAAAGAGCAAAATAAAGAGTTTAAGCATAATAATAATAATAGTAATAATAATAGCAATAGTAATAAAAACCTTAGAGTGATCAATTCCCCATTATTAACAAATTAAAAAATTAAGGAAATGATGCATTTAAATCTTAAGAATATGAAAAAGCTGCATCAAAATATTATGAAGCTATTTCTGAAATTGAAGAATTATGGGAAAATAATACTTATTTAAAAAATGACACTTAAAAAAAATAAGAATTAAAATTATTAGAACATTCTTGTAGATTAAATTATTGCAATGTTAAAGCAAAACAATAATAATTTGATGTTGTTTTACGTTAAGCTAAAAAAGTATTAGAAGATGATGATTAAAATGGAAAAGCTAATTTTAGAATGGGTTAAGCACTCTTTGAAACAAAAAGATATTAAGAAGCATTAGGATATTTAGAAATAGCAACTAAAAAATTACCAAATGATGATACAGTTCTATTAATGTATAAATAAACTAAAGAATAATTGAATAATATAGATGTTTAATTACCATAAAATTAATAAAATGAAACAAATTCTTAAGAATAGGAATAGAAAATTGAATAAACATAAAATGTATAATAAGAAGAAAAACTTAATTAAAATGAATAGGTCTAATAATAGGTCCCATAGGTCTAATAAAATTAAAAAGATAATTAAGAAAATTAAGAAAAATAGGATTAAGAAAATGAATAAAAAAAACCAAAAATTAAATTAACTTCGGTTGATACAAGTAGTGAAGAATTTTAAAATTTCAAATAAAAAATGTAATCTAATAAAGAAGATGGTATAATAGTAGATGAAAACATATCAAATTCTAAAGATTTAACTAATAAGTCTGCTCCTAAAAAAACAGAAACATAGAATTCTAATAAAATTACAGAAGATTCATAATTTCAATAATAATTTGATTAATTTAAAAATATGGTAATAATTATTAGATGTATTAATTATAGTCTCCTGAATAGTTAAATTATATGACAAATACTTTGAAAACAATGGATAAAGGATTTTTAAAATAAATGATGAAATAATAAAGTGGTGTAGAGATGTCTGACTAATAAATAGAAATGATGTAAACTATGATGACACCTGAAATGTTGTTATAGATGAAAAATATAGATCCAGCAATTTTAAAATAATAAAAATAATAATAATAATAATAATAATAGTAATCTAATTAATTCGATTAATCTACATAATCTAATTAATCCAATTAATCTGTATCATAACAATAAAATAATTCAAATGGATCTTAAAATCCAACAACAGCTACTCAATAAATGCCCTAAAATTTATCAGGTTTAGCTTAAAATCCTTAAATGCTTGAAATGGTTATTGACCAATTAAAAAATAATCCATAAATGTTAAAAATGATGGCTCCAGCATTTGGTGGCAATAATGCAATTACATAATATATTGATTCTGCAAGGTGAAATTTGATATTTTATAGTTTTAGTCCTGAGTAATTATAGAAAGTGGTTGGTAGATTAGCGATATTCTTAAAGTTTATTCTAATGGTGTATAGAGCATGGTTAATGGTTAAAAATTAATGGAAATTTATTTTGGGATTCCTCTTGGCGTACTTATATTTTAAATTATTTTGAATTGTAAAGAATAAGTTATTAAATTATATTTATTAATGGACCCACCTATAGGGAAGGATCTCACAAATTCAGTTATTGGAAAGGTTTATAAGTTAACAAAGAGAATAGGAAGTGGAGCTTTTGGAGAAATTTATCAAGTAACAAAAGGAAAAGAAGAATATGCAATGAAATTAGAAAAGAGCGATACTAAATTTCCTCAATTGTTTTTTGAAGCCAAGCTTTATACTTATTTATAAGGTTCTGATAATAATGATAAAGGTACTTTAAAAGTTAATTAAAAGTTAGGAATCCCTAGAATATATGCTTAAGGAACAGACGGTGATTATAATTACATCGTCATAGATTTGTTAGGTCAAAGTCTCGAAGACCTTTTCAATAAGCATAATAAAAAACTATCTTTAAAAACTGTAAGTAGCTTTTATTTATTCTTAGGTATTGATGCTTGGTGAATAAATGATTTAACGAATTGAATATATTCATTTAAATAAATTCATTCATAGAGATATTAAGCCAGACAATTTCCTTATTGGATAAGGATAAAAGGCAGTCAGAATATATCTATTAGATTTTGGATTAGCTAAACGTTATTAAACAAAAGAAGGTCACATACCATATAAAGAAGGAAAAAGTCTTACTGGAACTGCCAGATATGCATCTATCAATACTCATTTAGGAATCGAATAATCTAGAAGAGATGATCTTGAATCTCTTGGCTATGTCTTAATGTATTTATTAAGAGGTTAGCTTCCTTGGCAAAATATGAAAGCTAATAATCAAAAAGATAAATATCAAAGAATTATGGAAAAAAAATTAGAAACTTCATCTGATGTCTTATGTAAAGGCTTTCCTATTGAAATGAGTTAATATTTAAATTACTGCAAAAATTTAAAATTTGAAGAAAAACCTGATTATCAATACCTAAAAGGTTTATTTAAAGTATGTTTTATTTCAATATATTTTAGGATGCTTTTTAAAGAATTGGTTATGAACTAGATTATAAGTATGATTGGATTAAGGATGAAAATGTAATAAGAACTTAATAAGTTTTAATGAGTGCTGAAAAACAATAGTTACATTAACAATTAATTATGACATAGCCATTACATTAATAACCTCCAATATTACCAAAAGGAGCTTTGAACCCAATCGATTCAGAGAAAAAACTCTCATTTGCAAACAACTAATTAAATACTTAACAATTCATGGTACAAAGAAAAACATTATAGCAAAATTAAGTTAATAAAATTTCATCAGTTGAAAAGAAAAGAACGATTTCTTAAATTAGAAAACAGATTTCATAAAAAGATGTCTTAAAGCCAGTTACATAAGTATTAGCACCAAAGATAGTCACTACTAAGGAACCTCACAGAAAATATTGATATTCTTAAATTTTAAACATATTTTAATATTTAATTCTCAATAAATATAAATTACCCGCTCATTTAGATGTAAAACAGAACTCTGAATTAGTTTAACAAAAATTCATCAGCAATGCAGGTTGAAGAACCTATAGTCAAACCTATGTTACCATGGGTTGAAAAATAGTATGAACAGTTTGTATAATATTAAAGTCGTCCAAACAAAATAGAGGATCTTGCATATTAAGAAGAAGTGGTTTAGAGTTTATAAGGAGTCTTAAAAACTGGAAATTTACCTCATCTTTTATTACATGGTCCTCCAGGAACAGGGAAAACATCCACAATAATAGCATTAGCTAAGTAATTATTCGGACCAGATTTTTGGAGATTAAGAGTTTTAGAATTAAATGCTTCAGATGATAGAGGAATAAATGTTGTAAGAAATAAAGTCAAAAAATTTGCAGAATAAATAGTTGCTAAAAACCCAAACTCTGGATTTATATGTCCAAATTATAAAATAATAATACTTGATGAAGCTGATTCAATGACCAATGATGCTTAAAGTGCTCTCAGAAGAATTATAGAAGATTATGCTTCAACAACTAGATTTTGTATTATTTGTAATTATATCACAAAAGTAAATAAGTAATATCTATTAGATTATTGAACCTTTGGTTTCAAGATGTGTTAAATATCGATTTAAATCTATTCCTGAAAATGAATAAATAGAGCGACTGAAGCATGTGGCTTAATAAGAATCAGTCTAATATAATATGGAAGCATTAAAATAATTAGTACTTGTTTCAGGAGGTGATCTTAGAAAAAGTGTGAATATGTTATAAAGTTCATCTACTTTATATGAGAAGAATATAAATAAAAAAGCTATCAATGAAATATCAGGAGTAAATCTAAATATAATATTATAGTTCATACCAGATGAATAGATAGATGATCTAATTTCTGTAATTTAGACTAATAGTCTTAGAAGTGTTCAAGCAGAGTGTACCAGAGTTATTTAATAAGGTTTCAATATAGAATAGCTAGTAATTTCTATAATTAAAATAGATTTTATAATTTTTGGAAGTTGTGCTATAATCAAAAGAAATTAAAGAAAAACATAAGGCTAAGATTATGGAAATTGCAGCCAGCACTGAGAAATGTTTGATTGAAGGATCAGCAGAGGATTTATAAATATTTAATTTAATGGCTTAGTGTTAACGTGTTATAAATGAAAATTGATTAATTAATTTTATATATTCATAATGATAGCTAATCATCCTGCTTATCCAACCAAAGAAATAGATAAATATTATTTACAAACTAAATTACCTGAGTAATTAATATTATTGATTTAGCTATTAAACAGTTCCAACTAATAATTATTAAAAGAAAACTCATGATTATTATAATGATAACACCCATATTTGGAACAATCCTCATCAAGCTAAATCTAATGCAAAAATATTTACTTAACTAAAATAATAATAATAAAGAGGAGAAAAAAGAATTAAAAAAATGCTTGACCTTTAGTAATAAGATAAATAAGAATTGTAGAAAAATAAAATTATTTATTATAATCTAGCTAGAGACGAAGATTTAAATAGGTTATAATAAAGAAAGTTAGAAAGAGGAAGTCTTTAAAATCTAAGTTAATAATAAAATGATGTTTAAGTTGAAAATATTGTTTTAAAACCCATCTAATCAAAAACTGCACTTTTAGGTAGGCCAGATCATTTATGGAATAAATTAAACCAGTAATCTTAAAAATATATTAATCTTCTGATTAATCCTAAAATTCTTAAAATGGAAGAATAAGGAGTTTAGTTTATTACTGAAAAAATTAATAAAGATATTCAAATTGAATAGATTAAAGAAGATTTAAGACTTAAAAATATGGATTTAATAAAGTAATAGAGTACTCGTCGCAGAATACTTAATCTTGAATTAGAATAAAGAAGTGGAATATCTCCTTCAAGATAAAGCATATAGAGAGGAGCAACAGAATAAAGAAGATTATCTAAAGATGTTATTGAATAGACTCTCTAATAATTGGATAAACATTAATAATCATAAACTTTATAACAATTTCATAATTAAATTTAAACATCCACTCAAAAAAATCTTACTAGCAGACCCTATACAGTTGGAAGTGTACTCAATTAGGATTTCAATTCTATTTCATTTAATACTGGTTAAACTATAAAAAATGAGTAAAATTAAGTCCCTTTGTTGAAAAAACCTTAGCCTTCTTCTTAATTAATGTTAAGTAGGTATTCCTAAATTTATATATTAGTTAAAAGTCTAAATCTACTTCTACATTAAATCATAAACATCCCTTAGATAGAACTGAATATAAGGGTTTGTTATTATGTTAAGCTGTTGAGTAAGCAGAAAGTAATTTCAGTAGAACTTTATAAGCCAATAGTTCCTTATTAAAAGAAGCTTCAATTTATTTGAATAAAAATAAATAATAGATTATTCCTAAAAAAAGAAGGTAAATTAAATTTGCTAATCTTCTTAATAATTAAAAAAAGAATGATTCACATGACTAATAAAATGTAAATAATATGTTGGACAGTTTTGAAAGAAAATTATATCGATCTCGTAATTTCGATGAGGAAGAAATCTGAAGATTTAATTTATATTTAATTTTTTATATATATTAATGAACATCAATTAAGACATTAATATATCTTTATAGATTTTAAGATTATTTGATAAGTCAATAGAATTCAGATATAAATTTAATTATAATATATCTATATATATATATTTTCAATAATATATCAAACTTCATCTAAGGATTAATTTTGACTGGATTTATTTAGATTCTTTTTTGATAATTTTTAATTGGTTGGCATAAAACTTGAAGTAACAGTTAAGAATCTTCCATCTCTAAAGTTGTTAACCTCCAACATTTTTTAATTCAAATGTGTAATACCTAATCTGGTATTAGTATATTTCTAAATTAAATTTAAAATATAGTTTACTTGCATAAAACTTGGTAATAAGGAACGTTAATCACATTCCCTATCTAACATGGTTTTGAAGTTAGGAGCAGTTGGAGAACTAAAGAGTTAGCTTTTAGGTTATTTGGAATATTCATCATATTCAAAATAACTTTCAAAATTATAAGGAGGTATCTTAGTTAAAATATCTTTTCTTTGTTCCAATTTATAGAAGGGTGCTCCACAACTACCCAATTATCTAATATAGTTTTTTATATATATTAACTTTTTGCCAAATTCAAAATTAGGTTTATAATCAGGTGCAAATTCTTTCTTTTTATAAATCAACATTTAATCTCTAGATAATTGTTTTTCCAATTTAATTTATGGATATCTTGGTACTTTAGTCCATTAATCAGTAACATTTAAATATTGAAATCGATCTGGATGAGGATTAGGTCTTCCTGAAAAAATGTCAGCTCTATTAATGAAAGATGAATAAACCTTGGTATTTATCTTTACAAATCAACAAAACTATCATATTTAAATTTAGGTTTTTCAAGAATAGGTTTACTATTATCATAATTAGTGATATTACTCTAGAGTAGAATTTGGTTCATGTTTATGTGGAACTTCTTTGGAAATAGTTGGAATAGTTTGTTTCAAAGTTTTATCATAATTTGGAACTGAATGTATAGCTCTGTCAAAAGTATAGGATATTGATGTTACTTATCAAGTTCATTATATTTAACATGATATTGTCCACAAGAGGCTTTGCAATTGTTTGGAATCTATGTATAATGTCCGACTTATCTAGAGATCTATTTGGTAAAGGGTTGTTATAATTTTAGAAGATGTTTTAGATGATTTTCATCTGTTTCATTAAGCGATTGTTAAAGAGATAATGTTTTCTTTTATAATGAATCAGAAGATTTTATTGGTTGTGGTTTATTGAACTTTTTACTAGAATGATAATCTTAATCTCTTTGTTGGAAGACAATATATTTTTCAGATGTTATTTTTCCTGCCTTACTAAACATATTTTATAAGTCATTTTAATTAGGTATCAGAGCCATTTTTAATAAATAATAATTAAGGAGGTGACATTTTATTAAATAATATAATAAAATGGAGAAAATGGAAATGGTTTCATCTTAATTACCATTAGTAAAGGATAGAGGTGAATGGAATCAATAGACATTTATTATTCGACCAAAATTTGAAAAGAAAACTCGCTAGAGTATTGATAATTAATTAGAGATACAGTTTCCTTTGCACAGAGAGTTTGATTTTGTAGCAAATCATGCATTAGGTTTTAAAGGGAAAGGAAATGTGGATTTGTTTAAGTTCTATTATAGATTATACATGAAAAATAAGTTTGCAATTCAGAAAATAAGAAAGGAGAAGAAAGCAAAAGATGGATAAAAAAAGAATGAGATTACAAAGAAGTAATAACTAAATTAGACCGAAGAACCAAATACAGAAGAAATACGTAATGCATACAAAACAATACAAATTAAACCTCCATCATAGTAGAAATAACTGAAATTTGTAAGGGATTGTATTAAGAATTTATAAGAAAAGGCTGCAATAGTAAATAAACATATAGAATTGCCTAAATTAGTTAGTCCATAAACTTAAATAAAAGTAGTGAACATGGATGTTACAAAAATTCCTTAGGCAAAAACTAGGGATTAATAATTAGAACTGGAAGAATTAATGTTAAGTAGAGTTGTATAAGCAATTTAAGAATCTTAGATGGTTTCACATGAAGATGTAAGAAAAGTAAGAGAAATCATTCTTTAAAGACATAATTAATTAAGTGAGATGGAGAGAGAATTATAATTGAATCAAATACTCGGAATTAAAAAATAAATATATGAAAGAGAAGTTGCTATGAAAAATGAACTTAATAAACCTCCAGGAATTGATAATCCTGATAATTTTAATGAATTAAGTTCTATTTAAGAAGTATCACTTATTCGATCTATTTAATATAAATCTTAACCAAATGTCAGTGTTACTGAATATAAATTTAATAATTATGAAGATGAACCTGAATCTAATGATATCACTAATAAATCTAAAATAGATCTTAAATAGAAGTAAATTGAAGAAACACTAATCTAAGAATAATCTACTGAAATGCAATCCATCTTATAATAAATTAGATCTTCTTCTATTGTCACAAAAGGAAATGAAACTGAACCTAGTAAAGATAAAATATAAGATAAAAATAAATTATTACCTACATTAAAGTTTTTAGAATAAGCCAAATAATAGATAGCTTAAAGATCTGATAATGATAGCCAATAATTATTGTAATAACCATACTTCTAACCAGATATTGAAGATACAAGCAAATCAAAAATTTAGTAAAGTTTATCAATGGTTTCGTAATTATAAAATAAAACCAGTAAAACAATTAAATCTAGTATGAATAGATCTAATTAATTGATTTCTTCTTCATCTAATCATCATTCTAATTAATTGAGTCTTGAAAAGAAACCTATTGAATCTATGAGAAAGAGTGCTTATAAATAAAATAATGAAGAATTGAAACCTAAACATTCTACTAAAGAACTTGATGCTAGTGATGAATTCAAATTTGAAAGATAAAACTATTATGAAATGAAATTTAGTCAAATCTTATAAAGAGTTATTGATTAAAAGAAAATTCAAGGAGGAGAAGAATCTTAGCATTCTTAAACACTTTCTTAAGTTGAATCTGAAACAGTCTAAAAAATTACTTAAAATTTAGTAACCAATATAATTAATATGCATAAAAATCCTACTCCAGTTATGGATTAACCTTCAACTTTTAATTATCTTGATATAGAATCTGATGATTAAGAAAAAGCAACTAAAAGTATACCAGTTATAAAAAATGAAGAAATACCTGATGAACCATAGAGACAATTATCTTATAATAGAGACATAACTCATCTAGATCATACATTTAAAATTGAAAGTTAAGTTTCTCTATCAGATAAAAGATTGAATGAAGAATAAATTGCTAATATTATATAATAGATTTCATAATAATTACAATAAGCTTAAATTCCTCCGGATTAAATTGATAAATAATTACATGAAGTTACAAATATCTTGCTTAAACATCCTATTGGTAAATTGTCATCCAAATTAATGAAATAATCTACAACTATTATGTAAAATGAACCAACTAGAAAAATCTATTTAGAAGAAACTAGGTATCCAGCTAAACCAACTAAAATTACACATAATAGAGATTAAATTGATTATTTAAAATTTTATGAAGAAAATGCTCCATCTAAATAAGAAAAATCAAAAAAAAGTTATAAAATGCTTGATAATTCTAAACGATCTAAATAATCTGCATTACTTAAAAGTATGTCTGAAGATGAACGTAAACAATTTCTAGATTCTCATAAAATGAATCTCTAAGAAAGAGCTAATTCATAAGAAATGGATGAAGAAATGTAATTTCTATAATCTGTTATAGATGATTAAAAAAAATAAAGAGAATAGATTTTCAATAAAAAATAATCGCAACCAAATTAATCAGGTAAGAATACATCCAGAGATTAAATTGATTTCGATGAATCAAGTGAAAAATAATAAAATACATTTCGTTCTCATAATCCACCAACCAATATTAATTATGAATCTGATTAAATTAAATAAGGTTAAACTGAAACCAATTTTAATATAAGAAGACCTTAGATCAAATAAAAAACAGATTAAACTTTCAATAAATCTGAAAATACTTAACAATTTTAAATCTCAAGTTAATAAGGTACATAAAGAACTGAACCTAATAAAAGTAAAACTAAAAGAATTAATTAAGAAGAAAATGATGGATCATAAAAATCTTAAGGAACTTATAAAAGTCTAAAGCAAGGTTATAAAGATAGAAGTGATAAAGATAATGAAAAATAAGAAATTCATTCTCCAAATACATCAGTTGAAGAAGTACCTCATCAAGATGAATAAGATCAATAAACTGATAAGGATGATGACTATTATGAGGAAGAAATCCAATAATAAATAGATGAAAATGGTAATACAATTAATGTAGTAACCAAAAGGAGTTTTAAACCAGTTACAGAAAGAACAAAAAAAACTGATCCTAGATAAACTGAAAGATCTAAAAAATCAAAATAATCAGATTAATAATCATAATTATAAGTTAATAAATAAAATCCAAGAGAAAAAACAAAATAATCTTAATATAAAGAATAAGAATAAATTTAGGATCAGTAAGAGAACTCAAATACATAACAATAGCCAATTTAAAAATAGATATCATCTTAATAATAATAATAATAATAATAATAAGAAGAATAATAAGAAGAATAATAATAATAATAATAACAATAACAAATTTAATAAGAATAAAATAATAATAATAATAATAATGAAGATAGATAAATTAAATTAAATTTTTAACGTTAAGACAGTAATTAAAATGTTGCTGAAAATTAATCTTAATAGATTTATTCTTAATAATTAAGAAATAGAACAAATTTATAGGATATTTAATTGAAAAACTTTTAGCCTTCATAAAATTAATCTTTGGTTAATAGCAGTGGAACACCTCAATAAAATAATACTCCTTTATAAGTACCTGGTAGAAAATAGGGAAATAAGAAAACAAAATTTGAAGATTAAAGTGGAAACAATAATAGTAATACACCTTAAGCAAAATTATAAAGAGTAAAAACAAAACTTTCGAGATTTTAGGAAGCAGCAAATAATAATGATGATGATGAATATGATTATGATTGGGATGAAGAGGATCCAAGTAATAAAAAAAAGAAAATTACATCAAAATCAAGTAAATCAACATTAAGAAATGATATTTAATCGCCATCTATATCTCCAATGACAAAGTAGCAAAATCAAGCAACATTGGCAAAGAAGAAAGTTTATGATCTAAAATAAGAATATGAGTTAATTGCAAGATAAAATTTAAGTTTGGCAGATTTGAAAAGAGATATTGAAAAGAAAATATGTCAATTATAAAATCCAGATGATGAAGCAAAATATAATATTTATTTATGTAAGATTATTTAATAAAACATATATAGATGAATAACGTTAAAAATAATTGAAGAATTTACCTTAAACAATAGAAGGATTAATAAATGACAAAAGAGAAAATGAAGATACATGTGGGGATACAATAAGAAAATTTCATGAAAATAGAATGAGATATAAAGATGTTATAGAAAAGGATTAAGCACTTAAATTTACAAATCAAATATAATTAGATGATGATTAATAAACTTAAATTAACACTTAGTCTCATCTTGATGAATATATGAAAGAAGTATAAATGAATATATAAAGAATGATTTAATAGGTGTAATTAGGTAAAATATTAGATTAATTTTTATTAGAATAGATGAGAGATCATCCAGAGGTAAGAAGAGAATGCTTTGATTATGATACTAGTCTTATGTAGTAAAGGAAAATGGAATCATTAACAAGTGAGATAGTGTAGACATAAGCATAAATGAAAATATATGAAGAACCTACATAAGAAACTTAGAGAAGAACTCAACATGTAGAATAAGATTCTGTAGTGTCAAATTTAATTGATAAAAAATTTGATGTTTTAGCATAAAAATTAAGAGCTTTGAAAAACAAGAATCCAGAAAAATTTAATTAAATTGTAAGTACAGAAATTGTAAAAACAGATTTATTTTTAACAACTACCAAACACAAATATATATTAGAATGATTAAAATATATTTATTAAATTAATTAATTTATGAACAATATAATCTTAAATATTGATACAAGATGTAATCATATGTTTGTAAAAATTGTTCTATAATAAACTTAAGTATCCTAAAGACGACTGGATATATTAAAATATAAATCTGGTAAATAAGGATACTTACATGTAATTTTATTAAATCTCACTATATATGTGAGATCTCCATTTTAGCTTCTAGGTTGACAATAATATTATTATATATAATATCAATATGTATCATAAAAAATTAAATATGCTTCACCTTGCAATGGTTGTTTTGTAAGAACGACTTTAACATCAGAAGTAATGTACCATTCACATTTCTTGTAAGATTTATCTTAACTCATAGATGATTCAAGATCTTAAGCAAAAGTTCTTTTGTATGCAACATAATGTCCTAGAATGATGATAAAAAAGAATTACCAGAATACGAGTCTCCTAAATGACAAACTAATGCTGAGAAAGAGTATTGTTTATTAGCAACAGTAAAAGTGGAATCTAAATGAACAGGATAATCTAATTTAATTAAACCATAATTGGGATGCACAATGAGTCGATTAACAAAGAAACAAAAAGTTTTCTAATTAAAATATAATAGTATACAGGATATTTAGCAATATGTGTATAACGTGTTACTGTTCTTTTAAGACATGCCTTTTATGGATCTATTTAGTATTGATTACCTTGAATAGCATTTAATAATGCAATAATTTTTTTAATCATAGTGAATGAATCCTCATCATAACTGTTGACAGAAAGATAAGAATCAATTAATGTTTGTTATTCATTTAGAGTATATTTCTTCTTCAAAAATTACAAAGAACAATAGAAACAAATGTAATCAGTGATAATTTCAGGTTTTTGTATATAATCAATAGCTTCTTTGATTGTTCTGGCATAATTTAATTAGAAATGGAATGCATAATTACTTTCTACTTTGAGTGAATTAAACTAAAATTATATATTTAGAAAAGATTACAGACTAGTTACAAGAATTACATTTAATCTAAACTTTAGTATGATGAAGAAATGGATTTTTGGATTTCATTTATTTAGACTTCAACATAGTTAGATCAAATGAATTAACTTGGTTATTAGCTTCTTCAATATGTTTCATAAGCATATTGAAGAGTTCATGGGAATCTTATTATTGATAAAAGAAGGAGTAATCAGCATCTTCAGAGAGTAGTTGAATTAAATCAGATGCATCAATGACTTCTAGATCACTATTTAAATATTTCATGATTTTAGCTAATTCTAAACAGATCTATTATGGTAATGTAGTTTATCCATTAATATGTTAAACTAATTCAAATAAATATTCAATGAAATTGGGTTATGAACTTAAGGCCACTAATTATGTAATTTATCGTACTTATAATACTGAATTTAAGAAACATGTATTGCCATTGTTTATAATACCTGCTGGTTTTTTATTGTAATCAAGATTGGTGGATGATTGTAGTAGACTGAATTCTATCTGAGTTGTAGGTAATGATATTTTAGATTTCATTGTATATTTGAATGCTCCAAGTAAAGCAAGCATAATAGCACCTCCATATACCCAATGTCCTTTATTTTTAATCATATTTATATTTAAAATTATATATTAATATATTTAAGTAATTTATTTGAATAAATAACTTTCTTAATGTAAACAAACACCAAAGTCTGTGTGGATATCCATAAGACTCTTGAAGATAACTTTAAAACAATCAAAGAGTAAGGCACTAATGAAATATGTAATTTCATGTTATCCAGTTTACGTGATTAAGTAACATAAATTTTAAATTAATATCTAAGGACTTGCCATAATATATAAGATTACAATATTTGTATAATGTCCATTAGATCAATTAGAAATTGAGTTTGACTGAATTGTGTAACAATTAATTGGAATTGAACATTGTAAACAATATCAAATATGTATTCTCAATGCAGTATGATAGAGTATGGATAAGATTTAGATTCATTATTGAAATAAATTGATTCATCTCTTACTTCCTCCTCTGAATATTTGAGACCCATCCCTTAAATCTTAACACCATCATGGGAAGATATTTCACCTCCATTTATACATCAACCAGTTTGGGATTATAATATTAATCCATTCCTATTTCGAATATTCATAGCCTAAGCATAATCTACCAAACTATCTACTTAGGATTAATAGATGATATTAACTCTCTTCAAACCTGAATATAAAATTGATTTAACTCAATTCAACAATCTTGTTGAATACAATCCTCAATTAGTCAGTGATATTATCACTAAATTACACTAATATGGAGTTAATGTTCATGAGTACATCTTTCATACCATTATTTTATAGATATTTAGATTTCCTCATTCAAATCAAAGTTACTATTCAAACTTTAGAATTAGTCAATCAACTCACCAAGAATATTACACTTCCTGATTAATTCCTTAATATGTTTATTACTAGATGTATTGTAACATGTGAAGAAGTTAAATAAGTATAACTCTTAAACTTATTATTTTTATTAGAATCAATAACAATTAGCCAGATAAGTCAGACTTGTTTCAGTCTTCATTAAGACTCTGATCAAATAAAAAACATTTGATCCTAAGAAGATTTATGTAGAACTCTAAGGGTTCTGCTTAGAGTTTTCTTCAATCTAAGAAGCAACTCAATTATTTAAAGCCATTAAAAATTCTGTCCAAGAATAATGAGTTTAAATATCAATATAATATTTTATAATTATTTCCTATGAGACATCAAAGAATTGAATCTCTAGGTCCCTTGGAAGATGTTAGAAAAAAACATACCAAAAGTGAAGTTGTCTTATCATCCATGTTTAAATTACCTAAGGTACAAGTACCACAAAGTAATATCAATTTTTTCATTTTAGGTTCAAAAAATGCATTATCTGTAAATCCTAATTGGTCTCATCTAAATTACTAAAATGATAAGTCTAAAACGAATAACACATATCTAGAAATTCAAGAAATACTTTTATAATAAGTTTCGTTATCATATCCAAATGTTTTAAATTAAGTGAAAAAATTTATTTAATAATCCTAAATGGGTATCACTTTAACAGAATTAACAAAAAATAGTTAATTAATTGAAAGTTCTATTAATCTTTTTACTCAATCTATCTAAATCATACTTTAAATAATTAAAGAAAAAGAACCGAAAAAAATTGAATTAAATCCTCCAATAGAAACTGAAATTCAAAGAAAGTTCTCATTAGCATTAATGAAAGAATCCAATAATAAAATAGATCGAGAAACTTAAATCGTAAATAATGAATTAAAAATCATTAATCATAAATTGTAGAATGAACTTAATCAGTTAGCAACTAAATTAAGAAATCTAGAAATTAGTATGGATGTTGAACTTTTAAAAGAAAAGATAAAAGAATTGACAGAAGAATTAAAATAAAGAACATTAGAATTAAAAATTGAAATTCAAAATAGAGATTAATAACTGATCAAACATTTACAAAAAATTGCACAATTAAAATCAATTATTTAATAACACGATGAAAAAATAGAAGAATTATAAACATATATTAATACCAACTAAGAAAGATTTACTTAAATGGAAACTACATTCATGTCTGTATATAATGAAAGATATTATTGGAAAGACGTTTCAAAAATGTTAGAAGAGGATTTATTAAGTTAATAAATGAGATATTAAAAATTTTTGGCTGAAGAAGCTAAATCTAAAAAAAAACTATAATTATTATAAAGAGAATTAGATTAGATCAAAATAGAGAAGAGTAAAAGAGTAGAAATTCCAGAATTTAATAAAGAAGCTGAAGAAAACCTTCAAAAATTATTATATTTATTCACTAAAGAGAAATTTCATATGGTTCAAATGAAAGCGTTCATCTAGGATAAAATGAGTAAATTAAATGAGTAAGAATAATAATAATATTAATTTATGAAAAATTTAAAATTAGATCATATTTATATGGATAGACTAAATAAATATACTTATCCCAGATAATCATTTTTAGTATTTTATGAGAGTTAAATAAAATTAATTGAATCAGAATATAAAAATATTAATAGACATAAAATTTCTCTAAATTACTTTGCAATTATCCGAGCAATACTAGATGCTAAGTTTAATGAGTTTTAATATTTGGAGAATTTACAAGTAGCTTCTAAATTTGCAGATTTTGTTTTTTCTTGGATTAGTACATTCTCACTAGATAAATATACTAAATAGATTATTTAAGTGAACTAAGATTAATTAGATAATATTCGTTTAGATTTTTTAATGGATACATTGAATCCCAAACTAGGTTAAATACATGAAGTCATTACTTTTAAGTATTTAAATTAAAATAAATAGTTAATTTTTATTTGAGTAATCATCTCTTGATGAAGTATATTATTATTTGCATTGTAGATATATGCTTTTTAAAGGTTAAGTTAAGAATTTATCCAGATCTAACTTTGAAACAATTATGTATATAAAAATAGAATAAGCAGAATAATTAATCTAAGAGATAATGCATAAATACCCAGCAGAATAAATTATATATACAAAAAATATGATAAAAGAAATGGTTGTTACTAAATAGAAGATAAAATTAGTTGATAGTCATTATGTATTAAGAATATTATTAGAACTTTATAGATAAGAAAGATAAACTAGATTAGCAGTTCTTAAGGAAATGTTTCATTCTTGTTTATCATTATAAAGTTTTGGAAAATATGGAGTTAATTATCGAAATTTTAGAAAAATATTTTAATTTAATTTTCCAACCTCATCAGAAGTAGAAATTTGTTCTCTTTTTAGAGAAGCACATATGTGTGGTGATGGAATAGTGACTGCAGAATCATTTTTTACTGCTGCTACTGAACAAAATTTCTTTATTAAATAATTACAATTATAATATTTAATGCATCCTCCACAAGTTGAATTTTATAAATTAAGTTATTGTGAATTTAACTTACCTTATTTAGATTTTTATAATCATTACAATTAAATACCTAAAAAATTAATTTAAAATGTTTGTTTATCTATGGGTTTGGAATATGTAAATGCTGAATTGAATAAATATTATCAAATTATAGATGCTTTGTTTGCTCATCCTTATAATATTTATTCTTTAATATAAATGATAACCAAGTTAATTAGTATTTTTAATAAAGTATAGATGCTTAAAAATTTACAAAAAGCCTAAGAGGAATGGACTAGTATGGAATTAGAAGCTATAAGATAATTAGTCAATTAAATTCCAGGTGTTTTTGGATTGATTTTAGATTTAGATGGAGAGGAAAGATTAAATATAATTCAAAAAAATTAAAAAATTCGTGCATTACAATTAGTAGGAAAAAGAAAAGCTTTAAAATTTTATTCTTTTATATCAGCTATGTTAAATGCAAAAGTCAAACATGAAAAATAACCTGATGCATCACCAAAGAGGGGGATGAGAAAATCAGGTAAATTTTGAATTTATTTATTTAATTTTTTATTATTAAAATGTAATTAAAAATAACTTAAAATAAAAGAATAATTTAAAAAATTAATTTTATATTTGTATAAACTTCTTCTCATTTTTATACTAAAACTGCTTTTAACAATTAATCTATTTGTAATTTATTTTTTATAATTTAAGCTTTAATGTTTTAAATTTTAGATTTTTTTTCTTTTATAACTTCTTCTACTTCAGCAATTTTATCATATAATGGTTATTAAGCCTAATAATTAATGAATATTTATTACTTCTTCAGTTGCTCTATTCATATCAACCATTTTTTATTTAGAAACATTATAAATCTTTCTCCATTATTACAATTCCCTATTCATATTTTCAATATCATCTTAAATAAATTCAATTTATTTTGCTAAAGGATTCACATTCTGGCTCATAGATTGGATTAATTTTTGCATTACTATAGTATCAGAAACTTAGGATGTTCCTAGATTTTATGCAATTTCTTCTTTAATTTTATCTAATAATAAAAATTAAATTAATACCTTTTTAAACATTAACTTTTCCTATTCTCTTCATTTTAATTCCTTCTTAAGGTTAATCCTTATCTTTTTCTTCTTCTTTACCCTTATCTTAATTTTTCATATTATCCCTAACAAATTTACCATATTCTTAAGCATTAATATCAGAATTAGGTTTAACATTCCCTTAAATAACAATTCCATCATCATCATCATTATTTCCTTTGCCTTCTATAATTACATTAGCTGTTCCTCCTTTCTTTTAATTTTACTCAACTTAAACTTAATTACTAGGTAATTAAGGTGGTCTTTTTTTGGCAGTAGAAGGTCGTACATTCCCTTCTTATGTTTATTATTATTATTATTATTATTATTATTATTATTATTATTATTATTATTATTATGGAGGAGGTTATTATTATTTTTAAGTTTCTTTAGGTTATTAAACTGGAGGTTATTAAACTTATTATTTTGGTTTTGGATCTTCTTTTGGTTAAGCTGTTTTTTTTTCTTCAGGCTTCTTTTCCTCCTTTACTTATGGTGCTGCTTATTCTTTTGGAGGAGGTTATTAAGCTTTAGATTCTGGCTTGGGCTATTCTTTTTTTTAAGGTTCAGGATCTTTTGCTCCTGCTCCTCCTAAAATCTAAATATTAATTATATAACAATAGTACTTTTTTAACAAAAGGATCACTATTTTTACCACTAACAGCTGCTCGATATATTGCTTACAATAATAAATTTGTGTTCTCGGGTTCTAAACCTGCAGCTATTTTTCCTGGTTTTGCAGCTATTTCTTCCTTTAACATCATAGATGTCAAATCTATTATTTTCTATAAGAATAAAAGCTTCTTATCTTTATTATCATATGCATTTCCATCTAATTCGTCACCTGTATAAAGGCCTTTTGCATAACCTAATATAAATTTAAATTTGAAACCTGTTTATTTAGTTGTCTCCATTATTATATCAAATATATATTTAAATGGAGGCTTTTCAAGTAATTTCTATGACATTTTAGGCTTTTCAAATAAAGCACTATATAAATCAGCTGTAGGTTTCCAAAAATCTGCCATTATTTTATTAAGAAAAAAGAAATAATTATTCAATATTAAAACTTTTTTCTTTAAATTCTAAGAACTCCAAAAATTACAAATTTAAATACTAAAAATACATCACCAATAAAAGCAAATCACTTTCTAATCAATATCTATTTATGAAAAAAGAAATTATAGATCATTTTACTTATATAAATAAATTCAGTTTTAAATTTATATTATATAAAATATGATTATTTGGAGATCCCAAAAAGTATTAGAAATTTAGCATATTTTATTTAATAAATTATATAAAATATTCCCTTAATTATCTTTCTTATTAGAATTCAAATTAAAACATAATTTTTTAACTTTATCTTTCACTTTTATTATAAGTTATTAAAATAAACTCACGATATGTTTACAGTTTTAATGTCATAAACTAAATCGTTTATTCTGTTTGAAATAAATCTATTGCTATTTTCTATTTATTTAAACATTCCAAATCGATCTTCGAATTCAATTAATTATTTCATAATGGAACTCTCCATTACTCGAGTATTCATTTTGTAAGTATCATTTAAAATTAGTTTAAATTAATTGTAGCTTTCTTTCTTACCTAACTTTGAAAATTAATGCATTACTTCAACTTCCTTATCTGAAGATATATATTAATAATAAATACTTAAAAGTTTTTATTTTTAATTCATTATTGTTTCTTCTAACTAACGATAAGAATCATCACATAATTTTTTAAAAAGATCTTCTAATTTATCCTAAAAATCAGAAAGAACTTGTAAAAAATATTAATCTGGTTTATTTTTTTTTTAAATTAGTTTATTATCATTATTAATAGTAAAATTTTGAAGTATTCGAAGAAATATTGTATCCACACTTTACCAATCTCTGAGTTTAAAATTCTTAAAAATCCATTCTATCTCTTAGAATCGAATATAAGATTTAATCAATTTATCAGTTGCCGAAAGAATTGCTTTTTCACTCTTATACTCATGTAACTAATTCATGGTTAAACTTATTTTGTTAATAATTTAAAATAGAGTTGTGTCTTTAAAAGGAGTTTCTTTAATTTGATTGACAACTTCTAAGTTTAAATTAATTAATGAGTTATTTCTAAATTGCATTTTTCTTGAGAAAAATTAAGGAGATTAATATTTTGATTATTAAGGAGATTTTCTTGCTGTTGAAGTTTATTATTTTGATTCAATCGCATAATCTGAATTATCTATTTTTAATTTCCTATGTTATCTAATCGAGTCAGAAGTTTGTTGAAAATGAGCTTATGGAAGTTCTGAGTGTTTAAAAATTCTTTTTAACTAGTTCCGAGACTTTGTACTTGAAACTGCTTCTATTGAGGGTAGGCTATCAACTCTTTCTTTAATTTCTCTTTATTTATTCAATTATTTTGACATCATTTTTAGAACAACAATAAAAGCTATATAAATTAATAAGACACAATTTCATAAGTTATTAATATAAATTTATACTAATTTATCAGATTGTTAAAAGAACTGTTTTATTTAATACTTTCTCTTAAATACTTAGAGGTTTAGACAATTTCAAAAATGAATAGTCATGCTTTTTAGCTCTTGCAATCAATAAGATTATGTAATTGTATATTATTATTTTTTTATTTTAAATCTATTTTATTAACCATTTCTTTAAGTATTTTTTGGACTTTCTGGAATGATTTTTTTTTTAAATACTAAAGAAAAAAATTCTAAAATTGATTTTTAGAGATTCTTTTCGAGTTTACTAATAATTTAAAATGAACAAATAAATTATATCCTTTGTACATTATCATTGCAAAATAGTGATCGTACATTTCATTTTTTTTATATATTTAATATTAATAGTTTCATTTTATTTAATGTATTTTAAAACAAATATATTAAATTTCAAGTATCAGGAATATTAATTTATTTTACTTCATTTTTGATTGTCAAAATTTATTGTTCTAGATTAAAAATTTTTGTATCTTTAAGTTCTAGGTCGTTTTTTAATGCTTATATTATTTATTATTATTAAAATATGATTTCTTTCAATTCTATTATTTTAGATTAGTTTGAATCTATTATTTCTTGTTTTATAGTTTATGCATGAGCTTATTCAAATATTTAAGGGCCTGCTCCGATTGCTGCTAAAATCTAAATATTAAATATCAATTTACTTGTTCCACATAATAAACACTATTAGTTCCACTCATAGCTGCTCTATAAATTGCTTACAATAATAAATTTGTGTTTTATGGTTCTTAACCTGAAACAATTTTTATAGGCCTTGCAACAATTTCTTCATTTAACACTAAAGATGTCAATTCAATTATTTTTTGTAAGAAAAACATCTTCTTATCTTTATTATCATACCAATTTCCATCCAATTCTTCATTTGAAAAAAGTCCTTATGCATAACCTTATTTAAATGTAAAATAATTACCAGTTTATTTCATAGTTTCCATAATTATGTCAAAGATGTATTTGAATGGAGGTTTTTCGAGTAATTTCTATGACATTTTTGGTTTATGAAATAAAGTGTTATACATATTTGCAGTAGTTGTCCAAAAATCACCAATCATTTTATATAAAATTATAATAATTGTTAATCTAGAATATTAAAATAATATTAATATTTTCTTAATTTATTCAATCAGAAACTTAAAGTAACTTGCAATTGTATATTATTTAATATATTATCTATATCGCTATAAAAATTAATTTATATTGAACCAAAAATTAAATCTTTATTAAGATTTTTTATATTTTAACATATAAATTGCAGGTTTCGATACATTATTAAATTTTGAAAAATATGATATAATTATATTCAATACCATCAATATACTTCTAAAATTTTCTCACATATTTATAAGATTTTATAAATTATAAAAATAATCAATAATGTAAAATCTATTGATTACTAATTTATCATCTAAAATATAAAATGTATTATTTATTTAAATTCTTAGGTTTCTTATTTTATTTTTAGAATCTAATAAAAAAGCTTTAGCAGTTACAAATTTAATCTTGTCAAAAAAAAGTACAAAAATAAGATTTATTGATAAATTTAATACATATAAATATGTATATAATCATTTTAATTAATTAAATTGGTTATTAAATGAACCAATTGGAGTATTTTATTAAGAAGAAAGCTATTAATTTTGAAATACTTTATCTTGAGGGTTAAATGGTCGAGCTGTAGCCAATTTCTGTTAAAATGAATAATTTTGGATTTCTTTTTCAAAAAATCTAATGCGGCTATCTAATTGAATTATTTATTCCTAATTTAAATATTAATATTTACTCTTAATTTTATTATTTCAAGTTCTTACTAATTATTTCTCTCTGATATAACTTGGTTTTATTATTTGAGTTAATAATTCTCTTTAAATTATATGATTATCATTACCTTGATTTATTTGTTTCACTTATTTTTCATATAAAATCAGGTCATTGTGCATTTCTTTCATTTTAGCATAATTATGATTGATTTCATTTTTTTTTTATGTATCAATATGTGAAACTTATTCCATTTATCCTTTTTAGGTTTAAATTTATTATTCAAAATTGAGAATGATTGTTTCTCTCTTTTTAAGTTCATTCTCAAGTACTTAAATTTAACCTTATTACTTTTCTATTATTGTTTTGAATTCAATTTATTTTTATGCAAGAGAATCGAGATTCCCTTATTTTTTTATCAATTCTTATTCTTATAGCTAAAATTATTATTCTAATTAATTTTTTGATTTAGCTAATTGCATAGATAAATCAGATAATCTTTTATTTTCTTATTCTGAATGTGCAAATTTTTATTGTAAATTTAAATATTCTTATTTACCATTCTTTAATGTCATAAGTAATTTATCAATTTCTTTAGTTTCTAAAAATAAATATAAATTCTTTACATTTAATGTTTTATTATGTTAAGGATTAAAATTTTTCATCTAATTTGAGATATTGATATTTCGTACTGTATAGTTCTTTTTCTTAAAGTTCAAATTATTTAACTTATTATTTTTGTAATTCAATTTGATGGGCTTGATTAGCTAGATTTTTTTATAATAAACTTAATTATCCTTGTAATTCTGTATTAGAAATATTAGCTCTATGCAAGGTTTCATTATAGCCTTCTTAGGATTTTTTGAACTCAAAATTAAGCATATCTAAGGTTGTTTTAATTTTTTTATTATCAGAGTATAACAATTCAGATTATTCTTTTAATTATTGAATTTTGACATCTTTATCTCTTAATTGTTATTTATAGGTATCTATATATTCTTTTAGATTCTGATTTTCATATTCAGTGTTTATATATTGAGACAATAATCTTTTTTATTCTTGGTTTTATTCTTTATATTCAGAGATTACTTAGATTTATTCTTAATATTTTTTAGTAAGACCTGAATATTCTTCTAATTTATTTTATAGACGATCAAGTTCTGTAAGTTTAAATTAGTTCTATTAGATAAGATCAGATTTTCTTCTAACCTCTGATTTAAGTTTGACAATGATTTCTTCTTAATAATCTAATTTAGATTTGATTTCAAATTCTTAAGATTTAAGATTCTTATTAGATGATCTAGGATATAAAGAAATAGATATATTATTACAATTCAAGTTAAAGTTACTCAACCAATTTTTTAAGGGAATTGTTTTCTGATAAAAGTTGTTTATTTTGAGATCTAAATAATATACATAAATATGATACTTTAAATCTTCACTTTGATCCATTAAATGTTATTATTAATCAAGCAATATTTATTCTTGAGGATCGATTGTATTTGGTATGTAACAACAGGATTGTGCTTTTTATGAGAGATTTGATTTATATCTAGAAATGATAAGATGTTTACGATTATCTATCTTAATCAAGTTGTTATTTTTGTAAACTATATAGAAATAAAGAAGATATTTGATTACAGATTGGATGGAAGTAATGTATTAAATGGATGAGGCACAGGAGAAGTTTAGAGATTAAGACTATTTTGTTTTGGTCTATGTAAAGGATTGGTAACAGGAATATCGTTTTGCTTTTGATAATCAGTTTAGGCTAGATTTTGATAAGAAAGCATAGAAAAATAAATAATTAATAATAATATGGTTGATGAGAAAGGGTCTATTGATATTAGATAATATATATTTAGTTTTGAATTATTTAAATATCATTGATGTTGATTGTTAATATTAAAATAAAATATGGCATAAATTGACCCTGCTTATTTTGAGAAATTAAAAGAGGCTTTGAATAATTTCTTACAAAATAGCAGAAATAGTAATGAAATGTTTTCAGAAAGGAATATATATGAAATTCGTGATAGATTAGGAAGAATTTAAGAGGAATCTCATACAGAGAGAAGTCGAGATCCTAATCATGTATGAATATTTATAATTCAAAATATAGTAAAATTTATAGAGTCACCAAAAATGGTTTATTGACAATAGCTTAAACTTCTTAGTTTACGTATTGATGCATGTAGATCCTTAAACAAGTCGAAATGTAAAGTTCAATATTAGAGCCGCCACAGTTGAATTACTACAGAAAAAGATTCTATTATAACACATGACTTAGTTAGTAGTTGATCAATTAACAGTAGTATTAGAGAAAGACAATGAAAATAATGCAGCAATAGCCATAAGAATAATGAATGATTTACTTAAGAACAATTAATAGTAATCACATCAATACTAAAGATCTAATAGTATTTTCACGGATGCATTACTTCTAAAATTATACAACTTTTTTGAATAAAGAATCGAATTCTTAGTTAAATTTAATAATGAACTTAAGAGATCTTAATATAAGAAATTAATTGGTGATAATTAAATAAATCCATTTCATGATTAATCTTATGTTTTATCATATGATAATGATGATAAAAGAGAAAAAGACATCCGTTTAAATATCCATAGTTTATCGTTTGTGACCAATATTCCTCCATTTTTCATTTACACTATTTTTGTGCTTGATTCCATTGTTAGAGATGAGGTAAAAAAGACAATAAAAGCTAGACCAAAATATAAATGAGAGAAGTCTTAAAGAGAGCACTCAAAACTATGAATTAAGTTATCAATGAAACCAACTTCTAAGACTTGTTGCAAAAAGTACCCAGAAACATAGTCCATGAATTATACAATGCTTATTCCAAGTTTTTATAATTGTTAGCATTTACAATCAAAAGAGATGAAGGTTAAGTATAATCTTAATCCAGAATTATTAAAGAATTATCTGATACAATTAAATTAGATTAAGTTGTAGCAATTATTATCAAAACACTTAAACATTGTCCAGTTGACATTATTCCTATCAGAATTGATATCAGTAATCGACTTAAATAAGCCATGACTTAAAAAAGAGATCCTATTTAACCAAATGAAATACAAGACAAAATTAATGAAATTAATGCTAATCTTATTGAATTAATTGATGAAGAAACTATTGTTGGCAAAAATCTCAAAATACCTCCTTTCCAAAAAACTATCATATATTAAAATTGGTTAGATATTATTAAACATCTTGTATAAAGCTATCTGCCTAAATATGATTAATCTACTTAATAAATTACTAATCTAGAAAAAATGCAAACAGATTTTATTAATAATTAAATTTATATGGAAAAAATATTCAACACTATTTTTAAAATATTATTTGATTCCTCATTATAATTACCTATTCATGAAAAAGCCTTAGAATTAATTAAAATATTTTTGGAATATTTTATAAAATAACCAGCCTATTTTGTAGATAAAAATTTACTTTAATTTTATGTTGATCAACCTTAATAATAATAAAATGAATCTATTTTCAAAGAAGTTACTACACATAGTCCAAAATACAAATTACTTGATCGATTATTCTAAATGATTGGAATGAAATTAAATTAAATTAGAAAATAGATTTAATAAATTAAGGAAATGCTTATTCGAACTTAAAGATGGGGTCTTTCAAAAAAGACAACTCCATAAACACATGTTGCTTCCATTCCTTGTAATACTCAATCTCTAAATGAAAATTACATCTCTTAATTAGAACAATACATTCTAGAGTCAGATATTGATATTGAATAAAACATTATAACTCAATAAGATTAGGCAGCCACCTAAGTTTATACATATGATGATGAAGAAGAATTCTAAATCAATTCTATCAGTATTAGTACTTATTATTAATATGTTGAATTTGCTAAAGATTTGAAATCCAAAATCTTTGATTAACTTAATGATATCTTATCGAAGTTATTGGTATTTGTTACAAATACTAATAAAGAAATTGTGAATAAATAAAAAAGCAGACCTAATTATACCATTCCTCAAAGAAATAGCCCTTTAAATTAAATAACTAGTGAAAATAGACCTTATCTCAGTAATTTATAATGCCATTATATGTCTAAGATTATGAAAAATGGACTAATGATATTTGATGAATTACATGATCATTAAAGAAATCACTTTGATATTCTTGATTATAAGAAAAAGACCATTATTTAGTTTATGCAATTCTTTATTTAATTTTAAGATCCTATCAATTTTAAAAATATTTTTGAACCCAATTCAAAATTAATTTTAAAAATTTCTGTTAATTTGATCAAGACTTGCCCTGAATCCAATTGTTTACCTTATCTACTATAGGAATTTTTATAAATTCTTAGTCCACAAACAGATCCTTAAAATCCACATAAACAATCAATCAAATTTTATATAGAATTTCTATTACATTTGTATTTAAAAGAATTGTAAACAACTCCAGAATTACCATCAAAATTTGGATATTATAGAGGAGAATAATGGATGAACAATTAAATTTAGTAAAAAGATTAAGATGAATACATATCTTTAATATAAAAACTATTAAGAATTCCAATAAGATTATTCCCTAGAGTAAAATGTTAATAAAATGAAGAACCTATAGTAAAACCATTAGTAAAATAGCTAATACTATTTTTTGTAAAGAAATCTCATGAAACATATTACCCTATTGATTTTTTAGGTTTATTATTATCATTAGTCAAAAGAATCTAAAATAATGATCAAGGAGAGGGATTATCAAAATATTTCTAACAATTATGTGATAGATATGATAGAAATGATAAACAATAAATGATGCATAGATAATAATATGAATTATATCACAGATTAAATTTAAGTGGAGTCAATATTGTATTAAATATGTTTGAGTTATTTCAAACAGGAATTGTCGAAATTTAAGATATTGTTGCAGAAGTTATTGCCAATTTTCCATTTTAAAAAACACTTTAAATTAATTTAGCAAAATAATATCCAGTTTTTGCACAATGTCTATTTCGAGCATTACATAACATATCAACTATTGAAAATTAAGTAATTTAAAAAACATTAATGATTTTGGAAAATATAGTAACAAATTTAAGCATGGAAGAAATGAAAGAATTCTTTGGAGATCTTCTATAACAATTTATAGAAAAATTGCTTACTTTTCCATCTGAATACAAAATGGCTGATATTTATTAAAATTCAAAATAAGTTAATTTATTTTAAGATCCATCTTTTAAATCTTTAAAAATACTTTCAAAATTAGGATCTTTAGTTCGTAAATTAGAATGGCCAATTGAAGTTAAAAGGAATCACACTGACAATCCTTTTAAAAGAAATTAATATTTGGAAGTATAAATAGAAGGATTATAAACATCACTTAAAATTAATCTTAACGAAACTGTACGATGTGCAGTAGAAATCTTATAGAATGTTTTAGAACAATAATTAGCAACATATTTATTTAAATAATCATCAATTTAACATAGTTATTCTATAGTGAAATAAGTGCTTTTGGGATACTATTAGATGCCAATTTAATTTGATCATGATTTGTATAATTACTAAATACCTTAAGGAATGGCATTAGAGATGAAATTATAATCACGTCAATGTGAATAGGATTAATTGATTTATTAAGATGATGAATTGATATCTGCAGTTACCAAAGTATTCATTGGTCTAAGTAATTTTCATAATATAATACAAACTATGACAACTGCTACATTCCATAAGATAAAGGAAGACGTTGAAAATGTAGTAACAACATTGTCTGAAATGTTTTTCATATAATTAGCTGATGATCATTGTGAAATGATAGAAAAAATTATATCTGATAAACCAGATATTAATTCTCTATATGCTATGACTGAGTAGATAGTGTAAAATTATTTAATCGAAAAACCTTAGTCTATTAGATGGATTTCTTATCTTTTTAGGGGATTAAACAAAAGATATATGTTGACAGCAGAAGAAAATATGAATTTCAAAGATTTCTATGTGCAATAACATGAATTCATTTGGAATAAACTTTTAATGGGTAATTGTTTGAAAAAATACAAAAAAATTATGGAGAAACATATGGTAAATAATTAAAATTTAAAATGGGCATATGATGTTTATTATTCTGTTGTTATTAGATTATTTGAAGAATTTGTGTATGAGAAATTTGGTAAACAAACTTAGTTGTAAAAGGAGGATGATAGGCGTCGTAAAATAATGATAGTTTAATGTAAAATATAAAAAATAATTTATTTTAGCTTATGGAGGTACAATGATTCCATCTGAAGGATTGAATTGTAGATCTATATCAATAGAACTTTTAATAGAGATCTAAAATTTACTGCCAAAATTTGATGATTACTATACTTCTTCATAAATTATTGGATTACCTTACATTCCAGATTAAAGAATAATTGAGTGTTCATTTATTCTACTAAGATAATTACCTGAAACAATTAGAGTGATTTCTTAACAACTCTCAAAAAATTTATTGAATCAAACATTAAATTAATTGATCAGGAATCTTAATTTAGATCATTCTAAATTTGAATATTGTCATCAAAGTATACTTCTTTTATAAGTCAAATTGAGTTGCTTTATAAAAATAGTAACTTAGAATTTTTTGACTTATAAAAGATCTCTACTATAGATATGTATGGATTTATTTGATACAATAATCACTAATCATTTTAAAGAAGATGCTGGATAATTATTCTATATGAATATTGGAGATGAAATGAAATAAAATATTGAGGAAAAGATAGAAGCAATTCCGTTAGATAATTTAAATGGAAATGGACCAGGATTTTGGGTGAATATTGAATTCTCAGAAATTCTAGTCTCTCCTTACTGTCGAAATACTGTATTGAAAGATTTAGTTATCATTATTAAACAATTATGTGAAGAATAGAAGATGTCAGATATTGTAGCATAGAAATATGCTAATGGTTATAGAATTCTTGCTTATTTATTTCGAAAATATGGATTATATAAATAAGGCTAATATCATCTTTTTAAATTAGTAAGTCTCAATTAAGAACCTCATTTAGAATCATATATAGAAGAATATATAAAAAGATCATATAAAATTATATAATAGAATGATGAACAGTATTCCAGATATTGTAAATTAATCTTTAATGGTGACGAATCCTAATAAGCATAAATCAATGTATCACATGCTTTAGATGATTTAGATTTTAAAATAAATATTGAAGACATTGATTTTGAAATTAAATGGTAGAGTTATATGGTAGTTGCTATTTTTGGATTTCTTAAATAAATAGCAACTATTAATTATATTTTCACTATTTAAAGATTTCTATAAAAAACAATTGATAAAACTATTCCATTGAAACCTTCAATTTTATCTATGAAATATAAGACTGTTGAAATTCTATATGAAGGATTATTGAGAGTAGAATAAAGTATTCGATAATCAGGTTTTAAATATTTATAAGAACTTATCTAATAGGAAGGTCTATAAAATGATAAAACTTTATTTGAAAATGATGATAGACTAAAAAAAGTAATGAAACCTTTACTAACATGTGTACAATCAGAAATCTTTTATTATGTACCATCATTCTTAAAATCTTTAAAACTGATATTGAAAATATTCAGTAAAGTTTTTCATAGAGTATTGTCTGATAAACTATAAGCTCATCTACAAAAGATAGTATTAGATAACTGTTAATAGCTACAAAATACAAATTAAACATGTACAACTTTGGAATGGACCATTTAATAATAATAATCATAAGAATCATTGAATTTCTAGATGGGTATCATCTCTGGATTATTGAAGTTATTTTAACATTTAACATCATAATTAACAAATCCATTGAATGGGCCTTTGAATAGTAATATTGTGTAAAAGATCATTTCGGATACATATACATTAAGAAGAAATTACATTTTCAAAGTTTCACAATAACAATTAAATTAATCAATAGATAAACCTTTGGTTAAATTTTTAAATACATTGGCAGCAAATCATTTTGATGTATTTTAATCTTCTTTCTCTACTTCATAAATAATATAATTTCAAAAATAATTAGAAAACTTGACTTAATTATTTTCGAATTAGACACTTATAAAAAACCTATAGGAATAATTTAGAGAAAGATTATAGTATATAAAAACAATAAGATAAATTATATCAGAACCAACAGCTTATCCATTAAGAGAGAAACTCTGTCGAGAGAAGACATAATTATATTATAAAATGGAACGATTTCATAAAACAATTGAAGAACTAAGTAGTTCATTAGAGAAAGGACTGTTAAATAATTAGACTTAACCAACAACAGAATAATTGTACTCTTTTCATCAATCTTATATATAAAAGGTTATTAATGTGATAAGTGAAATTAAAATAGAAATAGTGCAATTTGGATTCTAATTATGTAAACGTAATCCTTCATGTCTTAAAAGAAATACATAAATACTGGAAAATTGTATACTTAGCAATATTAAAGATCTTTTAGAACGTTAAAAGAGTAATAATCAAAATAGAACTTTTTAAAACAATCAATTATAATTTGCCTACAATTAATTAACACTATCAAATTAATAAATTAATAGTCTATTAAATAGACATTGTAGTATGTTAAAGTAATACATAAGTCAAAATGAAGACAGTAAATCTGCTATTTAAGGAATGTTAAAATTAATAGTCTATTCTACTCATGATAAAGTTAAGAAATGGGTAAGGAATGTAGCTATGAACAAATCAATTGAACTTAGAAAGAGAATTATTGAAATTTGGATGGAGAAATTTAAATATGTTGAAGAGGAATCATCAAATTAAGTTTAAATGACAATTGGATATCATGTAATATATCCAATATTGTTTTATTCTAATCAAAGAAATGATTTAGCATAGATTAGTTCACTTTAATTATTTTAGAGAATCAAAGAAATAAATGAAGAATTGTTTAAATAGTATGGTAAGATTCTAAGTGACATAGAACATCATGTACCTATGAATTTTGCATATAAACTTCCAAATGGTTTAACTCCGAAACTTTCAGATGCCAATCATTATTATAAATCATCTGTAATTGATATGTTACAAATTAGTTCATATCTAATTTGTTTCTAAGAATAACAACTACCTTAAGATTTAAAAATGTCTTATCTCTCTTTTGGTTATGATATGATTAATAAATCAGATAAATTGGTAGCTTTCTATGCTAATCTATACTTCAGTAAATATTTGAAGAAAAATTAATTAATTCAAAACGATCCTTAATCTGTTAATAAGAGGATTGTTAAAATATATACAAGAGCTATTAAATAGTTAGATGAAAGTGGATAGTCAGAATAAGAATTATATAGTTTATGTAAGAAAATAATAAATGTTGTATTACCATGTTTAGATGAAGTTGATTTACATGATCAAAAAGATTGGATTTAAGCAACTTAATAATTATTAAAATAAGAATAAAGTTTGGATTAAGAATCAGCTTAAAAAGTAAGTAGATTTTGGTCAATGTTTGTAAAGAATCATAAAATATTCTAAAAACATCATGAAGCATTTACAATACATATAATAAATTCTATGTAGTAGATTGGATTTTACAATTTAAACCCTAATACATCAGCTTAAATGACACCAAATTATTAAAATTATAGACGTATAGCATTAGACATGGCTTTCTTATAAGTTGAATGGAAAACTAAACTAATTAAAGCTGAAATTGCAAATAAATCTAAAAAATTCAAGGAATCATTTTATTAGAGTGAACCATAACATCATGATGAAGCTCTATCTAGTGAAATATATTAATCATTCTTTATAAAATAATCTCTTAAGGCTCATAGCATAGAGGATTCTGAACTTTCAAAAAGAGCATTATATTTACTTAAGAAAATATTAATGATAGCTCCACTTACAAATTAGAAAATGAATATGGAGACTTTAAAAAAGAATGTAGCTAGTCCATTAAATTAAGTAATAGAATTAACATAAGCTAATTAAAATTTAAGGGGAGTTCAATAATAACCTACAACCTTACCTTATTTTAGATATTTTATGATAGTTTTACATATTCTAATGATAATAGCAGAATTTTAATAACCTCAAAAGATTCCTTAATTATTTTAACCATACTTTGACATAATTTTTAACATGAATTAATTACCAGATTAAATATAATAATAAATAGTTCCTAGACCAAATGCAAATCGAATGCCACCTACATTGTCTAGACCTGTAAATTAATAATAGAGATTACCATTTTAACCAGCTCTTTTAGATAGAACTTAATATCATTAAAATGCATTAAGTTAAGATTATGCTCCATTAATATTTAGTATTTATAGTATTTTCAGAAAACTCTTAAAAATTGCTAAAGAATCGTAGAATGATTAAAGTGAATAGTTTTAAAATAATTTATCCAATTGGATTAAAGAAGCTATATAAGGACATCCTTAATTTAGAAAAAATTATTAACCAGCTACATTTATGGGATCAAGAATAACAAATTCAATGGTTAAAGTCAATATATTATCGATCTTTTTGATGAAATTGTTTTTTAATCATGATATATGTTATGCTAGACCATTGTTACCTGCTTTGAAAAGAATTGTAGAGATATTGATAGAATATTTAAAATCAAAAGACAAAGGAGATCAATATTTAGATAATATGTAAAAGTATGTTATTCCTAAAAGAAAATTTAATATAAGGGAAAGAGATAATTTGGATGTAAATGCTCTAAAATAATATACTAATGCTGATCTTACCTAATATTTTACAGATTTTGCATAAATGAGTGATGATTTTCCATTTGGAATAAAAAAAAGTGAAGAAATGTTATATTTTCCTGAAAATTTTCCAGAGAATCAAAAAATAAAATTTCATCTATATAGATCAGCTTTATAAAAGACAATAAAAATGATGGCATATAATTTTGATGAAATAAAAGATCAAAGAGAATAATTAGAATTTTTATAATTATTAATATAAATTATTGAATCAGTTCCTGATTATGAACTTAAATTGGAATGTATTTCAATAATGCGTTTATTATTTATAAATGGTATAATAAATAAAGAAGGTTATTTAATTGCAATATCAAGTAATTTATCACCGATAAGATCTTAATAAGTAAGATCAGAATTAAAAAAGATGGAAGAGAATTAATTATTCAAAGCTTCAAAAATGCCATTTGAAGTTTAATTAAATTTCTTTTTTGATCTAAATAGATTACAAAGTTTATTTGACAAGAAAATTGATTAACGTAGTTCTGATAGTTATGATAATAATCATGGAAAAGTATAAGATTTAAAAGTATTCAAATTATATTTTATGTTCTTATGTGAATTATTATTAGTTTATCCATTTAAAAAATAGTAAGGATCAATAAATAGTGGTTTTTATGTATTAAAAAATATCTTTGATAAAGGGAGTGGTTCTTTAAAAGAATTTAGACGTATTCTATAAGTAATAAGTAAACTAAGTACTTGTTTAGATTATTAATAATTCTTTTATAAAATGGTTTTAGATATTTATGGATATACATATGATAGATTCTTATAATTTTTATTAGGAGATTAGACAACAAAATAATAAGATCAACCTTTGTAAACTGAAGGAGAAGAAATTATGTTAATGGCTATTAAATATTTAATTTTAGGAAGAGGTTCATTTAAATAACCAACAAATTTTCAACTTTAATAACCAAATAAGATTATTGTTAATTTAGTGCCTGAAAGTGAAGATTCAAATATGAGAGAATAAGTTCTTAATAAATATTTAGCGATTTATTATAGAAAAAAATAATGGTTGAAATTATATAATTCTAGTATGAAATTAGTAACAAGCGAGTATTTACCTTCAATTGTTATTTATAATCTCTCTTATATTCCTATATAGGATTAAGCTTAATAGCCTCTAAGAGAATGTATAATACCTAGTGCTGCAATTGAATTGATGGGTACAGCTGGAAATGTTAGTAGTAGATTACTTAGACCAATCTTCAATTAAATTATCATTAATGATCTTAAAACAATTACTTAACTTACAGAATACCTTTCATAATAATCACTATCATATGGAACATAAACTACTATATCAAATTACTTAGTTCAAGATATATTAAGTTAATTGTAAAACATTCATTAAGTGCTAGACAATTAATAAATGTAAATTAATTTCAATAATCTTATTACATGTTTACGATAAAAAAATTAACTGCCCTTAGCCTAATATCTTTTAGAATAGATTCTCCAATATCTTAATGAAGATTGTGAATATTATTCACTCTTATATGAAGATATTATTGTCTAATTATAAGGAGTCTATTAAGAATAATGGAATAAAGCAAGTTTATTAGGATGCAAGTCTATTACTGCCACTCAACCATGGGTCAAATAGTTAATTTTAATGAATCAATTAAGAGAACCAGCTTAATCTTACTAATTAATATTAAATAATTAAGACAATGTAGATCACTTCTGGTTGTAAATAGAATAAGAAACTAATGAAGCTTAAGGAATTTAAAAGGAATATGATTAATAAATTATTCATTAGTTATTTACTGAATCACTTCAATAACTCAATCAGTGGAATACTTTGAAGCAAGTTGATTAGAGTAAAGTGTAAGCAGTCTAAAATAAAATTATTATGGGATTTAGGGAAAAATAAAGGGAATCAACTGAATAAGGATGGAAAGATCTAAACATACTATCTGAAATTAAACAAAATGCCCATTAAAATGATCTCTATTGTTATAATCAAGCATACTTTAAGTTACTCGATTTTGTAAGGGATGATTCTTAACAAAATTAACATAGTAGAAGTGGAAGTCATGTATTGCAATCAATAGAATAAAATCTTAAATATGCTTAAATTATCAATTTCTATAACTTTATCAAAACTTTACCCAAACTGACTTAATCTTATGATTAAATGATGTCATCACCTTAATTATGGGGATTCAAATTCCTTAACTTTGTATCTCAATTCCAACTTTATACTGAATTAGAAGAAAGTCTCAGATAATATGCAACCAGTGTTCCTACTTATCCAAATTAGTAATAAACTGCTTATGACATTCTTCTTGATTAAATATCTAACGGCTATTAATCTAGTTTATTCTGCAAAAAGTACCTATTTGAAAGACAACCAACAATTACTGATTAATAAGAATTCACATTTGATTTGATTAGTTAAAGAATGGTTCAATTATCAATGTGTCTATAACGTTACAATGCTAATTTAAATTAATTCATTAATGGATAGTAACAACTCTCCACAAGTATTACTATAGATTTAAAAAGCTTTCAAATACCTATGTTAGATTATAAGACTCTTTTATATCCTATGAGATATTATTAATAGAATGGAATTTTTGAATTATTTGATGAACAAACAGTTTTAAAGGAAGTTCCTAAATCCTTATAAGTATTTGTTGAGAAACTTTATCAATTAGAGAGAATCAAATTCAAAACTATGAGAATTTAGGATGTAGAATAGAATAATTTATAGTTGACTGATATTTTAAACTATTTAAATATTTAATAATTTGTAACTTCCAGTTCAGAGGAATTTAAAACTTATATGATCAGTAAAATAAGGAGATTAAAAATGATTAATCAATGTTATAAACTCCTTAGATTGGATCAATAGCAATCTGACTTAAATAATAACATTAATAATATGATAACTGAAGAACCAAAATTAGAATAGATGGTTAACCTGACTAATGAATATTTCATTCAAAATTAAATTAACTATTATAAATTTTGGAGAGAAGCCTAAAGAGTCTACCAATTAGCTCATAAGAAATATAGTAATAACATTAAGTTTGCCTAAAATTACATATAGGTTACTTCTATCAGTATTTAATATAAGCCACAAAAGTTTCCTATAAATGGAATGTACATGTTCCATATACTAAATGTAACCAATCCTATAGACTCAATAGTTACTGATGCTTTCTCATAAGTGATTTCTCTCATTCCATTACATCTATTGTAGAGATTCTTAATTCAATTGATATCAACATTTTTGAAAAGTCCTTCAGATTAAGTAAGAAAAGATTGTATAGATGCCATAAATAAATTGTGTAAATATAATCCTTTAAACAATCTGCAAATTATTTAATATTTAAAATGTCTTGGTCAATTCACTGATGATAGATCATAATAATTTGTGGATCATTTTTAAAACTCTACAAAGTTAGGTAGTAAAATTGCTAACATCTATTCATTATCGTATCTATTTAATAATAGATCTAATACATCTAGTTGGGAAATATTAGAAGAATTAATTTATTTATGTGGAAAAGTATTAGATTAAAAGTATTTTGAATTAAATTCTATAAATGTTAATGAGAAATTATTGTAAATAATTAATTTAATATAAAAATACCCATAAATAAAGGATTATTTGAAATAGTCTTTTCCTGTTAATGATTTTCAAAAATGGATAAAAAATGATTAATTAAAAGCAGTAACAGCAATCTATATTGCATCATTAAAATTAATATATGGAAAATTATTTGGTTAATAAATAAATCCATAAGAAGATTTTTCTGAATAGTTGAGTCATGCATTAAATACTATGGTTTCAAGATAAATTTAAATAACATAATTATATGCATTAAATGATGAATTTTTAATAAATTAAACTCCAATGTTAGGATAAGAAGGATAATTCAAAAGAAATTAATTATTTGAAAATATATACATATCAAGTATATTCCCTACAGTGAATATAATGTTTTAAAGAAGAAAGAGATTAATAAGACAGATTGCTTTATTAGGTAATGATGAAAAGAAATACTTTTTCCTTCTAAAAATAAAGAAGGTAGAAAATAAGAGATTAATTCAAAATATATTGGATGAGCATATATCTTATTAATTTTTAAAGATAACAAATTTATTAAATTAGAATTATAAAGAAACAAAGATTAGAAACATTAAACATTTTTAGATAGAGAAATACCTTCTTGAAAGTGAAAAATAATTGTATTAAATAGAGTCTTATTAAGAGGAGACTCAGAATTTGAGTAATATTTCAGATTTAATTTTATCATTGAATTATCATAATAGTAGTAATAAGGATAGTAAAGTGAGAGTACCATATTATATGTAAATAAAATTATCTATTTTTTATAGGGATACAAGTGAGAATTATACGTAGAAATAAGATCTAAATAATTATATATTGAAATTTGCAAAAACAATAGACACTTTTGTATATTTGAGAAAGACAATTGTAACAAATATAGGAGTTTAATGTGCTTTAAGTTTTACAATAGGAAATAGTCAATCTCCTAAATAGTTGGAAAATTTGTAATTAAATTTGAGTAATGGTAATTTCTTTTAGAAAAAATAAATATTTAAAGTGATTAATTAGAAATTAATCCTTTATGATCCATATGCAATAAGATATTCAAGGAATTTTGAATATTTAGTTGGAGAAGTGAATTTAAATGGATATTTAATTCCTGCATTTACATGTACAATAATAGGGATTTTGAATTAGGAGTAAGAATTATATATAAATAATTTTATAGTCTTGCAGAATATTTGAATGTTTTATTTTTATAATTGGGATGTAAAGATTCAATAGAACCATTTATATAGAAATTAAAGGATGTTGTTTATGAGAATGGAATGATTGATTCTAAATGTGATAGATTGATAGAAATTTCAAAGAGTTTATTTGGAGACGAAGAAAAAATAAAATAATGGGTAAAAAGATGGTTTTGATTTATGTTTTTATGGAATTATTATAAATAATATAAAAATATGTAAAGGTTCGAAAGTGAATTGAATACAGAAGGGGAATCATAAGCAGCTTATACAAGATTCGAGTCATCCCCATCAGTTGGATAATTATCAGGTACACATTTAGAGAAATAAACAATAATAAAATCAACTCTAATTGCAACAATTGGATCATTCATATTTACATATGGTATATTGGCATCATCAGGAAATAATATGGCAATATTGGTCATATTATTCTTAAGTATTTTAATGACTGATCGTTTGACTGTATTTAATCCAGCTGTTAGCTTTATTGATTTATTGAGTGCTCGAATAGGATTTTAAGAATTTATGTTTAATGTATTAGGATAAGTTGGTGGTAGTTTATTAGGTGCAATGGTGTGTTTCTTTGTTCTATAAGATTTTACAAATGCACCATATTTAGATGCTAAGATTGGTGATAATTTAATTGGAGTATTAGAATATATTCATTAAGTATTTAGTCAGTTGAAGGAGAATTATTTGGATCGATTCTATTTATGATTGTTTTAGTATTATAAGAGGATGACTATTTGAGATTTACAGATGATAAATTAGAACATGCTCTTGTTATCACTTTAGGATTTGGTGCAGCACGCATCTTATCATCTGAAGGATAATCACTCTTCAATCCAGCATTTGCTTTTAGGTATTCATATAACCATATTTATAGTTTGGAATTATTTGAATGTATTTAAGATGGCTCTTGGGGTAGATTTGGATTCTTATGGGTATTCACTTGTACTCCATTTATGGCAGCTGTTGTTGCTATTATGTTCAATAGCCAAATATATAAGAGATTCTATGATAAGAAAATTTAATATGGATTTTGATTTATTAATTATCTATTATACATTTATAAAAGAGTTATTATTATTCATTTATTAAAATAACACTCTATATTCTAATTATAATAATAGAAAAATCTTATCTTAATTATCTAAGTTAATATTTTATTTAAAATTAATCAAAATTAAATAACAATATAATATTTCATTCTCATCATTCTACATAATTCAACTTATTAACAGATCTTCTAAAAATATTTAGAACATACAGATCCATAAAATTATTTTATAATTATTTAATTCACTTTCATCATACATTTATATTTAAGGATTTAGAAAAATATTATTGTACAACTAAACAATTATTTTATAATTAGAATCCTTTGATTTCAAATTTAGTTTAAAGAAGCTTATTAAATTATAAAGTTCTTTTTTTTTAAAATCCTTAAGAATTTTAAATAATGTAGAATTTATGCAAATTTATATGAAAATCTTAATGATTAATCTTTATTAGAATTATTTTTTCTATTGTAACAATTATTAATTTATTAAGGTTAGAATTCATATATAAAAAAAATATAAAAATTGAATTGTTTTACATTGATATGCCGGAGGAAATATTTATACAAAAAGGCATATATTATTATTTAAATGGAAATATTCTAAATAGATAAAAATAATATTATGAATAGGGATAAATAATGGAAACTGATAAAATATTTAATTAAATTTAATATTATTTGATTTATATGAAATGCTACACTGTTAAAAATTAATATTTGTTTAATGTATTGAATGAATGAATTTGAAAAAAACTTTAGTATTAAATATATTTTTGGATATAATCAATATTGTGTATTGGTAGATTCCTTAAGATCTTCAGTGATCGTAGCTAAATCTTTACTTAATTGAACTCGACTTTGTTTACTTGAAATGGATCCATTGCCTTTCCAATCAGAGTTATCACCATTCCAACTATTGATTTATTATATTTATAATTATACTTGTCATCAGATTCAACTTGACCAAATGTTCCTGAAACAACATTATAAACCATTTGAAGTGCAGAAGAATCCATAGATTCAGATTTTTTAATCAAAACTTCTTCGAATTGATTATCATGATTTTCAGGTAGTTAATTTAATTATTCTTGGTTTTGGATTTTTGTACTTTTTTTACTAATCTAATAATAAGTATATTATAAAATGATTTACATTAGTTTCATTCAAAGGAATGACTTCAAATCCTTATTCATTTTTCTTAACTTCTTCAAATCCATCTCCTCTTATGATGATCTCTTCTTCAAATCCATTTTAACTTTCTCCATCCCAATCACAAGAATCTTTTTCCTTTAATTAATTAATTGAACCACTATGCGAAGGATAATCACCAGACCTATAAGAACTGATATCTTCATCTAAATGAACTAATGGATTTTCAAACTCTTCTAATTCAATTTATTCATCTATTTTTTAATAAATGAGATCTTTAAATTAAGTNTACAACTAAACAATTATTTTATAATTAGAATCCTTTGATTTCAAATTTAGTTTAAAGAAGCTTATTAAATTATAAAGTTCTTTTTTTTTAAAATCCTTAAGAATTTTAAATAATGTAGAATTTATGCAAATTTATATGAAAATCTTAATGATTAATCTTTATTAGAATTATTTTTTCTATTGTAACAATTATTAATTTATTAAGGTTAGAATTCATATATAAAAAAAATATAAAAATTGAATTGTTTTACATTGATATGCCGGAGGAAATATTTATACAAAAAGGCATATATTATTATTTAAATGGAAATATTCTAAATAGATAAAAATAATATTATGAATAGGGATAAATAATGGAAACTGATAAAATATTTAATTAAATTTAATATTATTTGATTTATATGAAATGCTACACTGTTAAAAATTAATATTTGTTTAATGTATTGAATGAATGAATTTGAAAAAAACTTTAGTATTAAATATATTTTTGGATATAATCAATATTGTGTATTGGTAGATTCCTTAAGATCTTCAGTGATCGTAGCTAAATCTTTACTTAATTGAACTCGACTTTGTTTACTTGAAATGGATCCATTGCCTTTCCAATCAGAGTTATCACCATTCCAACTATTGATTTATTATATTTATAATTATACTTGTCATCAGATTCAACTTGACCAAATGTTCCTGAAACAACATTATAAACCATTTGAAGTGCAGAAGAATCCATAGATTCAGATTTTTTAATCAAAACTTCTTCGAATTGATTATCATGATTTTCAGGTAGTTAATTTAATTATTCTTGGTTTTGGATTTTTGTACTTTTTTTACTAATCTAATAATAAGTATATTATAAAATGATTTACATTAGTTTCATTCAAAGGAATGACTTCAAATCCTTATTCATTTTTCTTAACTTCTTCAAATCCATCTCCTCTTATGATGATCTCTTCTTCAAATCCATTTTAACTTTCTCCATCCCAATCACAAGAATCTTTTTCCTTTAATTAATTAATTGAACCACTATGCGAAGGATAATCACCAGACCTATAAGAACTGATATCTTCATCTAAATGAACTAATGGATTTTCAAACTCTTCTAATTCAATTTATTCATCTATTTTTTAATAAATGAGATCTTTAAATTAAGTGGTACCTTAAATATATTAAATGGTCCACACCTCTAAAATAGATACTTTAGCTTATTTTAAAGGCATTAATTCACCAGATTCATAAGTTTTATCATGATTTTTACATTAAATACTTAGAAGATCTTAATTAATAAAAATTCTAAATTCTTTTGCTAATTCACCTCCAAATCCAATGCCTTATTTTAATTCTGAATTTTTAGAATTCAAATAAGTACACTATGATCTAGTGAATTTATCATTTTTAGTCTTATAAACTTTAAATTATGGGAACATTTAAAATATACAATCCTCTTTACTACCACTAGGTTGAGCATCATCTTTCCATTCAAAATTTGTATATGCTCCAAAAATATACTTACGATTTCCTTCATTACATTGTATTAAGAATAATACACTAGATTAACTATCAATGAGAAGATGAGATAATAATTCAAAATTTCTTTCATGAACATTAGAAGAATAGAGTAATTCTAATTTATTACAATCTTTTTGCATGAAACTTAAATACATAAATGCTATCCATTCTTAATTAATTATATGAGATGGATGTTATAATTAAGGAATACGAAATAATTTTTATTCTCCTAAAAATTTATTGTAATAATAATCTTCAACAATTTCTTCTAATTATGTCAGGTAATTATCAAAAAATTTAATTAACTGCAAGATAGGAACATTACCATTAACTTTTGAGAATATAGCATCTACAAATGCTTTTATAGGTTGTTCATTAAGATTTTGTTTTCTTAACATCATATTAATAAACACTTGCATACATTTTGCTGTCTATAAATAAGTAATTTCTAAAGATGCAAATTATTTAATAGCATCTTTAATATTTAGATTACCAAATGATATGATTATTAATACAATAAGTGAAACTCTATTTGGTAATCTTAAAATTTCGTTTTCTGATTTACCTAAAATAAAGACTTCTGATATTGGTAACATTGTTTCATATTCGATACCTTTTTATTCATTGTTTTATAGACCTAGTAAAAACCAATACATGCTTTAACCAAAGATTGGACTTTCATCAAACATCTCAATAAAATTATCTTCAAATAACAACATCTATTTACGAGATCTAACAATTTTTCATTATAAACTATACTCTGGATTTGTAAGTGTTTGTCTAACAAAAGCTTAATGAATGTACATCTTTTGGGGCTTTTCTAGATTGGTTTATATTTTTGTTCTGTTGGTAACACAATTGCCCATAATTTTGAGATATTTTATAAATATAAATTGAAAATAGAAAAAAACAAGTGAAAATCAATAAATAAAAAAGATAAAGGGATTTGATAATAATAGAATTAGAATTAATCTTACTTTACTTTCTATCAAATATCTCATTTCCTCTTTTTTCTTAAATTCTAATCCTTCAATCCAAGTTCTTCAATTTTATTACGACAACTGTTATTATTAAAAATTAAAGAATACCTTTAAGCTGTATCATCATCTCCTTTTAGCATCAATATTTTATCCTCTCTATATATAGAATCACTTGGTAATATACATTAAGGTTCCTTCCATGGTAATATTGGATCATCTATTCTCCATAATACTTCACCATCAATCTCAAAATGTGATAACCATGATCCTGATCCTTTTGATAAAGTAAATACTTAATCTTCATCATCATCATCAGTCTTTTTAATAATATTATTTATTACATTAATTAATTTATTAATCTTTACATCAACCAAATCTGAAAGTGGTTTCTATTACTGAGACCAAAACATCAATTTATTTTTTATTTTCTAAGCACTCCCTTCATATACATAACTAAAATTTATTTATGCAACCAATTTATCTTATACACATTTTATTGTAAAACTATCTAATTTATTTAAAATTCGATCTCCTTTCATTACTCCATTTATTATCATTGCAGGTACCTTTATTTCATAAACTTTTCCATCTGCAAATTTTATGTATTTTGGTTTCAGGTTTTTTCCAATAATCTATGTAAATGTTGGATGTATTTCTGCCAAAACTTCTTCTGAACCATAGATTTACCAACCATTTCCATAAATTTAATATAATGTTGTAGGAGGATCAGATTTTATAAATTCACAATAAAATGCTGTCCCATCATCTTTTACTTTTTAACATGTTTCTCCAATCATAGGATCAATAGGTGCCAATGATCTCAAATAAGTATGTGTTCCATGTAAATAGGCAATTTCATTTGTTACAACCAACTACATTCTTTATAGAGGATCTTTGCATTTAGCCGCTTCTGTAAGATAGATGTTGGCATAATCATGATCGCTTAATCCTTATAAATAACAAAATACAATGTTGAGCATTCATTAGCTGTTTTAGGAGCTGTTAAACAAATAGGTTTTGTAATAGTGGCTAAATTGAAATCTCCTTTTGCAATTTTTGAACCAATTTATTTAATCATTGCTCCTGCAATCTAAAACAGCTTTGTATCATCTTCTTAATTCATATGAACACCACCTTTAAATAATGAAAAAATGGATTACCATTTTTGTGTGCCATAGGGTGCCTAGGATATTATTTATCTTTCTCAAACTTTTATCTCCAACTTTAATTCATAAAAATAAATTTTCAAAAACAATCAAGAAGAAATTTAATATATTTAAAGAACAATTTAAAATAAAAAAATAAAAATTATTCCGATACCGGGGATTGAACCCGGGTCCCCAGGGTGAGAACCTGATATCCTAACCACTAGACTATACCGGAACTGATAAAATAAATATATTAATTTCCATTATATACGGAATCTTTTTTATTTATTATTTGTAAATCATTAATGACTCTTCAAAAGGTTGAGAATCAATTATAGTTAAAAGAATATAATTTTTATAAATACTAAAATTTATTCTAATATATTATAATTATTTATTTGTAATTCAATAATAATCAACTAATTACGCTTGATTTATAATTTTAACTTCTTTAATTAGCCCTTTGGATTTAGCTTTAAAGATTTAATTACTATGAACGAGTTTTATTTTACATTTCTTTACTAATTAACTAGGTTTATTTTGTTAATCGTTCCCTTAATTATCTTTTTTGTACTCAAGAATTTCATCGTTATGGTTTTAATTTTAGTTTTGTATATGCTAAATAAGTATGTTCATTAATTCCATCTTTTTCAATCATTAATCAAATTCTTTTCTATTAAAATTAACAAACTATAAAACTTTTGTATCGGTTTCTTCACTGTCAAAATTAATTAATACATTGGCTCAGCCATATAAGCGCTATCATCTTGTTATTAATCTAATTATCTATAAATCTATTCCCCTGATGTATTTTAACTAAATTAGAAAATAGGATTACCAATCTTTAAATTTTATTAAGTACATTTATATAATTTCAACTTTTATTTTTTATTACGTTTAATCTAATTTTTATTCATACTCATCTCAATAAGTAAGTAACAATTACAATAATTTATTCTGAACAAAAAGTAAAAGAGTTATTGCTTCCTGAAATCTGTTAAAATCAAAAAGGCATTCAAAAGGTGCTCTAAAGCTAACAAATAATGCTAAACTTGATTGGTTATATCAATTCCAACTACATATCCAGGAATGTCCTATACCAAAAATCTTATTTCATATTTTGTAATTTAGAATCATAATTATATTTTTTTAATTTTATTCTATTAAATATTTTTCAGAAAAAAGTAGCACTTCTTATAAAAAGGGACTATAATTCAAAATTCAAACACCATTTCCTATCAAATCTTAGGATTTATTTGATAAAATCATGAATACATTCTATTAATTATAATTAAAATCACTGCACCTAAATTTTAAATATTAATTATTATGATTTTGCCATGTTCTGATTTGATCAATTTTTTAGATCAAATATCAAGTTATTCCTTTTAGTCAAGTATCATTGTAATTAATTGTAGCTGAAGTTTTTCATCCTTTTAATTATTAATATAAATTTACTTAAATATAAAAATTATTAATTTGTTATTCTTATAAAATTCTACAACTCATTATTTCGTTTGCCAAATAAACTTAATAATAGTAAATATTTTTTATTAGTTCATGTAAATTGCAAACAGATGTTCTAATATTGAAAGTAAAACAAAAAAAATTCAAAATTATCAAATATTCTTTTCTTAATAAAAAAATTGGTAAATTTCAATCGCATCTCTCGCTTCAAATCTAATTTCTAAGCAATATAAATTGCATCATAAAATTATACTATGAATTTTAAAGAATATTCTTAAAAATTAATAAATATGTAAATACATAATTGAAATAAGAATATCTTTGATTTTTCATTAGTTAACTAATTATTTTAGATTATTTTGTTTATATTCATATATTTATCATTTTTTGATATAAAAAAATATTATAATTATTAATAATTATATTATTATAATTTTGTAAGTATGTATTTTAGAATAAAATATAATGTAGATATGAATCCTGAGAGTGAGTTTGTATTTATTTTTGATATAATTCAAATTAAAGTGAAGATACGATCTCAAATTAATTAAATCTATATAATTCAATTAAATTTGCTCTTGAATTAAATTACTTTTAATAATCATTAAAAAAGTGAAANCATTTATATAATTTCAACTTTTATTTTTTATTACGTTTAATCTAATTTTTATTCATACTCATCTCAATAAGTAAGTAACAATTACAATAATTTATTCTGAACAAAAAGTAAAAGAGTTATTGCTTCCTGAAATCTGTTAAAATCAAAAAGGCATTCAAAAGGTGCTCTAAAGCTAACAAATAATGCTAAACTTGATTGGTTATATCAATTCCAACTACATATCCAGGAATGTCCTATACCAAAAATCTTATTTCATATTTTGTAATTTAGAATCATAATTATATTTTTTTAATTTTATTCTATTAAATATTTTTCAGAAAAAAGTAGCACTTCTTATAAAAAGGGACTATAATTCAAAATTCAAACACCATTTCCTATCAAATCTTAGGATTTATTTGATAAAATCATGAATACATTCTATTAATTATAATTAAAATCACTGCACCTAAATTTTAAATATTAATTATTATGATTTTGCCATGTTCTGATTTGATCAATTTTTTAGATCAAATATCAAGTTATTCCTTTTAGTCAAGTATCATTGTAATTAATTGTAGCTGAAGTTTTTCATCCTTTTAATTATTAATATAAATTTACTTAAATATAAAAATTATTAATTTGTTATTCTTATAAAATTCTACAACTCATTATTTCGTTTGCCAAATAAACTTAATAATAGTAAATATTTTTTATTAGTTCATGTAAATTGCAAACAGATGTTCTAATATTGAAAGTAAAACAAAAAAAATTCAAAATTATCAAATATTCTTTTCTTAATAAAAAAATTGGTAAATTTCAATCGCATCTCTCGCTTCAAATCTAATTTCTAAGCAATATAAATTGCATCATAAAATTATACTATGAATTTTAAAGAATATTCTTAAAAATTAATAAATATGTAAATACATAATTGAAATAAGAATATCTTTGATTTTTCATTAGTTAACTAATTATTTTAGATTATTTTGTTTATATTCATATATTTATCATTTTTTGATATAAAAAAATATTATAATTATTAATAATTATATTATTATAATTTTGTAAGTATGTATTTTAGAATAAAATATAATGTAGATATGAATCCTGAGAGTGAGTTTGTATTTATTTTTGATATAATTCAAATTAAAGTGAAGATACGATCTCAAATTAATTAAATCTATATAATTCAATTAAATTTGCTCTTGAATTAAATTACTTTTAATAATCATTAAAAAAGTGAAACAAGAATGAAATAATAGTTAAGCTTATTAAATCTAACAAGCAATTAACCTAAAACTAAGGCTAGTATTATTCACAAAGTTTCAGACTAAAAAAAGAAAATGAGTAGTTTTGATGTTTTAGGAAAAAGTCCATACAAAAGCAATTTCAATCGATAAAACTCAAGACATCTTCTAAAAGAGTATCAACCAATAACAAGTAGAGTTAATTAGAGATAAAGTTTTAAATCACCCCCTGAATCAACAAAGAACAGCAAACCAATCAGTATTAGCAATAACAGTATAAAATTATAAGTATTATGTCAAAGATGAGTTAAAATAAATGGACTCCTAAAAAAGAGCATCTTAAAAGTCTTATTAATACTAATTAAAAGCCCTGTTAGGCAGTGAATAAGAAAAACCTACATTTTTTGATTAAACAAAAAGTAAATTGGAAATACATATACTTAGGAATAAATACATAAATAAATTCTAATATTTTACCTCAATCACCAAAACAAAATATCAAAACAAGTCCAGATGTCAAATATAGTAAAATAGAGAATTCAAAAAGCAAAGCTTCTTTTTAAAATACAAATTTGAGTGTTGCTGATAAAATACTTCAATTGGAGAAAAACAAATAGAAGATAATTTCTATGTAATTGAAACTTGCAAAGAATATAAAATAGAGACCACAAAAATAATCTTTTCCAATAATTCCTGTAATGGAAAAATCAGAGCCACATAATTTTTAACAAAATTAAAAAAAGTAATTACCTTAGACAGCTTTGGTTGTTTTATAAAATTATAGCGATGTTTTGAGTGATTTTGAAAAAAAGGAGATAATAGATTATGAAACAATTTATTATTTAGCACCAAAATAAATAACATAAAATTAGAAAGATTCTCTTGGAACATAATTCAATAATGGATTTGATACATAAGAGTATATTCTATTTAATAAATATTTTTAGTGGAGATTATATATTTATAAAATAAGATTAGATAGCATATAGATATGAAATGTTAGAGAAATTAGGACATGGTAGTTTTGGTTATGTTTTTAAAGTGATGGATCATAAACATCATTAATAAGTGGCATTAAAGATAATTAAGAATAAGGAAAAATTTTATAAATAAGCTCTTATTGAAATAGATATTTTAAAAGTAGTAAATAAAGCAGATGTTTCATGTTGTTTAATAAAAATGTTGAATTATTTCGAATTTCGAGGTCATATCGTAAGTTAAATAAATTAATTTAGGAAGTGCATGGTATTTGAACTTTTAAGTTGTAACTTATATGAATTCATAGCAATAAATGATTTCGTTGGTTTTGATCTCGATTTAATTAGAAGATTCGCAATATAAATCCTTCAAGGTCTTCTCTACTTAAAGGAATGCAATATAATTCATTGTGATTTGAAACCTGAGAATATTCTCCTTAAAGATTTTAATAGATCAGGTATTCGGATAATTGATTTTGGTTCCAGTTGTTTTAATAATCAAAAGATATACTCATATATATAAGTATTTTTATAATTCTATTATTATAGAGTAGATTTTATAGAGCTCCTGAAGTTGTTTTAGGTTTAGGTTACTCTTCTTAAATTGATATGTGGAGTTTCGGATGTATTATTGCAGAACTCTTTACTGGAGAATCATTATTTTAATCTAAATCAGAAAAAGAGTTACTATTCTTATAAATTAAGGTTATTGGTATGCCTCCAAAGGAATTAATTGAATAAGGATCTAGAAAATCAAAATTTTTTGATGAAAAATGTTAACTTAATTATAAAATTTAGGATTAGGAATTATTATAAGAAATTAAAACTCTTAATTAACATTTATAAAAAGCAGATCCTTAATATTAAGATGTAATCTTTATTTATTGATTTAAGTTTGTTATTAAATGTCTCAAATGGAATCCAGATTAGAGAATGACACCAGAGGAAGCTTTAATTCATCCATGGATTATTAATGGATTACCCGCTACTGTTAGAAAATAACATATTCAATAAATGAAAAATTTCATGGCTATTCCAGAAGACTTAGATTTCAAATAAGGATAAGGTGAATAATAAAATCAATTTTAATGAAAATTATTATATAATTTATTTTTTAATATGGGGAAGAAAAATAGGAATAGAAATTTTTCAACTAAGAAAAATTAATTCAAATAAATTAGCAGAACAAAAACAGCGGCTGTTTTTGATGAAAAAGAAAGAAAGGAATATCTAACTGGTATGTTTGGAGCTAAATAAAAAAGAAAAGAAGACTATATTAAATTAAGAAATGAAAAACATAAGAAATTTAATAAAGAATAAAAAGCATAAATTAGAGAAGTTTATATATCAATATATTTTTAGGAAAAAAAGAAATAAATTGAAAGATTACAAAATCTTATTGATTTTAATAATTCTTTAAGTAAAACTTAAAAAACAGAAAGTATCAAAACTTCAAACAATAAAGAAGTTGAAGTAACAACTACTTTTTTTTCATGAATAATTATAATATATAATTCATTTTATATTAGAATAAAATTATCTTATTACATTTATTAGTACATAAATTCTAGAATAAAGAATAGAAATTGTATAATAATTTTTTGTTTTGTTTAGTTGATAAATTAATTATAAATTGTATTATTTATTGAAAATGATTATAAAAATAGCGATAGTTTATCGTATAAAATGCAGAAAAATTATTAATTTTTGATTTATATTAGAATTCATAAAATTAATATAAAATAATAATTGAAAATGAGTGATTTCTTTGTATAAAATAGAAGTGAGATTTCTTAGCAAAATTAAAGTGGACATGGAAGTTTTAATGAAAAGTATGTAATTGTTGATGATTTTGATTAGTTTGGGAGCAAGTTTTGGAAAATTGCATTAGGATAATCAAAGTTTTGGTCCAAATGGAGGTGGAAGTTTTGCATAGAATTCAGGATTTATAGTATAAACTGAATAATATCGTTCTTCTGTTGGACTAGAGGATATTGCTGCCCCAATATAAATATATGAATATTAAGAACCTTAAATATAAAAAGGAGTTTTCTTCAGGAGTAGTGGAGATTTTGAGATGCAATTTGAAGAGATAGGATTAGAAAGATTAAATATTTAACATAAAATCTAAGAGGACTCAAAAGAACATAAGGCGCCTTCTTTAGATAGTGGAATGAAAAGCAGCTAATAATCATCCCATGAATTTGATATTAAAATTGGTATATAGTACTTATATATTTCGATTAGAATCGGGTGAATAGATAAGTTCAAAATTTAAACCTGAAGTAAAACAACTAATTAACTCAAACATCATTTAAGAAAATAAGAATTTGTTTAATGTGAATCAAGCAAAGAGCATATATACTAATAAAATTACACAATTAGTTGAATAGACCTAAAAAAAAGTAGAGTTTGCAACCAAATCATCTCCTAGATTGTCGTAAATAAGAAATTTATTCAAATAGGAAGAGTCAACAAAAAATTTAGAGAAAATCTCCTCTAATTTCTAGAGAACACTTTGATGTTTCATCTAATGAATTATAGTCTAGTCAAATGAGTCCTGATGGTAACATAGATCCCGTATAGTAAAAGTTAGCTAAGAATAGAGAATCTGCTAGAAATTCAAGAGCAAGAAAGAAAATTTATTATGAATTATTAGAAACTAAAGTAAAAGAACTTTAAGATGAGTTAGATAAAGTAAAAGAATCCTAAAGAAATTAAACTAAACATACTGAAGTTTGTAATAAATTTTAAGAAAAAGTATTTTTAAATTTCTAAATCTAGTTTTAAACTTTTTTAGATTAATAATAATAATTATTTGATAAATTAGAAACTTGTTTACTTAAAAATAAGGATAACTTTGAAATTGAAATGGTTTTAGATGCTTTAAGATATAGAACTAATTCAAATAGTTAAGAACGTAATGATGCTGCAAGATAATATTTTGACTCTATGGTTGAAGTTTGTCTACCAATTCAAACTAAATATCTTATATATGCATTAGAAAAAGATAAAGACTTTTTTGCATAATAACCTAAGTATTAAAGATCTAATATTAGCGATTATACTGATTGGATGAAAGATGTGTTTAAGAAAACTGAAATCAAACCAGAATAAATTATAAAAGTTAAAAAAATGAAATCTAAATTATAAAGTGTTAGGAATACAATATCAGAGTAAAATTATAATACTATCAGACTAGTTCTATACAGAATATTAAAGTTTAATTAAAAATTATTTAAGGGGAGGCCAATAAAGTAGATTAAATGTGGCAATAACTAAAAGAATGTTTAACTCCCATTCAGTTAGGAGCATGTCTTTTGACTATGAAATAGGTAATTTATATTTATACATTCTTTCTTTAGAATGCTTTTCGTTAAGAGCTTCAAACATCTTCTATATTTATTTAGTTAAAGAATTCTTAAATGGTAAATTCATTCATAATTTAATTAGTCAGAAGAAGATGACATTTATATCAAATCAGAAGAATCATCTGTTCCCAAAAATAGGAAACTGGTCAAAAAATCTATGTAAGAATGAGAAAATATTCAACTAAGTCTTTTATTTTTATATTTTGCAGTCTTATCTTTTATGCTGCTTTCTTTGTTTTTTTTTTTAATTTATATAGATTTAATTTGATAAAATATTTTTATTATTATCAAATTAATAATCTATTTAATTCATAATTATTTATTTAATTATTAATAATTATTATATTTAATCTCTAATTTTGGAAAATGCTAATATTAATTAGTGAAAAAATCATTTTTTAAAATCTTTATAACTTAATGTGTCTTTATTTATGAATTTTAATTGGATGATACGTTTCCTTTTAAAAAGATCTCTATAAATTATCTTTTTTTTATTTTGTTTTTTTTGAACTTATATATTCATTAAAAAAAGCTCTACTAAGTCATATAGTGCATCTGATCTCAAGCTTTATGAATAAATTTAGAAATTTTACTAATAAAAAACAAAAAATTAAATTTCTTATTACCAATTAAATTGAACTAAATTATATATATATATCATTTACTGTACAAAAAAAATAACCACAATTTTAGAAAATTCAAAATGCAAAAGTATTTTCAAAGTTTTGTTAAAATTAATGATTGAATGAATATATCTTTGTTAAGGATTAGTTAATAAATGTTTGAATTTAAAATAATATTAGAGGGGTATAAACTCGTTAATGAGTGATAAATATTTTTTAAGATAAAATTATTTGATACTTCAATTTTGCATTCTAAATCAAAGATTTTAATATAGTTTGAATTAAAAAAGCATTATGGAAAAGAGTTAAATGTAAAAATTTTAGTTTCATTTGTTGTATGAAAAAACATAAAATATAATTTATTCCACCCATTAAGTTTTTTTTAAATATGCCTGATATACTCCTACTTATTATTGAAGAACTTTATAATTTACGATGATGATTTAATAAGAAAATTTTTATAGATAATTGTAGACGCAGTTAAAGATACAATTAATTTTGTAAAAAATGAATAAAAACTTAATTATATTTCAAAAATTAAAGTAAAAAATTAAGTGACTAAATGTGAGAAAACTCATTAAAACGAAGATATAGAGGAATTCTAATATTACACAAATAAGATTTTATTTCAAATGGGATTAAAATTGAAAAATTATATAAAGTCATTTTAAAGGATCAAAAATCTAAATTTTTCCCAAATTTTCAAAACTATAAAAAGAATAATAATAAAGTAATGGAACATTTCTATATGTTATAAAAAAAAAAATGAGAAATTCAGAAGGATCAGGAAAAGGTAAGGTAAAAATCTTTAAAAATTTGATTATTCTTAAGCTAAAATAATTTTTAATGCTACTCTGTATAAATTTAAAGTAATAGTATTGATATCATCATTTGAATATTATCAAACTAATTAAAATGGATTATTGTCTAAGATTTTTACATGAAGAGAAAAAATGAATAGAATTATTATCATAGATAATGGCATAGTTTGAATAAAAGAGGATTTTTGATTTATTTGATAGAATTTGAAAGAATTTGAATTTGAATTAGGTAGGAAAGTAATTTTTCATAAGTTGCACATAACACTATATATGAAATTTAGAAAGAAATGTTTGCTGAAATGAATTGATGAGTGAATATTAATGATGATGATTTATTTGTATGTACAAATAATAATTGATTAATAAAAATAATTAAATAGATGAATCATGTAAGTTTAAGTTGGTAGTGCAATTTGATTTAAATACTAACTTCATATACAAATAAGTATGAATAGATGAGCAATACAAACTAATAACTAGATGAAATCTTTTAGAATTTTGTTTAAATTTACTCAAACAAGTTTTAATAAAAAGAATTTGAGCAAACTTTGATTAGCTAAAAAATATTGAAACTAAGTCAAGAGAAAATGTAACAAGAGCAGTTATTGCAAACATAAGGCTAAATATTGGATAGTATTAGAGAGTAAAGAGAAAGATTGCTTTAGAAACTAGATGAAAGAGAATAAGAGTAAACAAGGATAGAAAAGGTTTTGGAGAGTAGTAATAAAAGAGAATCAGAATAACATAAATTTGAAGATCTTTAGGATGGAATATTAATGTGTAAAGAGAAATGTGTGTTGTTATAAGAGGAAAATATAGAGTTTACTAAGTTGGCTAGTTCTTTGAGATAGGAAAACGATTAATTAAAAATTCGTTATTCATAGGTAAATAATTAGATATTAAATGTATAGGTACGCTAGACATATGATAACAATTTATTGACATTAAATGAATTACAATAACATGGTTTGAATCTAAATTATCGAATGATGAAATTTACAAAAATAATAAAAGACCTAGTTCAATTAAATCAATGTGGAATAAGTTAGAGTAGGAAAACAAAACTTGAAAACTTTGTTAGTAATTATTCATAATTGGAAGATACATGTATAACATAATTAAATTCATTTTGAGCACCTTGAGGAATTATATAAGAATTTAGAAATATAGAGAGATAATAATTAAAACTTTAATCATGAGGTTGTAGAAAGTATTTCATAACTAATCTATATAAAAAGAGAATTAGCTTAAATAAATATGAAAGATTCTACTAGTTTGAATTCGCCAAGATAATATAACTAAGAAAAGGTGGATCCAATTTTAACATCAAATGCATTTAGATTTAAGACCCATCATAATTTGGGAGAGAAATAGATTAGACAGAGATAGATATCCAAATAAGATAGTGATTTAAGAGCATTTTCTGAATTAGATGAAGATGATGAAATAAAATAATGCAGTTCAGATGAAGATAATAAAAATAATGAATAAATTTCTCATAAATAACCATGGTATTTTAGATCAGCAATTCCAATTATAAGTAGTAAGAATTCAGAAAAGAAATGGGAAACTCATAGTGAGATGAAAAAACATAATAAAAATAAACCTTCATTTGCTTCAATTTCATCAAATTCAAGTTTCAATAAAATGGGTATGATGACATTAAAGGAAGAATTTTAAAGCATTTATCAACAATAATAATTAGATGAAGATATTAAAGAAAAGGATACTGAAATGAATGATAGTGATGAAATTCCTTAATTAATCTAATAAGAATCTATTATTTAAGATTCTACAATTATTATAAATAGAAAATCATAATAATTAAGTAAATCAAAAGTTGAAATTGAAAACTTTCCAGAACCTATTAAAAGTGATCCATACAAAAATTTAAAAATAGCTAGTGCTTTACTGGCTACTTGTGGAATAGCAGGATGGCTTTATAGAAAGTATTTTTGATTTTATATACCCATAATAATTAATAAATACATTCACTCATCTTTGTTTCTATCCAAGAAGCTTTTACTATCATATGAAATTTATGCAAAAATTGATTTTTTAGATGTAAATAAATGAGTCAGAAGTAGAATTGCCGCAGTTCTAAAAGATATTGTTCCTATTTCCATAACTTTATGTCTAAGATATCTGGCAACAATCTAAATGGTTATTTAAAATAATAATACCAAATTAATAGTTTACAATAATGGGAAACTAATGAAATAGAAACTACCATATATTCCAAGCATCAATATAAATTATTTAACAGCTGGATTACTCTTTTTAGAGGTATTAGATAATCCATTAATAAAATAGATAAATTCTCCAATAAAAATAAAAGATGCTAACCAACCTACCCAACCTTCATAAGAGTGATCTTTGTAGTAAGCATCATAATCAATAAAACCAACTCCTACAATTGTTAATTAAAAAAATGCTATTAATAATGATAAAGGCAGGAATATTTCAAAATTTTCAAATTTTGTAAAATTTATTTACCAACCCCATGATAACATGACTAAAATCATAGTTAAAGAGAATTGAGATGCAACCTATGTTAAATTATTAAGTTATACCTAAACTATTACTGAAATCACATGTAATGCCAAAACACCTTATCCATTATAACTGTACACCCATAAATGTAATAAGTTTAAACCATAAGAGATAGTTTCAAGGAAAAGAGTGACAATCAAAAGAAACAATGCCAAACTAAATTCTTCATATTTCTCATGTCGTTAAACTATATAATAGACGTTATAAGCAAGCATTATAATGTCAACCAAAACTACCACAATCATAAAATAATGAATTCCAAACTGTTCAACAGAGAATTCAGTCTTGTCAACATTCCTTACATGAATATCCACTTCAAATTTAAGTTTTCTATACTACTCGTCTTTAAATTCATCTCTTAATCTTCGATGGCAATCTGATATAGTATAATACCACATATGAGCTCTTAATTTGGCTTTAATATTCCCTTAGAATACTTGTGAATATTCTCCATTTCCAGGTACCTAAATAGTCTCTTTTCGTTTAGCTAAATCAGCTCTCTAATGAAATTAGTTTCAATTTTATTTACTTCACATGGTGGCTTTTCTAATACTTCAGGCCATTATTCATCCAAATGCAACTCAAAAAGAATTGGGTATGATCTCTCCCTCATCTCTTCTGATTCTAATCCAACGATTCTGAATTTAATATGATAGGACAGACTTCCAACTTCAGCTCCAAATTTTGTCAGATATTCCCAGTCTGACATCTATCTAATTCGAAAACTCTTCTGAACACTCTTAGTTTCACTTAAATTCAAAAATATGCACAATAGTATCAAAAACTTATACATTTTAATAAATTATTTATATAAGTCATGCTAATCTGTTTAAAATTTATACTAATTGATCCTTATTTTCATATAAAACAGAGTGTCCACCCTCAATATATTAAACTGTTCTTTTATTCATTTAAATCTTCTTTGACAATGCAACATTATTCACATCAAGAGTCTCATCCTACAAAAAGGTTTATAATAAGTCAGCCTCAGAGATATTAACCAAACAATTCTTTAAGGAATGATATACCTATACACTCAGAATTAGCTTTTAGAATCTCTCCAAAAATGAAGGACTTTACAACAAACCTATAATTGAAATTAAATATACCCTCCAAAATTACTTATCTACCTAATTAATTTATGGGATTCTGTTGTAAAACACAAGAAAGTTGATCTAAAGAAATAGGTTAAGTATTCATTATAGTATTTGTATATTCAAAAGCAAGTTCTGGCATATTCTTAGGTTGAGATTCAAATATCTTAATTGATTGAGTGAAGAAACTTCTTAATTAAGAGTAAATTGAAGTGAATGAATTCACAAATGCAATCTAACTAAACTGAATTGTGTTTTGACATTATACAACTAAGAATTTTAATAATAATTNCCAAACTAAATTCTTCATATTTCTCATGTCGTTAAACTATATAATAGACGTTATAAGCAAGCATTATAATGTCAACCAAAACTACCACAATCATAAAATAATGAATTCCAAACTGTTCAACAGAGAATTCAGTCTTGTCAACATTCCTTACATGAATATCCACTTCAAATTTAAGTTTTCTATACTACTCGTCTTTAAATTCATCTCTTAATCTTCGATGGCAATCTGATATAGTATAATACCACATATGAGCTCTTAATTTGGCTTTAATATTCCCTTAGAATACTTGTGAATATTCTCCATTTCCAGGTACCTAAATAGTCTCTTTTCGTTTAGCTAAATCAGCTCTCTAATGAAATTAGTTTCAATTTTATTTACTTCACATGGTGGCTTTTCTAATACTTCAGGCCATTATTCATCCAAATGCAACTCAAAAAGAATTGGGTATGATCTCTCCCTCATCTCTTCTGATTCTAATCCAACGATTCTGAATTTAATATGATAGGACAGACTTCCAACTTCAGCTCCAAATTTTGTCAGATATTCCCAGTCTGACATCTATCTAATTCGAAAACTCTTCTGAACACTCTTAGTTTCACTTAAATTCAAAAATATGCACAATAGTATCAAAAACTTATACATTTTAATAAATTATTTATATAAGTCATGCTAATCTGTTTAAAATTTATACTAATTGATCCTTATTTTCATATAAAACAGAGTGTCCACCCTCAATATATTAAACTGTTCTTTTATTCATTTAAATCTTCTTTGACAATGCAACATTATTCACATCAAGAGTCTCATCCTACAAAAAGGTTTATAATAAGTCAGCCTCAGAGATATTAACCAAACAATTCTTTAAGGAATGATATACCTATACACTCAGAATTAGCTTTTAGAATCTCTCCAAAAATGAAGGACTTTACAACAAACCTATAATTGAAATTAAATATACCCTCCAAAATTACTTATCTACCTAATTAATTTATGGGATTCTGTTGTAAAACACAAGAAAGTTGATCTAAAGAAATAGGTTAAGTATTCATTATAGTATTTGTATATTCAAAAGCAAGTTCTGGCATATTCTTAGGTTGAGATTCAAATATCTTAATTGATTGAGTGAAGAAACTTCTTAATTAAGAGTAAATTGAAGTGAATGAATTCACAAATGCAATCTAACTAAACTGAATTGTGTTTTGACATTATACAACTAAGAATTTTAATAATAATTACTAAATGATTATGCATGAAATCCACCAGAGCCTACTCCTAAAATTTTTAAAGTATCAGTTTGCAAATCTATTTTATTCTTTATCGATAATTCATATAATATTTAATCCAAGATACCAGCAATGTAAATATTAGTATAGATTTGCTCTTTGTTGAATAGAGTATAGGCTTACCCAGGAGTGTTCAATAAAAGAATCTTTTTGTTCTATGCTTCATTTATCAAATCCACTATGATTGGATAATATCTAAAAATGATTGATATGAATACTCAAAAAAGGATTCAAACATATCATGTAATATGATTATAAAATCTATTCCAGATTAAGAACTCTTCTCTTTCTTTTTAGTTATGTTACTCTCAAATAAAGCATAAGGAACAGCTGTCTAAGAATCTACTACCAAATATTCTAATTAAGTTATTTCAAAACAAGGAGTTGGGTAATTCATCATCCAACAAACTTCTTCTATTTATAAAGCTCTCAATTAATCATATTTCAAATCATATGATAATGCTTGCATAGGTGTACTTAATTGAAATTGATACAATTTTCTTACTATGTCAAAATTAACATGATAATAATAATGAGATGATGTTGTTAACAATACTTATTCTACTCCTTCTTATATCTTCTAATTATAGTACTCTTTTTAAATTGCTCTGCATTCCTATTCCTTTTTAGATGTCTTTGCTAACATTTTCTTTATTTCTTCTGATCTTACTTGAAATTCCTTACTCTCTTATTAGTTTGTGTCTATTCTTCTTACATTTGGAGCTCTCTATTCTGCTAAAGTTTATATTAAATTATCTGCTTCATTTTAAAACTCTTAAGATTATTCCATTTGAGTGGGTTTTTAAAATTACTTCAATTTTTAATAGTTTAAATAACCTAAAGTCAATCTATTTATTTCTATTTGTTTGCAAACATCTCTAAACTTTTATGGAGATGATGTCTTTGACATTCTATTCTCAGGTATAGAAGTAATCAAAAAATTCCTCTTTTATGTTGGTGCTCTAAATATTCTAAATGATTTTGTTGATGTGGATGGCTTCATTTACAATTTCTCTTATCTTTTAACAATATTTTCTTCTCTTTTTCTACGTCTTTCAGCTTCTTCATCTATTTGTAATGATTATGTCTTTTTTTCATTTATAAATTATGCTCCATTTTTAATATCCTTTTTTAATTAAGATTCAAAATGTCTCTGAATCATAGAATAAATTATAAAACAATTCTTACAAATTTTAACAGATTTGTATAAATTGATTAATGCTTAAACATCAGAATTTTCTTTACTAAATGGATGTTATTATTCATCTTTTATTTCTGGATGTTCTTCTGGATTGTAATTTTCTAAATGAATTTTATATTTTTTGAATAATTCTATCACCTCCTTATGATCATCTCTTGTTCTTACTATTAATTACAATGATATTTCATAAGGTAAATTTGTACTCATATTAGTGACTGTCTATTTTGATTCTTTGAAAACATTCTTATAAGTTTCCAATAAACCTTTCCTCAATTAAAGAGGTCCTCTTAAAAATAATTATAGTTGAAATACTTGTTTTTTTCAATTAATTTATAATTACAAAAGTCGCCTTGACATCTTTCCAAAATTAAATGTTTATAGAGTGTTTTACTAAGTTTTTTATCTTCTTCAACAATTTAATTTGGATACTTTTTGAATTCATTATTTGCATTCTTATCTAATCTAAACTATTTGCATGCCATCATAAAATTATCAAATTAACCATTACTTGCTATTTCATCTCTTAAACCCTTTTGATATGGAGCTATATTAATTAATAGTATAATAAACCTCCTTGTTATATTTGGATTGTGATTTATTTAATACCAGCAAAATATATTTGGTCTCTTTAATCAACGATGAACTTTGGAGTGAACTTGCGTACTTTGACTTTAAATACTTTTTCTAAATAAAATGCTATTTTTTTTGTTTCCTATGAAAGTGGACATAATATATCTACGTACTTCTTAAAAGCGTTAATTTAGTGTAGAATTACAATACTTGAACATTGTTTGTACTTTCTAAACTTCTTATTATCTGACTGGGATTTAGCCAGAACTTTAGACTGGCATCAAGAGAGTTTAAAAAGGATTGCTGGATTTAGCAGTTGTACTTTTGTTCACTCTTTTTATTGTAAGTGTCTTCTTGAAAAACTTGAAAGTAATTGGAATGAAATCAACATCATAATGGTACTCAACATAGTAGACTTCATCTGCAAACTATTAATCAAGCTACTTTGATTTTCAATGTACTATTGCATGAATGCCAAAGAGGAGAGATCTTTGCCTTCAACAAAGAATTGCAATAATTCTTATCGATTCATAGGTATTCCCTCATTTCTTTTCATCTACAAAAATGCTATTGGAGTTTCCTTATATATTATAAAACAATATTAAACCTCTTTGAATTGAGGACTCTACTTTGCTTGTTCATACAATTGAGTAAGTGTGTCTATCTTAATGTCTTTGGGGAATTTAATACCAAGCAAAGCCTTGGCAATTTCAAGATTTGAGAGTTTATCAGAATTCTTTTTCATGACTACTTGAGATTGTTTAGGATTGAATAGCCAAACTTTAGGCATTAGTTTATCGAAGATGATGGTCTATGGTATAAGACATTGTAATTTGTTATTCTTTTTAGTACACATTTCATAGAAACTCCATTAAGAAGTTAGTTCTAATTGATCTTCCATAATTATATTAATAATATCAATATCCGAGCAATACAATGACCAAGAATATTGAATACAGGATGGTCTGGTAATTAGATACTCCTGGATTTTAACCAAAAGTGAAATTATTTGGAACATAAACAGCCTAAAGATAAATTAAATATATGATTTACTCCTGCATATGGTTGTACAGATTAGAGACATCTTTTCTAAAAGTTGTAAAATCCATATTTGCATATAGCACAACCAGATTGAGTGGATGGTGTTTATTGATTTTATGAAGTTGATGTAGGATATCCTTCAGCACAATTAGCTTAACTCAAACTAATGCAACCCCCATTTGAAAGGACATATCCACTAATACAAGAATTACAAACTTAACCTGGGGCAGAACAAGTTGCACATTCAAAAGGACATGCCAAACAATATGAAGTTGTTTAGGTTCCTGTATTGATACTTGATAAGAAGTATCCATTGTTACAAACTTAACAGGAATTTGGACTATCTGCAGTACAAGTAGCACAATTAGAGACACCACATTAAGTACATCCACCACCAGATACATAATAACCATTTACACATCTTGAGCATGTTGGACCAGATCCACATTAAATACATTATGAATCACAAGCTGTACAAGTTGCAGCTGTACCTGTTGAGAAAAAGTAGTTGACTTAACAAGCACTACAAGTTATTGAGTTACTAGGGGATCCTGTACAAGCAGAACAACCTTGAGGTAATGAGTTAGTTATTGATGCATCACAAGCCAAACATAAAGTATTATTATACAAGTTAGTTTAAGTAGTACATGAAGCACATGTATATTGAGTACCACTTGTTGCAACTATTGTGACACATTAAAGACTTTGAGTTGATGGAACACAAATCACTTATGCAGCTGTTGTACCTGAAGCTGGTAAGGTATATAAATAATATCCATCTTAACATTAAGTGGGTACAACTGCTGTGAGAGATGAATTTTCAACTGGACCTTAACATCTTAAAAATGAATCTGATGCTTAGGTGCATTATTTACAAGTAACGATACCATTTCCGTCTTTTACTCCATAATAACTATGATTATATAAATATTAAATGATACGTATCCCGACAAGTTGAACATGAAGTTTATACAGAAGCTGTTTATTATCCAGGAGGAACAGTGCAACTATCACAATTATTACATTAATAACAGATTCCACTTGTTGAATCTAAAGCATATCCAGCTACACAAGCTGAACACTTAGGATTTGAACCAGCTTATGTTAATTGTAAATTAATAGAAGAGCATTTTAACATTGGATAGCATAAATCTCCATATTTAAAGTATGAAGGATAACAGTCATTACAAGTTGATAATGATGTACAAGATGAACATCCAACAGGACATGAATTACAAGATTAAATAATAGTTTAAGTATTATCTTTAGAAGCATAGAAACCAGGTAAGCATTAAGTGCATGTTGATCCTTGACATGTGGCACAATTTCCGCCACTTAAACAGCTAACACACGAGCCAGCAAATTATGCATTAGAAGATGATAAAGGTGTGCTACTGACTGATTGTTACCAATAAAAACCATCATTACATTATGAACAAGTATATCTAAAATGATTAAGATAATTACGGTGAATTACAAGATTTACAGTTGGGCATAGTTTAGGTGCACAAACTGCAAAATGATTATCCAGGCATTAAATAATATTATTACCATGTTCCAAACCAAATTGTAGAATTTGAGCTTGAGTTTGATGGTGTGAACTTCAAGTCCCAATTTAAAAAGTATTTGGTCTAACAAGATAAGCAAACAGCATTTTCATCCCATGAAGAACAATATTAATTATTGATACATACACCTGCCTTAAGTGTATAATCGGATGTACATGCAGTACAAACATAAGCATCTGAATTCGAATTCAATGAATAACTAGTACAACCAACAGGTATTTAAACACAAACACTTAAAAATAGTAATTGTTGCATTACCCATTGATCAATGTAAAACCAGTATTGCATGTCAAAGAAGTTGATCCATAATAACTACTGCATGTATAATATCCACTTATGTCATTATCTGCGTTCTTACATGGCATACAAGCTTAATTGTTCCAATAAAACCCTTTATTGATCATAATATAGAATACCATTCCTGCATAATGAATTTGTTCTTGTTGATTAAACGAAGGTATTGGCTCCATAAGTTATACAACCATATCCAGTCTTTGGACATGTGACTGTAATTGCACTTCTCACAACTAAAAGTAATCCTATACAGAAGAGAACTCTCATTTTAATTTATTAATAATTTAAGATTTTTACATTCATCCTCGTATAAATATCTGTTAATTATAATGAACTCAGCTTCTAACAATTAATTGCTTCAAAAACTACAAAATTTGTATTCCGCCAAATAGAAACCTAGTCAACACTCTCATTCTCCAACTAAAACTAATTCCTCAAAATAAATTAACTAGTTACTCCAAAAGTCAACACCACTACCCTACCTTCAAATCAAATAATAAGATATAGAATAATGGACTGATCGTATTAACACTTAAATTGATAAACATAAATCATTCTCATAGAATGATAATACTATTAACTTTTATCTTTAAAAACCTCTTCCTTCAAACCCTCTTTTTTAGTAATCCTTCATAACATCACTTATTGATATTCAAAAAAAACTCAAATTACTTAAATATGCTAAAGAAAATGATCAGAATACTTTTGTTTCAATTATTACTAAAATCAAACTCTTTTGTCTTGATAATTCCGCTATCTGCTTTGATTTTTATAGATGCAATGATCTAATTCTACTTAAATATATGATTTATCTCTTGATCTTTCAATTCAATCAAGATATCTAAAAAAATTAAAAAGAATCCAATTCAGAGTAGACTTTACAACTTTAAAATATGGTTAAAGATATTATTACCATAATCTATGAAATTATTGAAGAAATTAAATCGAAATAACATAATATTTCTCATATTGATACACTAAATCATTAATTAACCTAAATTTAAAATAAATTTAAGCCTGCTAATGCTTGTTCGTTAAAAACTATTAATAAATCTTCTCATCAAAGATATAATAGTTTTAATTTAGAAAAAAATAAATCTGCAGTCTATCAAAGCAAATATGCTGCTGATATCAATTTAAGTACTAATCAACTCAATAGTAATCCATAATTTAATAATGGATAATAAAAAATTATTTAAAATTAAAATGATGAATTAGAGTAGAATTCTAAGCTCATCATTTCATTAAATAACTAAATTTAAAAATTATAAAAAAATTATAAAAAACAAATTTTTTCAATTTCAGAGTTAAATGATTTAAATTAATCCCTTAAATAATAATTGCAATCAAAAATTGAAGAAGTATGTAATTTTATTTAAATTTCAAGCTCGAACATTTAAAAAATTCATTTGAACTCTTAAAATCAAATAATAAACTTTATTTGGAATAAAAAGAGCAATATTTTAATCTATATCATGATTTAGAACTAGAAAATCGTAAACTCAAATAAAATCTTTAAAAATATCAAGTAAATAATCTTTATACATAATTATAAGGTTGATTATGATTAAATTAAAACTGAGTTTGAGAAGTATTAAACTGAAACTTATTTTAATTATCAAAAATAATTGAATTAAATCCAATAAACCAAAGATAACGAGATTAAATCTATCAAAGTTGAGTTAAATGAAAAATGCTCAATTATAGTAATAATATTCTTAAAACTTAATAGACACAATTATTAGGGGATGTATTATTTTTTGGAAAATAATACAAAAATATTGTTGATAAAATAATTAATATTCAAAAGAAGGATTTAGAATGGAAGATATTAGAATTATAAAAGGAATTATTTGTTTCTGAAAATACTCTGAATGCTAAGTTAAATGCGATTTCTAGTTATTCAAATAATATCATATATAATTAGGGTCAAGAGTATCTTAAATAGAATCAATTATCTAATTTGTTAGGAAATTAAACGATATCATATTAGAGTGATCATCAAAAAAATACGAAATAAAGCAGAGTCTTAGATTTATTAAGTGATTCGAAAAATTCATTTGAATTGATGCATATGCTTTTAATTTAAAGTTAAGTACTTGAGGAATTTTTATCATGATTATAGAATATATTTAATATGAGTTATGATATTAATGAATAAATTATTGTTTAGTTAGTTATGACTTTTTAAGTTTAAAATATTAATGATGTAATAAAGAGTTGTTTAATAAAATAATGAAATATTGGATATTATTGTTTTATCTCATATTTGTAACATCATCATTTAATGTGAATAGAGATGATTAATTCATAGTAGATTCTGATGGTTTAAGAAGAGTATTTCATGGGTAATTATAATAATTATAGATAGAGTGAATGTAGTATATAAACTGCCTCCATATTATCCACCAATATCAGAAGGATTTGATTCTAATGATTCACTATCAGATTTTGATTTGGATAATTTAGTTTCTTGGGGAATGACTTTTATAAGATTACATGTTGCATGGGAAGGTGTAGAACCTGTAAGAGGATAATACAATTATACATATTTAGAAGAAATTGATAAAATAGTATAAAGATGTGAAGCTAAAGGAATAACAGTATTGTTGGATTCTCATTAAGATGTATTAAATAGATTCTTTTGTGGTAATGGATTTCCAGATTGGACAATTGCTAGAACAAAGTCAAAAGAATTTAGATTTCCATATCCTTATATTTTCTCTAAGATTCATACCGATGATGAAGGTGTTCCATTGATTGAAGACTGTTTAAAGAAAAAGTTCGTTCTTTATTATTTAACAGCAGAAGCATCAAAAACATTCTAAAATCTTTTTGATAATAAGGAAGGAATTGCTGATGCATTTGCTGAATATTGGGGTGTAGTTGCTAATTATTTTAAAAATCATAAAAATGTTATTGGATATGAAATTATCAATGAACCAATTCAAGGATCAATTTATCATAGTATAAGAGAATTTCTATTTCCAAATTATGGTAATAATCATAATTTATTGCCTCTTTACAGAAAGGTGCATTAATAAATAAGAAAGTATGATGATAAGAAAATTATCTTTTTTGAACCTGGAACAACAGATCTTATAGGTGCTGGATTTAAAGATACTCCAGGAGGTGAAGAATATAGAGATAGAGAAGTATACAGTTACCATATTTATTGTTTTAATGTTGATGATTATAGCATTCCAAAAAATGAATAAGTATGTAATTATATGGATTCTTTCTTTTTTGCTACAAAAGAAGGTGTTGCTAAGAATTTAGGAGTTGGTAAATTTATGACTGAATTTGGTGCTATTCTTGATACTCCAGAAGGAAATAAAGAACTTAATTATCTATTAGATTTAATGGAATCTAGATTCACATCATGGGCTTATTGGGAATTTAAATATTATGCTGATATAACAACTTAAGCTCATCCTGGATAAATAGAATCATTCTATGATGAATTTGGATAGTTATATACAAACAAAGTTAGAACTCTTAGTAGACCTTATGTAACTAAAATCTGTGGTATTCCAAGCAGTTCCAATTTTAATAGAATAGATGATAATTATTATTTCTTAGAATTAGATTGGAGAGCTAGTAATAAATGTAATGGAAAATAAACTGAAATCTTTTTATCAAGAGAATATTATTTTGAAGAGGTTCATTATCATTTCACGTAATCTTTTTAATCTATCTATAGAAAATGTACCGACTGCAAATTGAAAGCTATCAGTAAATCCTACTATATTGTTGAATTACCTGAAGATTTCAAAGAAGGAACTGCAATCTCTTTGATTGTGACCAATCATGAATGAATAAATTCAATTATTTTATCAAAATATTCTTTTTTTTTTCCTCATTCTCTTTCAATCTATTATCTATTCTACACAATTTATATTTCATCATCATCATTTAATTGTATATTATTTAATTTTTAATACTATAAAAATAAAATACTTCATATTATTACAAATATATTATAAATCTTATCATTACATGTATGTATTATTCTTTTTAATAAATATATAAATAATTATTTAAAACAAATGTTAAATCAACAAGATTCAGCTTCATTTGATGATAGTCGCTTGTAATAAGACATGAAGTAAACTGCTTAATTTTTTAATCCTCAATTAAACTCATTAGGCTAATCTATTAGATTCTAATAAAAATAAATATAAAAAGTCCCCTTCAAATCTGCAAAAGAATAAGCTTTCAAGATTAGTTCAGAAGGCAAAAAGAATTTACAATATCAGATTAACACTGAAAAAAAACCTACTCAAACTTTGAAAAAAGTCATTCATACTAAATCTACCAAATAGTTTGTATAAAATAATCAAATTACTCCTGCCATGCATAAATTTAGGTATTAATTTATATTTAATAAGCTCTCCTCCCAAATTAATTAAAGTTCCTTTTGTTAAACCTTTTTCACCACCCCAACCTAAGACTAATAATGAATAAATTAATATACTCTAAAACAATTCTGTTGCACCTGGCTTTCAAAGAAATACCAATATTAAATTTGCTCAGCCTCTTAAAATTTCTGATAATGAATTTAATATAAGCATGGCTGATGTATAACCTGTTCGAAAGCCTATCCCCACAAAACAAACTGAAGAGTTCAATAAACCTGAATACCCATCTTATTAAAAATCTTTATTAGATAGCAGATAATCTCAATATAATAGTGAATAAATGCAAAAATCTAATTCAACTGCATTTTTACCCCAAATTAATTAAACAAAAAAAAATTTCAATAATCAATTCTATGGATATGGTTCAATTGGACAATAATCTTAATAAGAGACTGCTCTAAGAACTAATTCTTCAAAATAAACTATTACTCCTGTCAATGAATTTATTAATTGCAATCTACCTAATGATGATGTAGCAAGAAAATCAAGAACTGCATAAGTACATCTTAGAGACTCTCAAGAATCTCAAAATCAAATGAAATCAGCATATAAATTAAATAATATTGATAAACCAGATCATTTCAATCAGTTACCATAAATATAATCCCCTTAAGCAAGTACTAAATAATAGTTAGCATTTTAATCAACTGGAGGCTCATAGAAACAGAAACATTTTCTATAAAGAAATCCTTAAATTATGATAATAAATAGATTATTTTCATCAAAATCTGACAATAACTAAGTTATTTGATAATTTTGCTATATTTACATATAATAATTATTTATTACCTCGATTTCAACTGCATGAATATTTAGTGATTATTTTGAATTTTATAATATATTTAAAAATGATATTTTAAGCATAACAACTATGTACAAGGTTTAATTATATATTAATTACTTTTTGTCTAATGTATATTAAATTGTAAGTAAAGCTTAAACATAATCTGCTAATCTGTTGTTATTGTAGTTTACTTTAGAATTAATGATAAATTATTAATAAAGAAAAAAAATAATTAATGATTCTTAAACATAACATAATGTTTAAAGTATTAATCGTTTTATTATTTACAAAAAAATTAGTAAAATTCAGTATAAGTTTTCTTCTTGTAGAATCAATGAGTAAAAAATGATTGCATTTGCAGAAGAGAATTACTTGATGTCAAAAAGTATATTTATTATAAAACCAGTAAGATTGAATTGATAATTGTTGTTTGATTGGTTATTTCTCAAAGTGAAATATAGTTTTGTAATAATATATGTTAATGTTAAAAAAGCTTGTTAAAGAGATAAGTAAGGTATAGTATGTTGATTAGAAGTATATATTTTTGTTGACAATTTAGAGTAATTTAAATACGAAAATTGAAATAAAAATAAAATTGATTTTAAAGTACGATGTAAATATAAAGATACATTATCAGAGTTTAAGAGATTAGATTTACTAAAATATAATTTTAGTTAAACTAAGATATGAATAGTTACGTTTTTTCTTAGAAAAAAGGATTTGAAAAACGTTATGGAGCAGGTGCTTAAGAAGATAATTAATATGAGAATTGTGTAATTTTAATGAGTTTAATTGAAGTATGAAAATTTAAGATATGGATTAGATGGTATATTTAATGATATTGATTTGAAAATATATATATTTTTATATTAATGAACTCTAATAAAGCATTTTCCGATTCAATTAGCAATTGTCAGAGTTTAAGATTGAATACATCTATTTCAAAACATGACTCAAATTGGTATGTTTATAAAATAAGGTTAGCACTAATTTACCTGGATCAAGTAGCAAAGCATCTTCAAGTAAGATTAAAAAGAAAACAATTAGGTATTTAATCAATGATAAATTAGTGATTTTTAGTCAATGTAATAAACATTAGGATAAGGCTCTTTTGGTTGGGTGACTTTAGTGAAGGAAATTTAGAGTGGAAAATTATTTGCTATGAAAGCAGTATGTTTGAATAATAAATGAATAGATGAAGAAGGCAGAACTATTTAAGTATTGTACAATTGATAATTTGAAAAGGGAAATAAAAATTTAACGTAAATTGAATCATCCTAATATTATTAAATTGGATAGTTATTTTGAAGACAAAGTATGATGAATAAATAAATAAAGATTAATGTTTATCTAATTCTTGAATATGCAGAAGGAGGATCTCTATTTAAAAAGATAAAAAAGCAACGTCGTCTATCTGAAGAGGAAGCTTTTCATTATCTTTATTAAACATGTCTTGGGATAGAGTATTTGCATAAGATGAAGATAATCCATAGAGATATCAAGGTTTAATTATGTTTCTATAAGTAGCCTGAGAATTTGTTATTGGATACAAGGGGAAATATAAAGATATGTGATTTTGGTTGGTCCACTGAAATGGATAATCTGAAAAAGGCTTTCTGTGGAACTGTAGAATATATGGCACCAGAGATGATTAAGTCATAAAGTACGAATTACAAATTAGATATCTGGTGTTTGGGGGTTCTTCTTTATGAAATGGTTTAAGGTAAACCTCCTTTTACAGGAAAAAATGATTAGGAAAAATGTTTAGCAATTCTTTCAGGATAATAGTTAAAATATGAAGATTTTGTGACTGAAGACTGCAAATCTTTGATTAACATGATTCTTCAACCTAATCCATTTAATAGACCTTCTATCTAGGGTATTCTCAATCATAAATGGATGCTATCTAAATTAAAATAATAATCTAACTATGATCTATTGAATTCCAGAAAAATCTCAATTATCATGGATGAATTAAACCATTCTCCTATGAAATCTTGTTAAACTGTTGTTTCCGAAAGGAAAACCAACAATAAGGAATATGAAGACATCAAAAAAAGATCTCATAATTTTGTGTTCCATTAACCTTAACCATTAAACGAACAACCTTAATAAACTTTCTTTAGAAGAGTCTTGATTTCTCTTGGTTGTATTAATCGTTGAAATTATATATATATATATATATTTATTCATTTATATTTAATTAAAAAACTAATATTAATGTTATAGGATAGATACTTCTTAGAACTAAATTAATTAGGAGAAATTGAAGCTAGTCATGATAAAGCCATCTATGTTCATCTAAATTGGATTGTTAGAATCTTTGTTCGCAATCGCAAATAAGATTATTATCCTTACCTGATCATGCAAAAAGGTTATAAGCGTGTACATGATATGGATAATTAAACTTTGAAATAAATTTAACACCATCATGATGTTAAACCGTTTACTCTTGATTCTTCTGGTGATTGGAAGTTAGATGTTGAATTTCCATTTCCTGGAGCTGCTTATTTAAGATTATGTTGGTTTGTTGCTTAAGATCAACCTGTAATTTTAGGAGTCGAAAATCATATTATTGTTTAACCTAATAATGTTGAAAAACTATAAGAATTAACCATTTAAACATTATTACCATATTGTTTAGGGAAATTTGAAGATTATGAAAAGTAAATTCGTTCTCAAGTAGAATTGGGTTATGAAGCATTTCATCTTCCACCAATTTAATAATTGGGTTAATCAACCAGCTTATATGCAATTGCTGATTAACAAAGACTTAATACTGATATTTTTGGTAATCACTCCTTAGATGATTTAAAATTACTTTTTGCAAAGTTTCCAAATACACACTTTTTTATAGATATTTTGTTAAATCATACAGCATTTGATTCAAAATGGTTAGTTGAACCAGAATTTGAGAATGCTACTTATAATGTTGGTAATTCTCCTCATTTGGAAGTGGCAATAAAATTAGATTGTGCAATAGCTGAGTTTAGTAATAAATTAGGTTAAGGTTTGCTGACTTAATATCCACGAAATACAATATACAATGAGAATGATTTGAATTAAATAATGGAGATATTGGAACGTGATTATATAAGGAAATTGAATATCCATGATTATTTTTAATTTAACATAAATGGAGTAGTTAATGAGATACACAGTAGGTGTAATAAAATAGTGATAGAGAAGAGTGAATAGTAAGAGGAGAATCAAAATATTTTTATAAAGAGTGCAAGTGAGATGATATTACAAATGATAGGATAGGAGACAATTTTGAAAGGATATAAAGAGTATGGTGTATCTTTAAATTATGAAGTATTAGTGGAATATTTAAAGTATGTTATGCAATAAGAATGATAGTAAGGATGAGAATTACAAGAAAGTGTCTTTGGAGTATATCCGTGAGTTGTTGTAATATTATAACCTTCAATATTGGAATGAAGCAGAGTAATATATAAAAGAAGCAGTGAATTGTACAAGAGGTTAGATTACATGGTGGAAATTGAAATAAAAGAATCCATAGGTGGAAGTGAATGAGAAAGGCGATTCATTAGTTCCAAGATATTTTACAAAATTAAGTAATGGAAAGTATGTGGCAAATAATGGATGGATTTAAGGATTCGATCCATTGAATAATTTTGCTGAGAATTAGGATCATCATTATTTAAGAAGGACAATAGTGATATGGGGTGATTTAGTGAAACTAAGATATGGACATAAGAAATAAGATAGTCCTGCTTTATGGAAATACATGAAGAAATATGTTCAATAGATGGCATAGATATTTTCAGGATTAAGATTAGATAATGCACATTCAACTCCGATGATGGTTGGGTAATTAATATATATATGAATAATTAGTGAATATATGATGAGGAATGCAAGAAAGGCAAATCAAAATATTTTAGTGTTCGCTGAATTATTTACAGGATCATCAGAAAAGGATTCAATATTCACAAAAACAATGGGGATTAATTGTTTAGTTAGAGAAACTAATAGATGTCATGATGCAGGACATTTAAATAGAGAATTACATTATTATAGTGGAGATGGTAGAATGTCAATAGGATCATTACCTAAATTAGAAGAATAATTTGAATCAATGAATGAAACATTTACTTTATTATAACCTTAATATAGTCCTGCTTTAATATATGAATAATCTCATGATAATGAATCATTATTATCTACTCATGGATATAAACATTAATTACCTATAGCTTCATTAATATCCTTTAGTGGTTGTATGGGTGGATCTGTAAGAGGATATGATTAATTCATACCGAATAAATTATCAGTAGTAAATGAGAGAAGATTATATAATATTGATTAACCATTAGAATAATTGATCATTCAAAAATAATCAGTTATAGTATTTCGATATGATGGATTACCCAATCAATAAGTTGAAGTATTTGGATCATGGAATTAATGGTAAACTGGATTAGTTCTAGATCTTGCAATTAATAATATATATTCTTCTACTCTAAATTTAAATGAAGGACAGTATGAATACAAATATAAAGTAAATTCTAATTGGGTTGATTAAAATAATAGAATACTTATTATTCAACCTAATCATTAGAAATTACATACTACTATGGAACTTGTTAGACTCAAATTAAATTAAATTAAAAAAGAACTTAATACGGAATTTCCTTTTATCTTATGTTAAAATCAAGGTGATACTATACAAATCATTACTAGAGAAACTTAAGATAGATGTAGATCTAAAGTATTAATTACTGTACCTTCATTTGGAATCCCTAATACATTTACTTCTATCAAATTACCAGGATAACTTATTAAAGTAGATGCTATCTTCTATCATGATGATTTTATACAACATCCTGAGTAGAATAATTAATACATTGAAGCATCTTAAGTCAGAATTATTTAACATTCAAATATTAGAGAATTTGCAGAAATCTGTGATGATCATCTAAATTTTGTTAAATTACCCTCTTCATTTACTGCTATACTTGAATGTCATATCATTCCAGAATAATAAAATAATCTACAATCTTTAGATCTTATATTAAATGATCATTCATAATAATAACTTTTTAATGAATTAACATCATCATAACTTAATTATTTACTCTTTATGTCAGAACCAGAAGAAAGAGATAAAAATAATAAAGGATTATATTTCATTCCTAATTATAGATAACTAATTTATGCTGGTTTTGCTGGTCCTCGTTCTGCTACCAGAGAAGCTTAAACTATTAATAATTTAGCACATCCGGTCTGTGAAAATTTAAGAAATGGCAATTGGCTAATTGATTACTTAAATGATAGAGTACAATATTAACTTTCGCTTTTACAACTCTCCAAACTTATTAATACTATTACAAATTAAATAAAAAATATTCCACGTCATCATATTCCATCTTATTTTTGTAAATTTATTGATTTCATCTATAATCACTCCATATAATCTATCACCAATCTCTAAACTTCATAATTCAAAAGAGAATTAAAATTAGCATCATATCAATTCATTGCAGATTTACCTTCCTCTAAATCTATGGCAGCAGGATTACCACATTTTACAACTGGCTGGGCTAGATCATGGGGAAGAGATACTTTCATCTCCTTTAAAGGAATCTATCTTGAAAATGGATTGCTATCTGAAGCTAGAGAAGCTTTACTCACTTTTGCCTCTTGTTTAAGACATGGACTTATTCCTAATCTATTAGATTCAACCAATAATCCAAGATATAATTGCAGAGATGCATGTTGGTGGTACATCAAAGCAGTTAAAGATTATATTTAGTATGTTTAAAAACCTGATATTTTGAAAGAAGAAGTTTAAATGGTATTTCTAGATGATGATATAGATAAACATTATTAATTAAAATCTTAAGGCATTGTCATTAAGAGAACTCTTGCAGATATTATTTAAAAGATATTCCAAAGTCATGCCACTGGAATTAAATTTAGAGAATGGAGAGCAGGAAATTAAATTGATAATTGTATGCAATCAGAAGGATTTAATATTTAATTAGGTTTAGATGAATAAACTGGTTTTATTGTAGGAGGAAATTGGTTAAATTGTTTAACTTGGATGGATAAAATGGGATCATCTGATGTTAATAGAGGTATTCCTGCTACAAGTCGAGATGGAGCACCAATAGAATTGACTGCACTACTAAAAGTTTGCTTAGATTTTGTGTCTCATAGTTAACCACATTATCCATATGATGGAGTTATTTGTACAAATGGAAAAAAATTACTTTTTAAAGAATGGTCACATTTCTTGATAGCTAATTTTGAGAAATAGTACTATATTCCAAAATAACATGATCCAAATTATTAAGATTATCAAATTGTTGAAAAACATGTTAGACATCGACAAATTTATAAAGATATTGTAAAATCTTCTAAACCTAGAAATGAATATTAATTAAGATGCAATGCTAGTGTTGCAATAGGTTTAGCACCTGAACTATTTCACAAAGAAAAAGCTATGTTTCATTTAGCAACAGTTGAAGCGTACTTATTAAGAGAAAATTCAATTGGTATAAAGACTCTTGATCCTGCTGCTTCAGAATATATTCATTTTTATGATAATAGTGATTAATCACACATTTTCAATGTATCTCATGGTTTCTCCTATCATAATGGGCCAGAATGGGTATGGGTCTATGGATATTTTATTAAGGCATTAGTTGCTATCCATGGCAAAGAGAATATTAATAGATAATTATTTTATTCTTATTTATCAAACCACAAAACTACTTTGCATTAAAATGAATGGTAAATCTATTTAATATTTGTTTAGGTATTCCTTACCAGAAATGACAAATGGAAATGGTGAATACAATGTTTTTTCATGTAGAGCTCAAGCTTGGTCAATCGCATGCATTTTAGAAGCCGTAAGTGAATATGAATGAATGTAAAATATTGCCAATATTATAAAATCATTATGTTTTCTATAAATTAACCAATTTAGCACATTCCAGAAAAATTATATTTATTGCATAAAAACTATTAATTGTAACAATTAAATACCTAAGAAATTTCCTCAAACTAGTTCTTCCCATTTAATAATATTTTGTTTACAAATTTTCTATATTACAATTCTTCATTAATCTTGGAAATAACTTCTGTAGAAGATTTAAAGAATTACAATTCTATAAATATATATTTCAAAAGAATTATAATAATATACTAAAATCACTTAACTCAACTCATGAACTTTGTTATCAGTAAGTTCCAAAATCTTGAACAGATATTCCACTCTGTCCAAAATGTTAAAATGTTTGAGATTATCTACTCTTCAATAAACGAGTTAATGAAGAATTCATTGGTAAATTGCTACCACTCCAAAATTGTTCTAATTTCTTATTACTTTCGAGTCTTTTCGAATTCCAATATTATTATTCCTTTTAACCTGGATCTGTTTTAGTCTAAATTCCCATCCCATGTAAATACTTCACAATCCTTATTTCTACCTCACTAATCTTCGAGTCCATATATAAATCAATTGAATCATTCAATTCATCTTTTGGACATTCACTCTCTTATGTACTCTAAATATTCAGCAAGTTTAAAAATGTGTTAACATTATCCATATTTTTATTATTGAATTTTTAATTCTTTACAATTAGCTATATATGATAAATTATTTTTAAACTACATTTTCTTGGTTATTCAGATACACAAAATTACTTTTCTTCCAGTTATGTAAATCAACAACTTTTTATGACAGTTTTTTGTTTTAAATTTGCGAGTACAGACATAAGTTCAGTTACTATAAGAGAACAGTAGCCCGCTGAACTTAAGTAATAACTGTTTTTCTGATTGTTTTATCTCATTAAAAATGATTCTTTGTAGATATTTATGAAATTTTAGAAATTATTTCTGTTAATATAACATCCACATTACTCAAATTTATTATATATTTTTAGATTTAATAAAATAAATATTCATAATATATATGAGATAATATGTAATAATAATAAATTATTACCTAAAGCTAGTTTTTGATATATAAATATTTTGCGACCTTCTTAATATTCCCAAAAATTATCTACAAATGATATTCAATAATTATAAGATAATAAAATTTAGAATGATCTAAAAATTGAACTTATATAATAAATCAAAAAATGGTATTTTTAATAAATTGAATATATTTGATTATTGGCCTATTTATGAGAAAGCTGTTTAACAATTTTATTATCTTTCCATTTGATTAATTTATTGAGGGAATTAAAAATCTATAAAACAAAGGCGAATTTATTTTTGAAATATTTTCTGATAAACATAATTTTGCTTTCTCATTATAAACAATTGTTTAATTAACAATTTTTGGATTGAATAAGAATTTGATAGGATTTCCTTTATAAAAAAGAAGTAATTTGCAAATACCTTATTCTTTAAATCTGAGATTAATAAAAATAGTAAAAGTATTTAATTAAGATTATTAAATTTATATAAATTATTCTTCAAAATTGCAGATTTCGATTATTTTTTAACTTATTATCTAATTATGCAACTATTTTGAAAGTATTGTTTTAATTATTAATCTTCTTCTTATAAATATATTAAGAGTTGCCTTATTTGTTATACAAGACATCTATTTTAATTTTTATATAAGAATTACTAATTTTACATCTCTTATTAGAATTTATTAAATACTTTTTTTTTCATGTTTTTGATGTATTTTTCTTCTGCAACTATCAATTTTGTTTGTTATTATCATAGTTCTTCTTATAATTATGATAATTAATACATTTTTTTAAAGATAGTGATTATTCATTAATTTCATCTCCATGTTCTGATTCTAAAATTAATTCATATAACTTAAATTAACTTTTTTAGAATAACTTAAGATGTAAAGTTAGTTAACATTATAAATGTTTGCATAATTTTAAAGTAAATTAAAAACTTATTCAGATTGAACATTTTCTTACTATATTGGGTTATTAAAATTAATCTTATTTTCTTTCGATTTCTCAATCTACTTTTTTATTTCTCCAACAGTATAATTATTAAGGAATAAATGTATAAAGTTGAATTCATCATGTCTAATTTGTAAAGATGAAATTACTTAATGAACATATGAATTTAATATATCTACACTTAAGTAAGTCATTTAATCAAATTGTTAATTTATTTAATAAATGCTTTCCTTATGTATTATTAAGAAAATCAGCTTATTTGAACTTTTTAAGTTTTATATTAAAATAAATAATTAAAAATATCAGTAATTATATATAATTTAATGAAATTAATTAATAATCAAATTTATAAGTAGGGATGCAGCAGTAATTCTTAAATTGAAGCCCTTTGATTAGGATCTTTTTTCAAACATTTAAAGATAAAATCATTTAGATTAGGATCTTGATCATCTTTAAATTCTATGATTTCCCTACAAATTCTATCTTGCTATCTATTGCGATCAGAATCTCTAAAAGGAACAGTGTCATTACATAATTCAAATAATAAGATTCCAATAGCCCAAATATCAACTCTTTCATCATAACCATGATAATAATTGTTATTACTCTAAGAAAGAACAATTTCTGGAGGCATGTATTCAGGAGTACCACAATAAGTTTTTCTTCTACCTCTATAATTAGAAAAGCCAAAGTCTCCTATTTTGATTATATCATTTTAAGTTAAGTAAATGTTTTCTGGTTTAACATCTCTATGCATAATACCCATAGAATGAAGGTAATGTATTCCTTCTAATATTTGTTTTATTATTTTTTTAATTTCTTCTTTAGAGAATTATTTTTAGTATATATTTCCTTTTTCGCAATATTCAGTTATTAAATATACATAGTCATTATCTTGAAAATTTCCAAATACTTTAACTATGTTTTTATGTTATATTGATGATTAAATGTCAATTTCTCTTTACACTTATTAACCAATATTGTACTTTTAAATAAGCTTTTTGTCAATCATTTTTAAAGCATATAGTACACCTGCATTTCTAGATGCTTATAATATTAATTTTTACTTTACAAGCATAACTTTACTGAATTATCCCTTTCCAATCTAATGGCACAACTGAAAATTATATTTTTACTACTTTGGTCTTTGTTCGTAACTTGTATTTCTTCTACGCACATTTATTAAATCTTCTTAGGTTTTACAAATTATGAGGTTTTCATCGTATTTAGGAGTTATTAATAATTACGGAGGTAATCTTGATCTTGATTTATTAAGCATGAAATAAATAAAATTTAATTAATTATATTGAGTTTTCAATTATGTTCAGCATTTCATTTACAATTAATAATATTTTAAGATTATTAAAAAGTTCTGTATTACTTTTAGATAGAAGAAGTTCTCTCTTGAAATGGAATTATTACATTTTAACTTACTTGTAAGTGATAATGAAAAGTAAATGTTAAATTATCGAATAATGTAATAATTCTTGAAAATATTTAATTATTAAATTTTATATTCATACCTTAAATAAGAAAACAAAAAAAAATAACAAAATTGAACCCAAACGAAACTTTGTTATAAGTAGATAAATCAAAGAAAGAAACTATAATTAGAAAGAATTTGATAGAAGAAAAAAGAAAATAATATTTCAACAAATTTAACATAGAATAAAACGAGAAATTTTACATTCTATTGTTTGAGGAAATCAATTTATTAAAGATTTGATTATTATTTTCGATATTTGTATATTTCAATTTTATATGCAGCCTTGTAATTATTGAATAATATCATTAATATAATAAAGGAAATGCAAAAAATAATTGATAGAAAGACGCCTGAAATTGTTAGGACTTCCAAAAAGCGTTTTACAATATCAAAAGAAATTGCAAATAGAAAAGCAGGTATCTAGAACTTATATTAAGAAGATGGTAAAAATCGAATGCTGGGGAGCAAACATTCAGTTTCATCTATAAAAAGTAAAAAAAAAGTGAATGTTTCAATCAATAATGATTTATAGTAAAGCTCATCATCTTTTTTAAGTGATTCAGAATAAAATAGAAGATCATCAAATTAATCCATTATATTGAAAGATAATTTGGGAATTTTATAATAGGCTTAGTCTTCTTTTTATTAAGTTCAAGATAAACTTATTATACCGAATATGTCTTTTGAATAAGATTTTATTAATCCTTTAGATATGTCAGATGGAATCGATAGATCAATTTTAAAAATTCAATTTATGGATTTTGAACATTAATGGGGAATTAAATAGGATATTAACATTTAAAAGCAAAGTAATGGAGATTCATAGCTGATTTCATAAAATAGTGAGTTAATATCATAGAAATCTTTAAAGCGATCATAAGGAAGCCAAAAAAATGTATTTTAATCAAAGTTGTAAATTAATAATACAAAAAAAAATTAATAAAATCTTTCAGAAAGTGAAGATGATGATTACTCTGATAATTAATAAGAGGAAAGTAAAATTAAAAAGAAATTTGAAAAATTATATGAAAGAAATCCATTTGAAGATCCATATTATGTTAAATTAATTGATTTACATGGATTTGAAAGACTTAAATATGAGCTAAATGTAATTTTAACAAATTAATTAGGCATATAATGATGACAAATAGTTTTTAAAATTAAGAAAACGACTTGTATTTTATTCTTTATTTATTCCAATATTATGTAAGAAAATAGTTTAAAGTGTTTTTTTTAAGATTTGTATGTCATTTTTGATTCTATTTAATGTGACTTTATATATTTATTCATAAACAAAGTAAGATTCATTATCAACTAAAAATATGGAGAAAGGGATAATGATATGTTTTTTAATAGAATTGTGTTTAAGAATAATAGCATCAGGAATAATAATACCAAAAGGAGCATTTTTTAAAAACTTTTAAGACATAATGGATTGCATATTAGTAATTGTATATGTTTTAAATTTGACATATCCAGAAACATTTATAGTAGATGTATCACCATTAAGAGTGATAACATTATTATTATATTTGGGAGATATATTTTCTGGATTAGGAGTGATGTTAAAAGCATTAAAATAGTCATTCAGATTTTTACTAGAAGCATTAATGATTGTTGGTCTCTTTTCAGTATTTTTTGCAATTTGTGGAGTTTTTTTATTTTAAGGTTTGTTTAACTATAGATGTTAATATGATAATGGAGATGAAACAGATGGATGGATTTAATGTAATTAAAACTCTTGTTTTGAAGAAGGTATGTCATGTTAATATTCTTAATTCACTCCTAAACTTCCTACTTCATTTAATAATGTTATATATTCTTACGGTTAAGTTTTAAGAACTATAACAATGGATGATTGGAGTTGGGTTATGTTTTTTACTATGAGAATATATCATCCTTGGACTTGGCTTTATTATTTATTAATTATATTTGTTTGTGGATTTTTTGGATTTAATTTAGTTATTGCTGTTATTAAAATTCATTATGCAGAAGCCACGGAGGAGAACAATTAAGAAGAGGAAAGAAAAAAAATTGAATAAAAAATTAAAGAAAATAGAGAAATACCTGAAAGGGATATTGTTAATGTTTTTGATGTTGCATTTTTACGTTATAGAGATTTCTTTCCAGTAATTTAAAGATATAGATAATCTTTAAGAACTACTTATCGAAATATTCGATTAGAAGATATCAATAATGATAAAGTTTCAAATAATAAGACAAGAATTTTATCTGCAAAATAAAAAAAAAATGAAGAATAAACAGAAGATGTAAAATAATATTATTATAATAGATTAATTGGATTAGAAGAGTATGGATTTCTATTTAGAATTTTACTATTAAAAATATATTGTTACCTAAATTTTTGATTTTGTCAGAAAAATAGAAAAGAATTCATATTAAAAAATATACTGAAGATGAAATTGAATTATAGATTTTGGAAAGACTTAAATCTTATTAATTCTCTTAATTACAGTCTTGTGTTAATTAACAAATATAATAGACATTTGAAAGTGAAGCAGATGTTTTACCTACTTTAAAGTATTAGATATGCTCATTATTAGTTTACCAGATTGTGAGAAAAAAGAATTAGAAAAAGAAATTTTAAATATGAGATACCTAAAAATTCCTATTTTGTATCCAGATATTAAATAAAAAAAAATTTAATAGGTTTTCCAAGATCATAAACAAATTTGTAAATTTCCCGTTAGAAAAGTAAAAAGAATTATTCTAAATTTCACAGAGAATAATGAAAATGAAACAAACAATTCCATAGAGTAAAGAATGTCAAGTCAAAAATTAAGTATAAAACATTCTTCTAAATAAAAAACATCTTAAATTGATCAGCATGTTCCTTTTTTAATTAAAAGACAGAATCAATATTATGTTTATATATAAGGATATTATTTAAATTATGAAGGGGTTTCATTAAAAATAAATGCTAAAATATAAAGAAATAAAATTAATTAACCATCTAATGAATTTTAATATAGATTATTAAGAAAGAAAGACCTACAATAAGGTTTAATATCAAAGAAAACTTGGTCAGGAAATGATATCCTGAAATTAAATGAAAAAAGATTATATAATTTTAGAGATTCATTAAAAAGATTAAATGTAATAGATATATAAATTTGGATGTTGGGTATATATGGAAAGATTGATACAATAAAGAAATATTCATATTTACTCATTACAGCATAAATTTGTTAATTATTTTTTGATTGTGTAATATTGATAAATTTTACTTTTCTCTCTTTGTAAGGAATTGCTGATTCATTAACAATTGCAAATGTAGAGGATGTTTCAACAATATTTTTATGTACAGAATTAATATTGAGATTTTTTGCATTCTCTTGGAAAGATTTTACAAATAGTCCAGATTATGTATTATAATCATGTATAGTGATATTGAATTTTATAGAACTTACAATGAGTTCATTAATGACAGATTTAAATGAGCAGAATTTGCGTTTAATAAGAGGAACTAAATGTTTATTATTTTATAGAGTATTAAAATATAATAAAATGGCAGTAGCAATAGGACATATAGCATAGAGAACATTCAAATAATACATATATTTGACCTTTTTAATGTTTTTGGTAATATTCATATATGCAATGATTGGAATGGAAATGTATGCAGGCATTTTTGATTAAACAGATGCTCTTGGATAATTGCATTCATATGATAATATATTAAAAGCATTTATGACTATATTCAATATAATGACTAATGATGATTGGTATGGAGTATATGTGATGGGTGGAAATATAAACTATGTATTTGCTGTAATATATTCATATTCCATGGTGATTGTTTTGAATTATATAACATATGGATTAGTATTGGCAATTCTATTGGATGGATTTGGAGCTATAGATAAGGAAATGATGGAATAGGAAGATTCTATTGAAAAAGAAGAAGATAAAATTAATGAATAGTAAGAAGAGGAAATTTCATAAATTACTGAAGAATAAGAAATTTAAGAATTTTAATTAAATTTAAAACCGTTAATATCATAAGCACGTTTGAGTGATAATCAAATCAAGAAACCAAAATAAACACCAATCACTAATTTAATGAAATCAATAAGTATTTTTTAATTAATATATAATTAGAGTAAGTACATAAGGAGATTTTAAGTTAATATCCATAATTATATGAAGGTATTTAATGTTAATAATCCTTATATATATTCTCGAAAGAAAATTATGTAAGAATACTATGTTGTAAAGTAGTGATATCTAAATTTTTTAATTACTTTATGGATGTAGTTTTATATTTTTCAATAATTGTTTTTGCTTTGAAAACATATAATGATTATGAATAAGATTCTGAAAATTATCCAGAGAGTTTGTAATTCTTGGCAAATATTGTTTTTTTATTTGAAATAGTAATAGGTAGTATAGCAAAAGGAATGTGGATGAATAAAGGATCCTATATCACATATACATGGTAGATAATAGATGTAATCTACATCGTATCATTTTTCTTTGATTTTTTATAAAATGATATAGAGAAGCCAATAGTAAAATTTTTCTTATATTTTGGTTACTTTAGAGTGATGAAATTAATGTATAGATTATCTTGGCTAGATAAATTAAGATTAGCTTTAGGTAGATCATTGGCAGATATTTGGAATGTTTTAATAACAATGTTATCAGTATGGATAATATTTGGAGTTTATGGTATAATTTTATATGAATAATAATTTGGATATTGTGAAGATAAAGTTTAATTCAATGTAAATAAGAGAGAATGTTTAGAATAGAATAGAACTTGGGTCAATTATAAACATAACTTTGATAATATTACTATTGCAATTCCTACTCTTTTTGTTGTATCTACTTTTGATGGATGGGGTGAAATATTATAAATAGCAGAAAATAGTTAGAATTCAGATTTTGGACCTATTGCATTTAATAGTTATATACCTACATACTTCTTTTTTATTGTATTTTGTTTTATTGGATCAATGTTTTTTTTAAGTTTATTTACAGGGGTTTTATTTTCAAATTTAAAAGCTAATCAAAGTAAAATTGAAAGATCAGATGTTACTAAAGCATAGGTTGAATTTATGGAAATTTCATAAATTATTATAAGAGATTTTCCTATCTATTCATCACCTCCTACTTCAGTAATAAGGAAATTTGCTTCTGATTTTACAAACAATACTACGAATTAAAAAATAATGTTTTGTTTTCTTTTATTAGATTTAGTTGTTCTATTGTTATTTTTCTCTGAGATGGATGAAACCTATTTTAAAACTTTAAATAATACTCATAATACTTTAATGTATTTGTATATAATATGGAATGTATTTCTTTTTTTAGCTTTAGGAGTTAATCGTTACTTTGATAATCATTGGAGAAGATTTTATTTTTTTTTAATAACAATTGCAATAATTGATATAATTGCAGATTATTAATCAGATTGGGCTTTGTATTATTTTAATTCTTCTCCTGCAGATGAAGGATATTAATTTTTAAGAATTTTCTTTGCTCTTCGATGTTTGAGAATAATCTTAATATTTTAAGGATTAATAAATCTTTAAAGATTAATGAGAGTTATGGTATTTGCAATGCCTTTTTTAGGTAAGATATTTTGTATACTCATTATAACAATGTTCATTTTTGCCCTTTTTGGTTGTTAAATGTATGGACATTTGGAAAAAGGTTAAGTAATGGATGATTAAATAAATTTTAAAAATATAGCATAAGCTATGTTAGCATTATTTAAATGTGCATCAGGAGATGATTGGAGAACCATTATGACTGATACTATATTTTATAATCCTTATTGTGCAGAAGATGAATAATATTGTGGTAGCATATATAATCAAATCTATTTTTTCCTATTTATGTTGCTATCTAATTATGTACTCTTGAATTTATTTGTTTTGGGTTTAGTGGAGTAATTTGAACAATTCTTTATGTTATAAAATTCTATGATTTAAACCTATGTTGAAAATGTTGATAAAATTAAAACTATTTGGTGTAAATACTCATCTGAAACTCAGGGATAAGCTATGCATTATAAATTTCTATGTCGATTTCTATTAGATATTGGAAAACCTTTAGGTGGTGGAAATGATGAAAATCTATGGGATGTTGGCAAATTAGCATCTTCATTTAAAATATAATGGTATCTTTATTTTTAATATATTTAGTGACCATTATGGATATATACAATACAATTAATTAATGTATGAATTATTTCGTGTTTGTTACCATGAAGAAGTCTTTAAAATAGGACCTTTGTCTTCTATCAAAAAAATCAAATAATTCAATAAAGAAATGCAATTAAGATTAATGTATTATAGAAGAAATCGCTACTTATAAAGAAGCAATATCTCACCTATTTTACATCTTAAAGCTAACTTTAACATTTTACATGATTATTTAACTGTTCTCATTCTTTATAAGGCTTGGGAAGCTTACTCTAAAAAACTCATTAGAAAAGTATGTATCAATTAACAACATTTCACAGAAGCAGATCTTGATTAACAAGATTCTTCAGAAGATCAAAAACCTACTAATAATTAGTATATTTTTTATTCTATTATATTAGTCTAGATTAAGATTGTAATGAATTTCTCAATGAGGAAAGAGAATAACAAATTGTATCTAATGACAATCCTAAACAAGAAATTAAAAAACATTAAATCACTAATTCTTCGGAAGAAATTTAATCTGAAAATATTCCTACTTATAGATGGTAAAAAGATTTAGAAGTTGATTAAGTTTTTGAAAGTGCCATTTTATCCCCAAATCAATCCTATAGAAAAATGAAATTATGAATTAAGTTAAAATTACTTTTAATACTATTTTGTTCTATAAATCTTCTCATTTTATATATTAAAATTTATATCCATACAATTTTAATATATATATAAATTGTGTTTAATTTTACGTAATTTAAAATGAATTGCTTAGATAAAGAATTAGAATTGAATTAACCTGCTCCATAAAATTATTATGATCTTCAAGATTCTGACCAAGAAGATAAAAATCATTGCCTTCCTGAAAACAAGTTTTTTTGTCAATAAATTGCCAACCATAAGTTTGTAATAGGAATATCTAAACCAGGGCAATAGAGAATCGGTTTATAAACTATATCAAAGAATAAAATCACTGTTAAAGGAATACTTGGAATTAATGAATAATTATGATTATTTTTTTCTCATAAATCCTAAATTATCATACACTTATTATTTAGTCCTTCATTAATATGTTTTTACATAGTTATCTATTCACGAGATTAACACAGTAAAATATTCCTGATTTAAATTATTAAGACAATCAATTTAAACTGTTTTGCTAAAAAATGCTCTTGTTGTAGTATGGATTGTAACAATAGATTTAAAATGAGAAACAAAAAGAAAAAATAGTTGAGTTCATTATTTTTTAAACTGTCATTTTTATATATGATTTTATTAAATATCAATAATATAAATTTTATTAAGTAATGTTATCTTTTCAGAAAATTAATATTAATATCCCATATATTTAATATACATAATATAAAAATTACATCATCATTAAACAAGTTTAGCAAATTATAAAAATTGCATACGATCTTCATGAGTAATATTAGATTTAACTTTTGATAAGGCCATTTCAAAGTCTTAAAATTCAATAAATTCATTTTAAATATTTCTATTGAGAGCATTTAATCCTTAAAATAATGTTTTAAAAAAATACCAGCTTCTCTGCATATTTAACAAATTTCTGCCCCAGTATAACCCATAGTTTTATCTAGTAATAATTATAGTCCTTATTTTACATCATCATTAACTTTCATTTTTTTAAGATTAACTTCAAAGATAGCTTTTCTTCCTTCTCTATCTGGAACATCAACAAAGACTAGATGGTCAAATCTTCCTGGTCTAAGTAATGCTTTATCTATAGAAGCTGGTCTATTTGTAGCAGCAATAATTATAACATTCTTTAATGATTCAAAACCATCAATTTCTGTTAGCAATTATATTAAAACTCTATCTGATACATCTGTACTTCCTTATCTTTATGGTGCAATAGCATCAATTTCATCAAAAAATAAAACTGAAGGTGCACATATTCTAGCTTTTTTAAATATTTCTCTAACTGTTTTCTCACTATCACCTACATATTTACTAAAAATTTCAGGGCCTTTAACTGCTATAAAAGCTAAATTGCATTAAGTGCATAAAGCTCTTGCTAATAATGTTTTTGAACATCCAGGAGGACCATAAAGTAAAATACCTTTTGAAGGAGTAATTCCTAATTTCTTAAATTATTCAGGATATTTTAATGGCCATTCTACTACTTTTCGAATTTCTTATTTTATATCTTCATAACCACCAATATCATCCCATTCTACTTTTGGAACATCTGCTAACAAATCACGAATTCCACTTGGATTCAATCTTTATAAAGATTATCTTAATTTATTTTTATTATCTCCTTCTTTATCTTTTAATAAATAGAATTCTCTTATTAAACATCTAATATCATTTACTGTAAAACCACTCATTTAATAAGATATTTCTTTCAAAATCTCTTTATCAATTTCTATCTTTTATCTCATAAATTCATTTATCATTATTTCTACTCTTTTTTCATGATTCGGTTATTCAATTATTATTTCCTTCTCAAATCTTCCTGATCTTCTAAGATTATCAGGAATATCTTTTATACTTGTACTTGTTCCTATTATAAGTGATTTTTTGTTTTAAATATTATCAAATAATTTAAATAATGAAGGTTTAACATTTTACATATTCTCTTCACTCAAACTTGATAAATCATCTATCAATATTAAATTATTTCTTTATTATGATATTTCTAGTAATTATTATAATTCTTTATTGTTTGTATCTAAATGATTTATTGATATCAAAACTGGTTTATACTAAATAAACTAATCTCTAAGCATCTAAAGAATAGTGCTTTTCCCTGTCCCAGTTAGACCGCTAATTAAAATACCTTTAATCAAAGGTAAATTCATAACACTTATTTCATTTGATTAATCACCAATATTTTATTCCACAATTTATGAAATTTCATTAAAAAGATTATCATAGTACATAAATTAAGATTATGATTGTTCAAATTATTTTAGATGTTCTGAATTTTAGATTAACTAATTTTCTTATAGTTTAAATTAAGTATTTTAATCAACAACAATTAGTTCAGCAATAGGTGATACTTCTACAATATTGATTGTCCATTTTTTCCCGCATAATACATATGTTAAAGATTCATCTTTTTTGATTGTTTAACCAAGTGTAAGTTCCTTAAGATAATTCAATATCATTTCAATTTTAATCTACAAAATAATGTATATTCTTATACTGAATTATTATCTTTCAAAGCATGAATTTTATCAAAAATAACTAAAGATGCTGGAATTGCATTGCTTTAATTTTTATTTTCCAATTTATCTTTAGGGTTTGTTTTTTTCATTAATTAAAATTTGTGTATAGAAAATTATATAAAACTTAAAAAAAAATCAACCATCAAATACTTCTCCAACATCAATAGTTAAAGTATTTAACAAAAGATTAGTTTCGTCTTCTTGATTAGTTTTTAATTATTTTCTTAAACCATCAATAGCAGGTATACAATTTCCTTTTCTATCATATGCAGTTTCTTTAGCTTTTGTTAATCTTCCATTAACAAAAGGCACATTAAAAATTAGAAATGGAAAACTAAGCATTCCATAACAAATTTCAGTAAAATAAATCTATTTTAATTAAATAATGAAAATTACGAAATCTCCTGAATTATCAAAATTAGGTCGTATATTTTATGTTAAATAGACTAACCAAAATAGTCCAACACTAGCTCCTAAAGCAAATATATCCCAAAACATAAAATATTTTAAACGTCCTCCTCTTTCAAAACATCCTTCCTTTACTTAAGGAGTATCATCATATTAAAATACTGGTTTTCCCTTTTATTTGGAACATGTCAAAAAGAAAAATGCCAACCAAATAAGAATTACTTATGCTACTTATCCAATAACTTCTGAAAAAACTTCTATGCTTGCTCCTGGTCCTTTTCTTGTACAATCTTCTTTATAAGTATTATCAATATAATTCATTGTTGTACATGCATATAACATAAAATAACCAATTAATGCTTTCATAACACCTTAAGTTATAAAGAACATACTATTATAATATATTTTTATTATTTACGTTTTAAAACTTAAAATGAATTTCACTAATTAATATTCATCTCCTTTATCAATCATTATGAAATCCAAAACATAGAAATATTACGATATACCATAAAATGGAATTGCTGATACTAAATACCAAAACCAATATGAACTAATTTAATTATTTATATAAATACATTGTTTTATATTATCTCCAAACACTTCTATCAAATGGATAATTTGAATAGAGATACCAATTTCTTACCCAAACAAAAGGATAAAGAAACGCAATAGTTTATTTCTTTTCTTCTATTTCAGTATAAGGATCTGCTATTTACAACATTAATTGATATTTAACTTCATCTACTATTTCAGGCCATGTTGCATCAACAGTATCATCAATCTATTTATTTATATTTATTAAATACTAAATTCTTCACACATTAACACATATCGGGATCTTTCAATCCTTCTTTAACTGTTGGTCTAAATTTCTCAATTACTATGATTACTGATGATAACACCTTTGATCTTGCCCAAACATTTATTTAATGGGTATACTACTTTAACATCAGTTTTAATCTATCCCATTAATATATTTATTACTTATCATCCAATTAACTAAAACCTTATCTTACATCTGCTTTTGCATTATCTACAGATTGTATTAACTTTTAAAGTCCTTTACTTGCTGCCATTTATAACTCATCAGCCATACTTCATTATCCTAATATTATTACCTTACTAAGGGACGCTTTACAGATAATGGTTCTTTATCCTTATCTTCTAAAGGAATTACTTTACCATTAGTATTTTTATTTTAATCTCTATTTGTAAAGTTATTTGCAAAGTTCTTTATTGTGTCCATTTTAAGTTATATATTTAAGTAATTTATATATATACTCTTAACAAATTAAAATTAAAATCAAAATATTTAGTAATCTTTTATAATCAAAATAACCAATTATAATTCTGTTAAAAAAATGAAGAAAATTAAATTAGCCAAAATTTTTTAATTTAAAAATAAAAATCTTCATCAAGGCATAATCATTAATTAGAATCTGAAATTTGTGATGATTTGTATGACTTTAAAAATTCTAATTTAGAATTATCCTGCCCTAAATTACTATTATTCTTAGTGGAAAAATTAGATTTTTCATTAATTTCTGCTTAAGTAAGGCTATTATTTTTTTCAGAATTATTTATTAATTAATTAGTTTATTCATTAAGTTTGCCAACTACAAATTAAGGTTCATTTTTTTATAAAAGCTATTCATTAGAGATTTCAGAGTCAATATTAACTGATAAAGATGATTGTATATCCTTCAATAAACTATTATCCTTAATTGCATTTTCAAGTTAATTTTAACTTGACTAAAATTGATGAGGTAAAATTTGAATTTATTCCAATTATTATTATTAATATTATTATTTCATGAGTTAAGAAGTTTTGCTAATCATTCGACTATCTGAAAAGTTATCCTCACTATGATAATTATTTTTAGGTTATAATAAAAAATGATCATAGATTTCTATTAATTCTTTTAATTACTTGTAAAAACTGCCTTTCATTTCAAAATTATTTTCTAATTAATACATCATGACATTCAAATATTTTGCTCTTTTATATAAATTGATATTTATGCAATTTTCTCCATTTTTACTTGATTTAGAGATATCCTCAGAATTATTTTTAATTTTCTGAATTTAATATTGATAATTAAGTTGAGCTTTGATTTTTGCTGATTAATATAGGCGATATAATTCCTTAGATCTTTTATTCGAAGAGAAATTTTATATCATTTAACAATATTTTCTTTAATGAATANTATCCTAATATTATTACCTTACTAAGGGACGCTTTACAGATAATGGTTCTTTATCCTTATCTTCTAAAGGAATTACTTTACCATTAGTATTTTTATTTTAATCTCTATTTGTAAAGTTATTTGCAAAGTTCTTTATTGTGTCCATTTTAAGTTATATATTTAAGTAATTTATATATATACTCTTAACAAATTAAAATTAAAATCAAAATATTTAGTAATCTTTTATAATCAAAATAACCAATTATAATTCTGTTAAAAAAATGAAGAAAATTAAATTAGCCAAAATTTTTTAATTTAAAAATAAAAATCTTCATCAAGGCATAATCATTAATTAGAATCTGAAATTTGTGATGATTTGTATGACTTTAAAAATTCTAATTTAGAATTATCCTGCCCTAAATTACTATTATTCTTAGTGGAAAAATTAGATTTTTCATTAATTTCTGCTTAAGTAAGGCTATTATTTTTTTCAGAATTATTTATTAATTAATTAGTTTATTCATTAAGTTTGCCAACTACAAATTAAGGTTCATTTTTTTATAAAAGCTATTCATTAGAGATTTCAGAGTCAATATTAACTGATAAAGATGATTGTATATCCTTCAATAAACTATTATCCTTAATTGCATTTTCAAGTTAATTTTAACTTGACTAAAATTGATGAGGTAAAATTTGAATTTATTCCAATTATTATTATTAATATTATTATTTCATGAGTTAAGAAGTTTTGCTAATCATTCGACTATCTGAAAAGTTATCCTCACTATGATAATTATTTTTAGGTTATAATAAAAAATGATCATAGATTTCTATTAATTCTTTTAATTACTTGTAAAAACTGCCTTTCATTTCAAAATTATTTTCTAATTAATACATCATGACATTCAAATATTTTGCTCTTTTATATAAATTGATATTTATGCAATTTTCTCCATTTTTACTTGATTTAGAGATATCCTCAGAATTATTTTTAATTTTCTGAATTTAATATTGATAATTAAGTTGAGCTTTGATTTTTGCTGATTAATATAGGCGATATAATTCCTTAGATCTTTTATTCGAAGAGAAATTTTATATCATTTAACAATATTTTCTTTAATGAATAAATGCTACTTATGTTTATTTTAGAATTTCTTAACCTTCGTTTAATGTAACTATTATATGATTCTCAAAATGACATCTGGAATGAAAATTTCGTTTTTTACATTTTAAACATTCTTAATTATCTTGAAAAATTTAATTTAAATTGAAGGCCAAATTTTCATCTTTCTGCTAACGAAAACAATAACGAGTTTGACAATAACGAGTCTGACAATAACTACAATATATGAATGTATATCCTTTTTTAATTTTTTCTAATGACTGTTTTAATTCATATAATAAATAAGTATTCTTAGATTATATGATCTAAGCCTCTTTTTTTTTTAGTTTTTCCTTATTGTTCAATCTGTATAATTTTAATAATTCTAATACATCATATTCATATTTCAATTACTACTCAAAATATTTAAAAATTGTCTAATTATCATTGTAATCGGAAAAGTTCTCAAATTTTTCAATTATATCTTTAATTACATCTGTCATTAAATTATACGACTATTTATGTAATTATCCTTCATCTATTTCAATCTCATTTTAATTATAACTTCTTAATTGCTGTCTAATTCTAATAATAATTCCTATCCATAACTTTCATCTTTTTGAGGTTCTAAAAAATCCCCAGTTCCTTATTCGTAACATTTAATTAATCTTTGAAGATCTAAATTTATAGTATCATATTGATATTATCCTTAATCTTGCTACTAATAAATAAGTGGCTCATATAATGGCTTATTGTTAATAGAATACCAAAACTTTTATTCATAAGATATTTTTTAATTTTTTAATTTTTCTTTGAATTCTAATGGTGTAGATTCAGATTATTCATATATATTAATTTTAGGTTAGTTATCAGAACAATAAGTAAGCACTAAAAAGAATTTATTATTTTTTATTATAGTTTTAGGTACTAATTCAAAAAAACGTTGCAAACAATAAGATTCATCTTCAGTTAATCTATTAATAGATGAAGAATTTATATAAAATATTGCTGCAATTGTAGCATTAATTTTTATTTTATCACAGATATACTTTAAAATTTCAATATATATGTTAGTAACTCCAGTTTAATCTAAACCTAAAAAATCAAGTTTCAATTCTCCTATTCCTCGAAAGTCAACAAAAACATAGTTTTTTCCAGATATTTAAATATAATATTCATCATAATATTATTTAGTTTAGTTTTCTTTTTTTTTCACTCTATACATGCTATTATATTAAACATTAAAAATATAATTAATAAGATTAAATATAAAAGTAGTTTTTCCTCTTTTTGTTGGACCAAGAATTATAATATAGTTTTTTTTATCATTAATCTAAAAAGGTATATTTTAAAATTCCAATTTTAAAATATTAGTTTCTTCATCATATTTTAATTAATTTATTTCTTCATCACTTGGTCTTATTTAATTCTCTCTTCTTGTCAAAATCAATGCTTCTTTTATAGAAAATCCTTGTTTTTCAACAAAATATTTTGGTTCTATTTAAGGTAATAATTCTATATAAAATCCCAATTTATGTAATTCATCTAAATATTCATCTAATTATTTTCTTCTTTTTTCATTGTTTTAAGAGTTTATTTTTCTTAAAATTATCTCCTTATATTTCCCTGTTATTAAAGTGTAACTATTGTATATGATGGATTTATTACTTCATGATGTTCTGGTTCTTCATTTTTTATTGTAATTATTCCATAAAATACTATTTAAGATATTATTTATAAATATTGATTTTTATAATGAGATTAGAAGATAGATGATAAAAAAATTTATTTATTCATATAAACTAAGACAACAAAAAAAAATGAGAAAATTGAAATAAATGATAATGTCTTATATTTTTTGAAATTTATATTTAACAATATAGATAATTATAGTGAAATCTTGAGTGAAATACTTAAAGTCATTTAGAATTGCTAATCTGATGATTCATTTTATTAGATAAGAAATTTTAATATTAAAAATTGAATAATAAATTTAATATTGTCATTGAATGCTTTAAATTTATTTTTATTATGAAGAATGCACTGTGCTATCAATCAATATATTTTTTTAATAAAATATAGTCTATAAAAATCACTATAAACCACAGAATTCTAACAAAAAACTATAGACAACTGAAATGAAATCATCAACTTAAATGATTTTGCTACAATCATAATTATTGATATATATAAATTGAATAAAAAAAATAGAACAATCAAAGTTAACAAGTATACTTTAGTTTAGCTAAATGATCACATAAATAAGGCTGTTGAAGTTTCTAAATCAAACTTACGGATTAAGCTTATTTTATATGAATAGTACCAAAAATTACCAAGGAAGACTTATATTGATTAAAATATAAATAGAATTTAATAATATTTGTAATGATCATTTTTGTTCTTATTCAATTCTAAAAGATAAGAAATTTTATGATGCTATTTTGAGAAAACATAGTATTTAGTTAAAATAAATGTTTTTGAAATCATGTGAAATAATTAAAAATATAAAATATATATTTAATGCAATCACCTTAATTCTAGAAATCAAACGAAAACTCAATTAAAAGTGAATAATTTACTCAAGGTTGGCTTCCAATTACAAATGATGTTGAATAATCAATTGTGTCTTATTTAGATTAACTAGGGATTAATTAATTGACCTAAGTTGAAAAGCATTCTAATTAAAGAAACTCATTGTATTCCTTAGATATAGCTATAACACCAAAATCTTAAAGAAGAATTTCTTTAACAATGGATTCAGAGTTATTTTCGAGGAGAAGTTTTAGAATGTGTTCTGACTAGATATGAACATAAAAAAAAGAAAATTCAGAGACTAATTAGATTTTAATATTATTTATTATAATTTTTCTCTGCATGTTCATATTTCCCCTTTTTACTACATTTCTCCAATATTTTGATCTGTATGCAGAGACAAGTTTATTGATTATTATATCAATAATAATCCAAAACTCTTATATTTAGACCTAATCAATGAAGATTATAGAAACCTATAATTTAAGTTGCTTAGTTCAAAGTTAAGATTTCAATTATTGAAAATTTATTTTTTCAGCAATTTTGTATATTTTAAAGATTTGTTCCGCTTGCTTTTAAAATCTTCTTATCATTGTTTTTCCACTTCTAAATTATGTTATAATATTTGGAGGAAATTGTATACTCAAAATATTAATTGATTTTTTTGGAAAATTATAGGAAGGAAAATTCACTTATTATCAGCTTCATTTTTAAAGAAATCATATTATAAAATTATATTATCGTTCAAAAAATCACTAGATTAAATATAAGTAATTATCAATGGATGTTGAGTAAATAATATAAATAATATTTATTTATCAAGTAGTTTAAGATAGATATTATTTAAGCAAAAATATTTAGTTTATATTAAATTTTTGCAAATCTAAATTATTTATTTATATTTTGTTTTACTACGAATTATTCACAGTTTAAGGTTCTGAACAATTTAAGATAGCAGGAAATATAAAATTTATTGATATATATAAAATATATTAGGTATTTTGATTATTATTAATTTGTATATTTTTAACAAAATGAAAATAGAAGATGCTTTTGCTTTTCATTTACATTGAATTTATTCTAAATTCTCAAAATTAGAACTTCTATTTTAATCATCAATAAAGAAAGTGATTTTTCCTGATTCTTTCTTCCAAAATTATGTATATTTTGACTTCTTGCTTGATTTATTAGTACTATCTAATTTATCTAATTCGATAATTGATTAAATAATTAATTTATCAACTTTTTCCTTTTATTCTTCAAGTTCTTAAGAGGATTGTAAAATTAAAAAAAAACCTTATGCGCAACCTATTGTTTTCTTTTCAAAAATAATATGCTATTCTTAGGCTTTTGTTTAAATTTTTTCTTATATTATATCAAGTATTTTTTGTTTATTTTAAGTTAATTTAGAAAATTAATAATAATTTATTAGTAAATGCCATTTATCTTTAGCTTTGATTTAATAAATGATTTCTTTATTTTTTACACTATAAATTAATATTTAATCCTGTTTCTATTTTTATTTAAAATTCAAAGCCTTATGAAGTAGTTAATCTAATTCATTTGCTTATTCTTTTTAAATGTTACCTGTAAGTTTCATTTTATAATTTTATCCTAAAGCACCAAACTAAGGTTTTTTATAATTAGCTATAAGGATTGATTCAATTTTTAGATTTATTAGTTTTAAATGTTCTGGAAGCATATTAAATTTATATTGTAATTAACTTTTTAACTCTTCATTTGGTTTCTCTTTAATTATTTCCATTATACCTTTGAATATGTTTGTATAATGATCTGACCAACCATTAAATTAGATTTTAAAATATTGATTTTAATTTACATCAATTCCATATCCTACATTGATTGCATCTTAATATTCCATAATTATTCTTTCATATAAATATTCTGCATAAATCAATTACCCATATGTGAATATAGTGATATCAGCATTAATTTTTGGTAATTTTTTAGAAACATCTACAACAACTTCAACCTAATCGTTAATTTTGAATGGTTAAATTTATTCAACTAAATCTAAATTTTAAGGTATATAAGAATTAATTTAAGGAAAATCAAACTTGATATCATCTTCAGTTTTTTCAATAAATTACTTAGTTTAATCAGTCATTTCTTTTAAAGAATAAGAAATTCCATTCTAATTGATATCTAATTCATCTTAAGTTAAAAAGAGCAAGTCTTATGTTGCAGAACCCTTTTAAATTTACAGAAAACTATATTCAGTATGATATTAAGAATCACTTACAATAATAATTAAATTTTTTGTAGATTATAAATTATCTAATGTTTTCTTTAATGATTCAGGTACTATTTATACTTAAAACTTATAATGAAGCACTTCTTCAGTAAAATCTAATTTTAAATTTTTTGCAATTTCTAAATAATTTTATTCCCTGTTATCGTAATCAAATTTCAAATTATTAATTTATTACAATTAATCAATCATTTATTTACAATAATCAGATAATTGATTATCTTAAGTGAGTAGTTGTTCTTCTAAAGAGTTTGCAAAGTTTGTAATAATTTTACTTAGTCTATAGGCTAATTCTCTTTAATCATAATCCATTTGATCTTAAAAAGGCAGATCTATTGAAATTTGGTATAATTGTCTATTATCTTAATCTAAAATTACACTAGATTTAGCATCTAGACCTAATTTATTAGTAATGATATAATTTTATAGTGATGTCTGTATAAAATAATCAATAAAATTTAACTCTTAGCTATTATCAAATTCATAGATTATTTTTATAGAATTTAAATCCTTTTAATTATTCCATTTAATGACACTTCCAGGATTCTCAATAATGTTAATGTTTTCCTTCTCTTCTATATCTTTATCTCTTAGTAGAACAATATCACTTTGTATAATGCTGTCCATCAATTCATCTGAATTAAATTTGCCTTTGAAAATCAACACAATTTGATTTGGAGACAATTGAAATGTAGATGGTTTTGAATATTTAGAGGAAAGTGGATGATTAGAATTAGAAATTTAAGAGAGTAATTCTTCCCAAGGAGTTTTCTAGTAATTTATTTATTTTAATTATGGAGTTTCTGATGAAAAAGCTTTGCTTAATTCTGTGAATGAATTTAAAATATCATTAGATTTAGTTTAAATAAAATATTAGGTTTGTTATTCTTTGACAGTAATTTAACATTAATCACATTTAACAAAGTATTTAGTTTACCAATATCCTTAAAAATCATTTAAATAAATTTCTGCATTTTCATCATCATTTTAGATCAATAGAATTTTCATTTTATTGGGTAATTCAATATAATTATATTTTGAATCATCAATTTTAGGTATAATTATACTTGATCCTGATTAGAGAAGTGAATATTATTCAAGTTATTAATCCTCATTAAGTATTTCAACTTAATCTTGAACTTCTTATGATTCTCCAAAATCAATTGTAGCACTTTAATATGTTTAAACTTCACTATTTGGATTTTCAAATTAAGTTTCTTCTTTTTAATTGATTTAATCTTATGTTGAAACATCATGATCAATAAATTCTTCAGTTTAATCTTCTTGATTATCTTAATTAGTATTAGAATCATCCCATAATAAATTATCTAAATGAGATGAATAATCCATAGTATCAGATTGTGATTACTCTTAATTTTGTTTAGATAGATCATTAGTATAATTAAGTTATTTTGTGGTTGATTTAAATGAAAGATGCATGATTTCATAACCAGTTATATCTATTACAATATATGACATAAGTCCAAGAATAATTAATGCTAAAATTGCAATCAAATAATTGAAGTAAGCTGATTTAGTGTATCTGACTTTACGTATTTATTTGATAGGTTTGGCAGGTGTTATATTTGGAATAAGACCTTACTATTCTTCAAGATCCATAAAAAATAAGGGATAAAACGAATAAAACTTTAATTTATATTCATAATAATTAATTAATGCTATTTTCTGAATTATCTCCATTTGCTTCATCATTTTCTTCTATAATAGTATCAGAAATAGGTGATAAGGTAATTTAAATATATATCATAGACGTTCTTTATTACAGCAATTTTGGGAATGACTTATTCTATGAGTTTGGTATTTTTAGGTTCTTACACAGCAATGGTTTTAATGACTTTGTTATCATGTTTCTTTGGATTTCTATTACCTTAAATTTTGAATCCAACATATACACATGCTTTAGCTTGTATAATGTTTTTTTACTTTGGATAAAAATTGTTGAGAGAATTTATGAGTTAAGATCACAATGAAAATGATGATGAAGAATAGGAAGCAGTTTTAGAAGTGAATAAGGTCAAATCTAAACTTAGTAAATAATCAGATTCTAAAAATGTGTCAAATTTAGAAGTTCTAAGAGCAGCAATAGCATTAACTTTCTTAGCAGAATGGGGAGATCGAAGTTAGATTACAACAATTGCATTGGCTACTGAAGAGACATTTGTAGTACTTGTAGGTGCACTACTTGGCCATTTTATATGTACAAGTACAGCAGTACTTGGAGGAAAAATGATCTCATCAAAAATTTCAGAAAAATATGTATTATTTTTATAAGATTTATTTATTTAGATCCATCTTTGTGGAGGAATTCTATTTGTCTTATTCGGGTTGCATAACATAAAAATGCTTTTATGATATATAATTACATTTTTATGAATCTTATAAAAATTATTTTTAAATTCCGTTTTTAACATTTCTTTGATCATTTCTATCAATTACAAAAATAAATTAGAATGACAATTTCATTTTGATTATAGGTTTCAAAGAAATTCAAATTTAAGTATAATTGAGAATAGTTGTGAATAATATCTAAGATTTCTATTTATACAATAATAATATGTATTTATTTTATGTTGCATTTATGCTTATTAAAAATATCATTGCTTATAATATTGTTTTAATATCTTTTCTTTAACTATTTCAATTAAAAATACTCTGATAATTTATCAGTTACTAAACAAACTATTTTTAGATTTCATATAGTTTCTTTATTGAAATAATTTAGAATGAATTCTATATAAAATATAAAGAGTTGGCAACTGTTTTTATATCTTTAGCATTAGATAAAGTGGATCAAATATTCATATTTATACCAAATAATTTAGAGTGAACATTTATTTAATTTATTGCTGCTATAAATAATTTAATTTTAGTGAATAATATAAATCCAGTATATTAAACTAATGAATTAGAATATATTGTGAATAAAATTGGATTTAAAATTTTATTGGATTAATTTGGCGATTTAATATCACTAAGGATTCTAGCATTTAGAAGTATATGTTGATTGGTAATAACTTTTATCAAAATAAAAAAAGTCAATTTCAAATGCAATCTAAATAATTTCATTTAAAAATCTTCAATAAAGAAATATTGAAATCTCTGATATAATTAAAATTTTACAGATAAAAAAGATCATTATTTAAAATTTGGAATACAGAAAAAAAATAATTAATTGATATTTTCTTTCAAAAACATTAACTTTAGGAACTGGTTTAATAACTGGATCTTTAGCATCTGAAGCATTAATTAAATGTTTTAGAGATCTATTTAAGATTGTTATGGATAGACAGAAACAAATCCAGTTATATCTTAGACAAAACCATCAGATTCTTTTTAAAATAAAAATGAGTAAATAATGATAGCAAATAAGTATGGAAGTGAAAATATAAAGAAGAAGTTGTTGCAATAATTAAAATGAAAAAGATGCTGAAATACTTTTTTTGATTAAATGTCTACTGTTTTTGTCATAAAAAGATTGTACATTACAAATGTTTCAAAGTATCTAAAATTTGTAAATGATTTTCTTGATAATGTAAATGGATAATTAAAAAATTCAAAATGAAATAAATGAAGAACTTGAGAATCCAAAACTTAAAGAATTATATCATGTTAAATGTCATTATAAATTATTATATTACATAAATTATGGGAAACAATATTCCTAAAGATGCTACTTTTGAATATCAAATAATTAATAAGTCTGGCACCATTACTATTACATATGAAGATTTAAAAGGAAACTTCACATTTCCAAAAATGCCAAATAAAAAAACTGTAGTCTTAGAAGAATTTCGTAAATTTCTGGATGAAATCATATTGCTTCCAACAGATAAACATATTATAGAATAATTACCTTTAAAAATAAAGTGGAGATTAATCCATAGACATAATATTGAAAAAGAGAAACTAGGTGATTTGATTCCGCATTTAGAGGAATCTGAAAAATCTGAAATTCAACATTTAGTTGATGAATGTATAAGTAAGCCATCAACAGTTGCACTTTAAAATTTGTAGAGAAGATTAGAAGATCCAGAAGAAGATGAATGGAATTAATTTTATATATATCGAGGGTATTTATATTATAAATAAAAATAGATTATTTAAATTATTAGAAGTTTTAGAATAATGTGAAATAAATGCAAGATCAACTAAAAATTATAAATTATGTGTAGCTTTTCTAAGATTTATATATTTTATAAATCAATCAGAATTTGGAAGTGATGATTTAGCTTCAATACCTGGAGCATTTAGAATAATATTTGCTAATTTTCATCCTGTTCATATTGAAATGAGTTGTCTGGTCTTAGAAATCTTTGCTGGAGAAAATGGATTAATTTATAAGGATAATGTTGATGATATTTTAGAATCCTTTGCTTATTATCGTAAAGACCATTCACTAAAATATAGACTTGAAGTCTTTGTTAGAACTGTATATCAATCAGATAATATTATGATGGTAGTCAATATTTTAGGGTTCTTACGAAATATTTAACCTCACATAAAAAATGAATTAGAAACTTCTACCATTGCTCCTTATAATTTTGCATCTATCCTTAAACTTATAGAATAAAGAATTAATGAATATAGTATTGATGCTTGCACATATGAATCTATTTAAAATAAGTTAATTAAATACTAAGGTATTGAGCATTACTTTAAATAAAAATCACCGTTTGTCAAGAATCCTATTTTATTAAATGATTCTCATGAAGAATCATCAAAATCTGAAAATATTTAGATCACTCAATTACTTCAAGAAAATGAAGCTTAGTTTTATTTAGAAAAACATGATGAAGCTTCATTCCAATTATAATAATAGAGTAATTATATTATTTATTTTAGATCTTTTATAAATAATCAAAGAAATTCGTAATTTTGAGTATGATACTGATCGTAAACCTTCTAAAATTATTGAATTTTCAGATCAAAAGTTATTTGATATAGTTAAACAACAATCTTTATAATTAGATTCATATGGTAAATTCTTATCTATTTTAAATTTCATGACGAATATAAAAGTTCGAGATATGTGGGAACTAAGTGAATAATCTCTTTAAAGATTATTGATAGATGAGGAAGATGATGAAATTATTGAAATGCCAAAACATGATTAAATTTATGAAGATTATGAGAAATCACAATAATAAATAAGAGATTTAGAGAAATAAATAAAATCTATTATTTAAGGTTAAAAATAATGTTAAATGTAATTAACTTAAAAGGAATAAGATATAATAAAATTAAATGAAAAAATAACATAAACAAATTAATTATAATAAGAATATATAAATTAAAATGAAAAATTAAATAAAGAATTAGAAACATATAAATCTTAAACAATAATAAAAGATGCATAATTAATAGATTAATAAAAAGAAATAGAGAAACTTAAAAATGAAATAAAAAACCTTGAAAAATTGAAATAATCTATACCACCTTCAAATACATAAATACCAATACAATCTCTAAATACTCTCTCTACTGCTCCACCACCTCCAATACCTCCTCCTCCTCCTCCACCTCCATTTAAATCTGTTCCATTACCTCCACCTCCACCACCTCCTAAAATAGCACCTCCACCTCCACCACCACCACCTCCTTCAATTAAATAAGGTCCTCCACCTCCACCACCTCCTCCTAATGCTCCTCGTCCACCTGGAGGTCCCCCTCCTCCACCACCACCACCACCTATCAATAATTCTAATAATAAAACTAATGGTCCTCCACCACCTCCTCCTCCACCAGGAGCTCCAAAAACATCTGGAGGATAAGCACCTCCTCCACCTACTTTTGGAACACCTATTCAAACATAAAATTAAAATACAAAAATTAAATAAAATCCTAATGTACCTATGAAACCTGTCTAATGGGCTATCATTACACAAAAAACATAAATTAAAGATACCATTTTTGAAAATATTAAAGATTTAGATGTTAAATTAGATATTGAATTTTTAGAAAAAGAATTCTCAAAAAAATAATTAGTATAATAAACAGATACAAATTCTAAATAATAACCTCTTTAACCTTAAAAAATATCACTTATTGCGCCTGAAAGATAAAAAAATATGGAATTAGTATTAATGAAATTAAAATTACCTCCAAATCTTATTTATGAAGCCTTAATTAAATGTGATGAAAAAATCCTTACATTACCTACATTAGAAAGTTTAGATGTAATTACACCAACTGATGATGAAATAGGAACTGTCTAAACTTATGATGGAGATAAAGAATTATTAGGCAATCCTGAAAAATATATATTAAAGATTTCTCAATTGAAGGGATTCTCTATTAGAATCAAAGCACTTAAATTTTCATGTCAATATAATGAATATGTAAATGATTTAGATTCTCAAATTACATCACTTGATGTCTTTAATGATTTACTTAATATGGCTTGGGTTACATAATTAATTGAATACTCATTAGCAGTTGGAAATTATCTTAATGGTTAATCTGCCAAAGGAGGAGCTTGGGGTTTCAAACTAGATTAAATAGAAAAATTAACTGATGTTAAAGGATAAGATAATAAAACTAATATCCTTTAATATATTATTAAATAAATTAAATTTAATGAAGAAATAGATTTAGATAAATTTGATATTATTCCTAAATTACCTATAACTCAACTTAATAGCAATTTAACAGAAATTAAAAAAGGATTAAGTATTGTATCCAAGGCTATTGAATCCAAATCTAACGATGAAAATGATAAAATTGAAGACGCTTTGAAAAGTGTTCAAAATAAATTGTAAGTCATGATTAAAGATTTAGAAACTAAAATATAAAAATTAGACACTGATTATAAAAAAACAGCTAAATATTTATGTGAAAATCCAGTTGATCCAAGTGATAAATTTGGAGAAAAATTAATTAAATTTTTAAGATGCATAAAATAATAACGAGATAAAATTAGAGATGAAGAACTTAAACAATAGAAATTATTATAATAATAACAATAAAATACTAAAAAATAGCAAGAATAATAATAATAAAAAAATGATCTTATACCCACTTCTATGAAAAGTTCATAAACTAAAACTTAAACAAATAAAATGGTTATACGTTCCAGTATTTTATAAGTACAAAGACCAAGCATGATGGTAAATAATTTGAGAAAAAAAAGTTAATTCTAAAAATTGATTGGTTGAATTCCTAAATTTATTAAAATATATATATAAAGTTTGTTCATTTTTTCTTTTTCATTGAATGTTACTTCCTTTCCTTTTGAATTTTAAATAATTAATCTACTTTTTAAGTGTAAGATTTTATGAATTTTGATTCTTTTAAAAATTTAAGAATATCCTCCAATTTCAACAATCCTGGATAATCTATTGCCTTATAATCATCTAATTCAGCTGTTAGACTATTTTCAATATTTTCAAGCATATCATTTATATAATTATTTATTGAAGTCTAGTTCATACCTTACCTTAATTGATAATAAGGTGAACCTACTACTGATTCCTCTATACTCTTTTCCAAAAACTCTAATAGAGCAATAAATATTTCTAGATTTTCTAAATCTACATATTCACTTTTGAGTGCTATTAAGTCATCTGTTAAACTATTTAAACTTTCCTCCCAATTTTTTTTCTTCAAATCAAGTCTTGTATATTGTTCAAAGCAAAAAAATCCTTCTGTTTCAATATATGAATCAACATTATGATAAGTCAAGCCAGAATTTTAGTACATAATTAATAATATTATTTGAAAAAAGAAAGAGTTGTTATTTTAAAATAACTTAAAACTATACATGAAATTTAGTTTAATAAAAAATACATTGAAAGAATTGTCAACTCTATATTAATATGATAGAAGAAAAAATAATTTTGGTGTAAATAAAAAACTTATTTCACAAACGAACTATTTTTGAAGTATATAAATAAAATTAATTATAAAATAGTTTGAATTTTGATATAAATTTGAAACATTTGATAACTTTATTTTTTTGATAAAAAATATTGATTACCCTTAAAAATAATAAATTTGAGTAAGCTTTTGTTTAGAGGAGAGATTTATAATTTATCATTTTTTAGATTTGAGATCAACATTAACATTAAGAATTAAGAAGATGAGAATTTGATATTAGTTGTTATTGTTACAATGAAATTTTATGATTAGGAAGATAGATTTATTATAATTATTTGATAAAAATAAAAATAATTGATTTATACTTTTTTTTTATAAATATTAATATAAATAATAAAGGATGAAAAATAAAGTAAAATAAAGAATGGAAGATGAAGCATTGAAGAGAATAAGACAATCTGAATTGATAGTGAACTCTATAGTTTGGATGAATAAAAACCTATTTAAAAAATATTGCCAATCTTAGAATTATTATTATACAAGAGATGTCAATGAAATTCTTGGAGATGCTTCATCAAAGGCAGTAGTACGATTTAAAGATTGGGTTGGGTATGATGATGATGTAAGTGTGTAGTTTCATTTAAGGATGAATATTTGAAAAGGTACTATTATGGAGATGAGTATCCACAAAAAATCCAGTTGTTGTCTGAATACTATAAAGTAATTTGAACCATTTAACAGAGTTTCATACAGATATAGCACGAATCTTTATGGAACCAATAGCTACGTTATTGAATAAATACTTTGATAAGAAGCGCAAATATGAATATTATAGAATAGCTCATTTGATTGAAGAAGAGAATAAGAACAATCCCAATAGACCCCCAAAAGGTATAGTTGGAGAAAGACCATCTCCTGCAAATTCATAAGAAACTTAAAAAGAATAAGAATCTCCAGATACTATTAAAAGAATAAGGAATATATAAATTTTAAAAGATTTGAGTTGGTTAAATTAATCAACTTAAATTCATAAAAAGAAAAATGATATATCTTGTACATTACAAGAAATTTGTAAATAATTAGGAAATGTTGCTTTGGAATAATCATCTCTCTTAATTTCTTCTGGGAAAGGTGATGAAATTAAATTGGAATAATTTCTGGCTTATCTTAATTAATAAACATTGAAGACACAAAGAGATAAAATTTAATAAGTTTAAAAATAAACTATAAAAATAAATTAGCCTCATAATGAATAATTAATTTAAACTCTTATTCAAAAATAATATGATGAAACTAAACAAAGATTTGGATCTTAACATTCTAAATAAAATATAGATCTAGCCTAATAAATGAATAAAATTTAAAGAGACATCAATGTAAATTTAATAAAGAATTAAGTTGATACTTTTTTAAAAAATAAATAAAGTAATGATTATATGTAAAGTCATACAAAAGTAGATTAGAATGATAAATAAATACCAAATATTAAATCTAAAACAATAGTATAAGATTAACCTAAAATATCTAATCAATTATTTTTAACAAATCTTAGAAAAAACTTTTAGACAAATCCTTAAATTCCAAATCAACAAAATTAGAATCCAGTTTTATCTCCTACCTCAAACAATAATAAATAAAAAACATAAACAACTAATCAAATAACAATTGGTAATAATATTATTCTATAAAACTTTTAGGTAAATTAAATTTAAAATAAATTTCTAAATTATATATAGAAGAAGATCAAACAGAATAAGAATTGAAATGGAAAAACGGATCTTAAACTCATAGACCTATTTCTGGTACCAAAAAGTTCTTTTCAAATAGAAATAGCCCAACTGTATCAAGAGGTGCAGCATAATAGGAATAAAGAAATAATTAAATTAAATAAACATCAGGCTAAGTTTCAACTTACTCTTAAATATCCTAATAATAAAGTTAAAAAAATATAAAAGGTACTGGATCATCAACTAACAGAAAAGTAACATAACCCAATATTCATATTCGATATACATCGAATTAAGACAAGATTATAAATATTAATATTAATATTAATGATAATTTACAGAATTAAAAATGTATTTAATTTCATTTTATTTTAGTAAAATAAACTAAGCATAAAAAGAATCAATCAGAAGGAAAAGCAATCCATTTAAATTCTCCTTTAATAGAAAATCCATAAGATTTTGTTTGTCTAACAGATAGAGCAGGTTAAGGTGAATTTTTGTTTAAAAACAGTATAGCAGCTTCTTGTTAAAATTCACCAAAAACATAAAAATTAAAAAGAGTTGGAAGTGGGTTAAGTACTATAAAAAATTCAGGAAGTACAAAGAATTCCTTTATTTAATAAATGGTTACTTAGATATCTAAATAATAACAGAAATAAGATTTCTTTTCATCACAATTCAGAAAACCTAATTGAAAATTTACATTTTATAATAAAATTAATATGTAAAATAATTGCATCTCGAATTCCCTTTACTTTACCAAACACACTCATTTCAAATAAAATATTTATCGAGGATATTTTGTCTTTAAAAATGCCAATTTTAGCATTCTAGAAACAAGAAACAAAATGAGATATGATAGCAAACATTCTGAACCTGAAGATTAGGTCTTTGTTTCAAGTTCAGTCTAATAAATACCAAGTTAGAGAAGAATAACATCTGAAAATTCTAATATTGAAGATTAATAAATATAACAGATTGATAATAAAGGAGTAAATAAGCGATATTAAACTAATATCAAACTTATGCAAAAAGAATAATAAATCCTACCATAATTATCATCTACATAATAAGTAGTTAGAATGAAGTTGCAAAGTCGATAATTAAAGGCTAAACCTAATTTCAAGAAACAAAAGAGTTTAGAACATGCTGTTCAATTACGTTATTTAAATAAATAATATGAAGAATTACATAAAGGTATCATGATCAAATGTCTATTTTTAAATATTAATAATAGAGAAGAATATTTGGATAAAGTTATTATTTTGAATTTTGAAAGTACTTAATTTTAATTGATTAGATTTATTATTGCAATCTAAAAGAAGCTTTTGGGATCATAAAACTGATCTAAAAATATGCCATTCTTTTTCAATAGGTAGCGTTATAGAATAATGTGATAGTCCTTATTGTCCATGTACTCTAAGAAGTGATCTCAAAAATACTTTAAGAATGTATAATATCTTTTTATTTTTATATTATTCTTAGACTTTCGAAAGCTTATTTAATAGTACTCCTATTTACTAATTAGACCTTTGCTTTTGTTTGGTAAAGATATTTATAAGATAATGGTTACATTTATGATGCAATCTATTTATCTAAATAATTATCTCAATAAATTGAATGTGGAGGTATTAAGCTTAATAGATTATTAAGAGATTTTAACAAATTTAAAATTACTAAATTATTAATATTTGATTCCATCGATATTTCTAATACTTTTCCAAAAATACCTCCTGATCAATTTCAATATAAATTACCTATACATGGAACTGAAGTAGAAACAATATTATTCATTTTTTAATAAATTTAAAATCCAAAATAATTTGATTCCAAAGTCATTTTTGATATTTGCACTTCTCTCTATAATGATTCAAATGTTATCATTAGTAGAAAACCTATTACTATATTATCTATTGATCTAACTTGTGCATATAATTACTTTAATCAAAAAGAGGACTTTTTTTAAGATAAATTATAAATTTTATCTAAATTATCCACAATTTAAGAAGAATTCAATAAAAATATCATTTAATTTGATTCTACACTGCTCTAAGAACAAGAAGATTAAGTATACAAATGGGTTGATACTACACGTAATCGAGTTTTAGATTAAATTAAATCAAAGTTTTAAGAGAAAATACCATTATTACATTTTACAGTTGGAGATTTGATTGTTCGAAATCATAAATTTAAAAAGTTATATTTTAACTATCCTCAATCATAATTAATTCATAAAGAATCTTTATTGAATAAAAAAATTATTAAAATAGATACAGAAACTGCAGCATATCAAAACAAATAAAAAAATTAATTAACAATAAACTGCTTTCTATGTATAGAATGATATTTTTATTTTTTCTTCAAATACTTGTATTAAATATACTGATTTAGTTATCTCTACAAATTTTTTTATAAAATAATTGCTGATAAAAGATTATTTTAATATATATATAATAATAATTGTTTTTGTATTATTAATTTAATTATTGATGTATTTACCTACATTTTATAAACTTGGATATGAGGCTTGGACTGCAAAAAGTAAGAGATTCTTAGGAATATTTCCTGCAGTAGGATGTTGGGGTAAAATAAATAATTTATTCTTCTAGCTGTTTGGGCTCTCTATCCAAATTTGTATAATACAATCTATACTGATTTTATCCCACCTCCTAAAGGTTTTTAGTATTTTTTAATTTAGGTGTCTAAAGAAGAGTACAAGAATGAATATTATTAGTATGAATATCACATTAATTACATTAACTTCTTCTTATTTAAATGCTATTCTAATTATCATTAATAAATTATATGTTTACAATATTAAGAATAAATAAATTTATATTTAAAATATTTTATCAAACATTTGTTTTTTTATAATCTTTAGTAATTCTAAAAAAATAAGCTATTTCATTAGATAGTTTAATAAAAGGAAAATTAGGAATTTACTTATTTATATTGTAAAAAAAAATAAAAAGATTTTGCTACATAAAAATAAAATTCTATTTCAAATTATTTGTTATGATAAACGAGGAGATATCATTTTTAAATTTAATTGTCTTTATGATCTTTTTGATTTTAACTACCCTTAAAATTATCTTTTTCTCAAGGCCAATTTTTTAATCCTATAATTATTATAGGTTTCAATAACTTTGAAAACATTAAATTTTGGATAAAAATCATTATCTTCTTACATCATGAGATCAATTTCATCATAATTTTCAGGTCCTTTTTTAATTTAAAATAATTGTAATGTATCTTTATTGGTTTCAACTTCATTTGCACCAATATTATCAATTTTAGAAACAGCTTTAATATTTGAAATGGATGATTTTTTCTTATAAATTTATGGAAATAATTTAATATTAGAAAGTGAATTTTAATTGGCTGAATCTTCATGTTAATATTAACCAATAGAATTCATTTTTTATAAGATAGGTTTTAATACATTGTTATGTGTACTATCTTTCATATTATAGGTTGTTCTTAATCTTTCTAATTTATCAACTTTTTCACTTTATGATTGTAAAGAAGTTCGTTTATTTTTAGCCGAATCATTATTATATTGTTCAGATTGTGAATCACTGCAATTCGAAATAGAAGAAGAGCCTGAACTTATTTCATGTATCTCTCTATTACTAATTTTATGATTATTATTAATTCCAAATCGTTATAATCTTTTACTATAATAAAGTCTAAAAATATAAAAATAAAACTTACTCTTCTGAGATAAAATTATTTTTTAACATGAAATTTAGGATTAATTCAATAGTGGTAGAAGAATTCGAAATAGTTTTGTATCTTTTACGAGTCTTTCGTTCAAATGAAATTCTTTTGATATTCACAGATGCGGATGCTTGTCGAACTATTTTCCAAATATTTGGCTAATAGAATGTAAATGGACAACTAAAATTTAAATAAAATAAAACAATTCTATAATTACTTCTAATATAAATGCGTCCATTTGCAAATTTCACAAGTTCTTCCAAGAGTTTAAGAATAAGTAAGAGAATCATTTAGTTTTTAGAATTTATATAATTAATCCTTATCTTAGATTATAATTTCTAATAGATCTTATCTATTAATAAAAGCAACTTATGTAAGTTTAACGGCCTTATATTTAACAGAATAATCATTATTAGTAATAAATTCAAATTCACCAATAATATCTCCTTTTTTATAAGTACGAGAATATTTGCCTTAAGTTTCAAGATGCTATGTTTCTTATGGGATTCCTTACATATGATAATAACAATCCACTTAACCATTTAATATAAAGATTAGTTTTTTTTCGCTTTTATTTTTAATATCAATAATATCATCTCCAGTTCCAAAATTTTCTTATTATACTTTTTAACAAAGTTGATTGATTAAAGTTTCATTAAATGTATCCTTAATAAATTTACATTAAATAAGAACCTTTTAATAAAGGTCTATCATAATCTCTTATTTTAATTAATCATTTAGATTATTAAGTAATGTTTAATAAGAACGTTTTTATGATTGTTAAGTCTAATAATAGAATTCAAAATATTTTCTAACTTTTAAAGAGAGTTATAAATTTAATTCTTTCTCTTTAATATAAGAATTAACTTCTTTCATTAATTATTTGAATTAACCTTTTTTTTCTTCTAAATTTTTAAGAATTTCTCCAATAGTAGAAATCGAATATCCAAAAACTCCACAAATAATCATAGCAATAATAACAACAAATAATTATTCAATAGAAGTTTATGGAACAATATCACCATAACCAACAGTAAGTGTTGTTATCACACTCCAATATATACTTACAATATATCTAGTATGCCAAGGTTCATCATAATAACCATAATGAACTAACCATGAATTTGTATCTCCATAAACATCTACTTCAATTTTACCTAACAGATGCCAAGCACAACTACACATATGAGCTACAAAAATAATGAAATAAATTAATTTAGATAATTCTACAGCTGCCTATACAGATTCTTTAGCATTTAATAAATCCTCTACATTTTAAACCATTGATTTCACTCGTGTAATCCTTAACAATAAAACAAATTGTATATATGGAATATCCAATTATGATAATACATATGGTATAGATATCATTAAATCCCACCAGAAATTTTCAGAAACATAATGATGAAATATTTCTTTCCTAGTTGAATGAATTATTCCATGACTATAATATGCAGTATTAAAATTCAGAATTATTTCAGCTATGAAAATGTAACTTGGAATAGTTTCGAAAAAAAGCCATACTAACGTACTTGATTTATCTAATTCAAAACTCAAAGACATTGGTATAAAGAATATATTGATTACTATAAAACATACGACGATAGAATCCCATATAATTTTAAATGTACTCTCAGGATATATTACTCCTATTCTTTTAAATATGCATTCAAAAATTGATTTTATGATATTTAAAGCACCTTCCATCTTCTTTAGATTTCTACATATAATATTCTTAAATGAATGAATATATATTGTCTTTTCTGATTTGAATTCATTAAAATCACTTGCTTTATCATCTATATACTCAAATATATGATGATTCATCATTTTTAACTTTAAAGTTTCTGCTTTAGTCTTCAGTTGATATAAAAATCTAGCTACTAATCTTATAATCTTTAAACTTCCCTTCCTCCAAACTGGATTAAATCTATTCAATTTGTAACAACTTATACCCTGGCTCTTTTTAATCTAAATTCAGATTATCATATATATAAGTTTCCCGTTTATCACTAATTACATTTTGAATATTTATTGTTGGAGGCTTAAAGTTACTCTTTGACTTTCTCAAATTCAGACATGGTGGTCTATTTCTAATTAGTAAACTGTACTTTGCACTTTTGTCTTAATCATCTATCATTTAATCAATCTCTTCTATTGAACGGCTTCTTTAAAAATATTGCTTCATTTTAATATCCTAATCTCCACCAAATATTTATCTTTTAGTGTTTATCAATGAGAATGGCTCACTATCGTAATTAGTAGCTATTTACATATTAGTTATTAATTATTTAGACCAAATTAATTTATTACAAAATTTATAACCATATTAAAGGCTAATTATCTCCAGAACTTCTTATTTATATAACAAAATCAATTTCAAAACTATTATTACTTCATTTATTTAATATTAATTACTATCCATTTTTATTATTAATATTTCTATTTGATAATTTATTATTCATTTCAAATTTTCTCTTCATTCTTTAAATTAAGCCGATTTTATTTCTAAGTTTCCTATTTTTATCCATCTTTATTTTTAATCTTCAATTTTAATCCCATTTCATATATGTAACCTTGTATTATATTAATTATATTGATTATTCAAAGTATTTATTCCAAGTTACTATTATAATATCAATTAGAATATAGAAACTATTGATAATAGAAGAAAATCAATTCATTTTTATTGAATTGGAACTTAATAATTTTATTTTAGTTGTATCATGCATTTAAACTAAATTTTAGAGACTTTTATACCTTTTTTTATTAATTTTATAAAAAACTAATCATAATTTGAGAAAAAATACGTTGATATAATCAATTTCTAAAAGTCATATACCTATCCAATTCTTTTAATGATTTATAAATCTATTCAAATAAGTACAATATTTTGATACAATTTATAAAAATGACATCCTCTTTTTGTTTTCTATTTTTAAAGCTCATAAAAGAAAGGCCTACTCTTTTACTTTATTAACCGTTAAATTTTCTGTATTCTACCAGACTATAACTTAAAATAAACTCTTCATATGACTAATATATTTTGGATTAGTCAATTATAATTATGTGATGATTTCAGATAGAATTCTTAGAAATTTAATAATTGATTTTTTTGATACAATGAACTCAAATATTTAAGTTTATTTTTTAAACTATCAGATATTAGATTTTCCTAGATTAAAATTCTTATTTGGTTAAATTTAATTAGAGTTAGATTATTTCTTTAAAAACAAGCCATCTTAGATTTACATTTAATTAGAGCTTAGTGTAAATTTCAAGAAATAAAATAGGTTACAAATCATAAATTGAATATCATTCATAATTTATTATAATTTAAATATCTTTGATTGTGTTTAAAAGTAGAATTTTGTAATTTAGTCAAAGAATATAAATATTGTGCCTTTATAAGCAAAAAAAACACAATATTTTTAGACCCAATAATTTTCTTTATATAAAACAAAGTTTTAAACTTAAAAGAATAATAAAATGAAAATTTTTTTAATAATCAGTTCATCTATGAAGTATACAAGGAAGAATTATCTTCAAGATGCACAACAAAAATATTCTGAAACCATCTTAATAGTAAAATCTTATTTCAAAAAAAGTAATATCGCATAATTATAAAATTAAAGCAATACTGAAACTTAAACTGATACATAAATCTTAATTGACAAATAAGTTTATCTGTTTAATTATTAAAACCATAAATACTAAATAAATGATAAGTAGCCGAAAAGAAGATCTGATATTTGCAAATCATATATTTGGTCAATAGAGATTTATAAAAAAATTTCCAATTAACAAGTATTCAAATGAGTAAAGCAAATTATACAGTTTATATATTCATTTGATTAAAAAAGTGTTATAAGATTGAATAATGATTTAAATTGATTAAAGCTTTGCAAATAAATTTTAATAAGTAAAAATTATTTGAATTGATCTTTAATTGAATAAAAGATTATTTTAAAAAATTTTACAGAGTAAGAAATATATACAAATCATAGAAATAAAAAAATCTAAATATAATAAAGTATTTTTAAGTTTGTATAAATAAGTTTTTAGATTTATAGTAATTATATACTTGATTAAAATAATAGGTATATCTAATCTTTTTAAAAAAGCTAATAAAAATAAACAGAAATTTAAATTTATTCGAACTGCATTTCATAATTGATTATTAAAATAGTTTTCTGATAAAATTAGAAACTTCTTTACCTCATATATATATAAAATGTTTAAAAATGCCATCAATTAAAATAGGACTTTAAGTAATTAATCAATCTCGGATATCAAACTTATTCTAGGTTTGAAAATGTCAATGTAAATATACTAGAGTATATATCGATATTAATTACAAGATGAAAAACAATAATTAATTTTAAAATAATTTATCCAAAAAGAACTCAATCGAACTCATGTTTAAAAACAATAAATAATTTGGAGACAGCTGATAATTTGATAGAGAATTAGAACAATTGTTAGTAATGTAGTTGAAACTCAGCCAAATTTTTAGAGAGATATAACAAATATAATTAAAATAAGTGAGTATAAATAAAAAGAATAAGAAAACAATAATTGCCTCTAAGTTTATTTTGAGGACAAAGAATTTTTTGTGAATATAATGGATTAAGAATTTAAAGCTAAATAAAATCTATATGGAGAGACAGAATAAAAATTATTGATAGAATCTTAAGACTAAATGAAAATTAATGAGTAAGTAAAATTCATTTAAATCAACATTTTTATAGCAAATTTGTGAAATAATTAATAAAGAACAGTAATTAAATAAATAGGATTACAAATTTATTCTGATATAATTAATAAATAACAATAATCCACTTCTAGAAAGTTATCTGAGAATAAAAAAATGAAAAATAAACAAAAGAGTTAATTTATAATGAGTCTATACTAAGAAAAAGTAAAATATTAAGGTTAAAAATATAATAGATAATTTGGAATAATTTATTAAAATCTAACGAGTAAAAAATAAAAAAATAATTTATTTTTTTAATGATCATTTGGATCTAATTATGAAAGTAATTCTTGATTTATAGAGAAATGAGTTGGAAAATTTATAGTATCAAAAATAATTATAAGATACAAAAAATTTTTAAAATCTCGGGAAATAGATTTAAACTAATGGATTCAGTAAAATAACTGAATATCTGGAATAATAAATAAAAATTAAGTAAAAGTAAAAAGGGGGACAAAATGAATGTCCAAAAGATTTAAAACTTTTGAGAACACTTAAGAGATTCGAATGGTTATATATTAATCAGAGAGTTGTAAAAAGAATATAAAAATATAATTGGATTAGTGCAAAAATAGGATGAGTTTATAAAGTTGACTAAAAATAGAAATATTAGGATATAGTAAAAGAGCCAGAAATGCGTAATAAATCTAATTGAATTATTGAATTAAATTATAATCAAATAAATATCTGATCTTTATATAAATATGAACTATTCTCACTGGATAAAAAAAGCTATGAAAAAGAAATATAAATAAAAAAAGGAGTCGCCAACAAGTTCTACAATCACAAAGAAATAAATCTCAAAACAATCTATGATAAGTATAAGAGAATTGTACAAAGCTTAAAAATGGGAACAACTTATCAAGATAGCTAAATAAACAAAAGGTTTATTTGAGGAATACGATTGTATTAAGGTCTAAAAAAAGGTTATTAAGTTGGGAGAGAGTGTCTTGATTAATAGTGGAGATGCTCATGATGAAGATTATATTGGGACCATAAAATAAATTATATCAATAAAAGAACCAACAACACTTAAACTGATATGTTTATGTCGTGTTTAATGGTATATGAGGAAAAGTGAAGTGATAAAATCTCATCCAAAAAGCAATGAATGGGTTTCAGATTAAGAGTTGTTTTAAACAAAACATGAAGATTACATTTTGGCTTAGACTGTTATACACTCATGTCAGATTTTTACATGTAAAGAATTCATTGATCTTGATGAAATTGAATCCACTATTTATTTTAACAGATTAAGTTGGGATATGGAAAAAAAATAATTTTAAGGTTTAGAAAAACTTTAAAAATTCTGTTCGTGTCAACAACCGGTAAATCCTGATAGAAAATATGTCTAAGTATAATAAATACATCTAAAATAGTGTGATTCTTGTCATTAATGGTATCATCTTGAATGTGTCGGTTATTAAGAGAGAGAATTAGATGATTCTGATTTCTTTTGTAAAATTTGTTTATGAAACACACTTATTTAATTTATCGATATTTTTATTAATAAGAAAAAAAAACAATTTAAAATTGAATATGCAACCATTATTCAAACAAAGAAAACCAGCTAATCTCATCATCTAATCCTGTGATGAAGATAAATTAATCTAACAATAAGTAAACTATTTATCTATAATACAGATTCCAGAATTAGACACATTTGAAGAATTTTGTAGCAACATTCCAGATGTTGAAAATTAAGAACTTAATTTTACTAAAGAATCAAAATCTTTTAGTTCTTAACCTCTCAATTTACATGAGTCTTAAGAATTTTAAACTAATCAAAAATATACTGATTAAAAATAAGATGAAATTTAAGAATCACTTCCTATACAATATATTGAATTCGTTGAATTTAATCCATAGAGTATCAATTCTGCTTAATCTGAATCTAATTGTTAAAGAATTGATTCTTAATAAAGTCCTAAAGATATTATGTAAGAACCTCCAGCACCTCAAAATAAGAACTTAACTAAATTTAGCTTTCCTTAAAAAGGTGGTTGCTTCAGTAGTTGTATTAAATTCATTATTATTATTCTTTAGTAAAGAAATAACTTTGTGTTGATTAACCTATAATTATTCATAATGGTAATTAGAGTACTTTTGAAGAAACACTTGTTAAGTAAAATAATACATTAAATATTCCTAAAACTTTATAAGAAGATTTAACTAAATAAATTAAAGAATTAACAGATTAAAAAAATGCTATTGAATCCTCTTATTAAAATTAAATTTTACAACTCTAAAATCAAAATCAAAAATTTGAACAAGAAATAATTCAATAAAAATAAAAGAATTTAACATTAATATAAGAAAATATTTTATTGCAATAAAAAATTGAAATTTTTGAACAAAAAAAAAGTGCTGTTTTAAATAATATAACTGATTTTTCTAATGATTTAATACCTCCAAAATTGTCCATGAATGATAAATTGGTTTATTTGATCCAAAAATTGAATATGAAAGCCTAAGAAAATGCAAAACTTCAATATGAAATTTTAAAATTGCAAAATAACGTATGTATCTATGACATCTATTCAATTAATAGATTGAAATCTTAGAAACTTCAAAGTTTTTGTAAATCAATACAAATTTACTATTGGATACTCATAAATTATAGTAAAATCATTCTCCCTTGCTCTAACCACAATCTTAAAACAGAGGGCAATCTCTTAGTAAGGATAGCAGAACAAGTTTATTAAATTCATAAAAATATCCTCTCAATCTATCTCTTAATTATGTTTAATAGGGAGATCGAAGACAAGATATCTTTATTAATAAAAAGAATAGAATTATATCACCTCTAGCTCATTATAGTTCAGTAGGAGAATAATAATAACTTTAGTTAAATAATCTTTAAAAGAATAAATTATACAAAGAAGATGTTAATTATAATAATAAAATGCAGTAAAAATTCATTAAATTAATTAGTACTAAAAATAGTACTTCTGTTGGAGAATTAATATCATTTAAATAGGATTTAACCAATTGTTCAAATATTATCAATAAAGCTTTAAGAAAAGAATCTTATTCCACATAATCTCCAGATGCCAAAGTTACATAAAAATTCAAATAAACTTTAAATGCTAAAATAGGAACTTAATAAGAGAATTCAAAATCTTATGCTAGTCTCTTATTTTCTCTTGGAGAGAGACAAAAGGATGTTAGATAATTATCTCCAAAAGGAGGTAATAAGAAATCAAAATAGTAAATTATTCATAACTATTATAGATTATTTGGTTTTATCATGCAACCACACCCAAATTCAAGAAAATAATCAGAAATTTTAAAATCAGAGGAATCTCATAAATTGAGTTAAGAATAACTTAAAATATCAGATAAGTATTCATAGATTTTAAAATAGAAAAAATACATTATAAACTAGTATTGATATCTTTTAAATTATGAAGGAAATGAGAAATAAGAAAATTGGAAGTATTTATTTAATAATTAAAATAGTCTCCAGTAAATTAAGTTAAAAAAAAGGGTAGGCTACAACAAGTAGATAATTGATAACTGAAATAAAAAGTAGCAGAACCAATAAACCAAGCTTTGATTGATAATAAATATATTAATAAATTTTTAATTCAACATTAAAATACAAGAATGATTACAAAGTTCATTTAATTTTAAATTAAGGAGGTTTTTTAGTTATACTCCATTTAAGAAAATTACTATTCTAATTTTCCAGAAGCAAGGATTATTTAGATAAGTTTGGAGTTTATTTAGAACTAGAAATCTATTGAGAAACTGTTCTGATCCTTTCTTTTTGAGGAGTTTGAATAGATCTACTCCTCATTATTTAAATATTATTTATTTGTGAATTTAAATACGTATCCATGATTTATTTAGTATTCTGCAAGATTCTCTATCTTTAAGGTGTGAAATGTTAAGGTCGTTATAATCTGCCTTTTTGAAATGAAATCTTATCTTCTAACAAATCCTTTCTTTTTGGTTTATTATCAAAACTTAAACTATTTATTNTATCACCTCTAGCTCATTATAGTTCAGTAGGAGAATAATAATAACTTTAGTTAAATAATCTTTAAAAGAATAAATTATACAAAGAAGATGTTAATTATAATAATAAAATGCAGTAAAAATTCATTAAATTAATTAGTACTAAAAATAGTACTTCTGTTGGAGAATTAATATCATTTAAATAGGATTTAACCAATTGTTCAAATATTATCAATAAAGCTTTAAGAAAAGAATCTTATTCCACATAATCTCCAGATGCCAAAGTTACATAAAAATTCAAATAAACTTTAAATGCTAAAATAGGAACTTAATAAGAGAATTCAAAATCTTATGCTAGTCTCTTATTTTCTCTTGGAGAGAGACAAAAGGATGTTAGATAATTATCTCCAAAAGGAGGTAATAAGAAATCAAAATAGTAAATTATTCATAACTATTATAGATTATTTGGTTTTATCATGCAACCACACCCAAATTCAAGAAAATAATCAGAAATTTTAAAATCAGAGGAATCTCATAAATTGAGTTAAGAATAACTTAAAATATCAGATAAGTATTCATAGATTTTAAAATAGAAAAAATACATTATAAACTAGTATTGATATCTTTTAAATTATGAAGGAAATGAGAAATAAGAAAATTGGAAGTATTTATTTAATAATTAAAATAGTCTCCAGTAAATTAAGTTAAAAAAAAGGGTAGGCTACAACAAGTAGATAATTGATAACTGAAATAAAAAGTAGCAGAACCAATAAACCAAGCTTTGATTGATAATAAATATATTAATAAATTTTTAATTCAACATTAAAATACAAGAATGATTACAAAGTTCATTTAATTTTAAATTAAGGAGGTTTTTTAGTTATACTCCATTTAAGAAAATTACTATTCTAATTTTCCAGAAGCAAGGATTATTTAGATAAGTTTGGAGTTTATTTAGAACTAGAAATCTATTGAGAAACTGTTCTGATCCTTTCTTTTTGAGGAGTTTGAATAGATCTACTCCTCATTATTTAAATATTATTTATTTGTGAATTTAAATACGTATCCATGATTTATTTAGTATTCTGCAAGATTCTCTATCTTTAAGGTGTGAAATGTTAAGGTCGTTATAATCTGCCTTTTTGAAATGAAATCTTATCTTCTAACAAATCCTTTCTTTTTGGTTTATTATCAAAACTTAAACTATTTATTTTGGGTGTTTGTAACTTTTTTGCTGTAATCAAATTGTGCAAAATAAAATTTTCAAAATTTAGTTTTGAATTATCTGTTACTGAGATTGATCTATAGTATTTATCTTTATTTAAAAGTTATGAAGGCCCTTTTAAAATAGATTTCAACTCTTACTAATGTTATTTTTCTTCTTTTATTTAAATTGTTTCAATTTATTATATTAAGTTATTTGACCAAGTTACTTTTTTCTTTGTTCCGTTTTGAATTGATAGATTTGTAAGTGTATTTACAATCTCTGGTATTTAATTTAAAGAATTAAGATAAGTATTTTAAATAACCTAAATTTCTTGATTCTCAATATTATTATCCCAATTTCTGCTTATTTCTTTATCTTTAAAATATTGAGTCTCAAAGTTCATTAATTATTTTAGAAATGCTGCTCTGATTTCAAAGTTTTTTCTTCTTGAATTTAAGTATTAAAGTGTTTTAAACAAGCTCCAATTATATCTAATTAATTCAGTAAGAAACTTACTTGTACATTAAATATGCAGTCAATGCTGTTAAAGCTCTACTCTATCCGCGAAGTGAAAAAAACAATACACCTTCTCCATTATTTATTGCAGTTTCAATAAACCCATATATATTTTATATATTTTCAACAGTAACAATCTTCTAAATCTATAAAAGGATATATACTTATTCATCTATATCTCTCCAATTGAAACTGATAGAATTTCCACTTCCATTATATGTTAATTCACATGCTGCACAATTAATTATGTAATTAATTTTGTTTATTATTATAAAATCTCTTTCCTCATCAATATTAAATATATTTTATACTAAAGGAGCACGACTGTTTCCAACAAATAAGCCATCCATAATTTTAAACGCGTAGTAAACAACAACTTTCTACATGGAAAATTAAATTAATATAAATTACATCATGTACTCGTTTAATTTTGCAAATGATGTAAGGAATTAATTAAATTAAAATTAAATGCATCATTTAGGTTAAAATAAAAATAAGTTATGAAATTTTAAGTAAAATTTAAATATAAAAATAATTATTATAGTTATACAATTTATCAATCTTTTTCTTCTTCCTCTTCTTCTTCTTCTTCAATATCAAAGCATTCTTATTCAATTTTATTATCTCGAAATAAATTAAACATATTCTTTTTTTCTATCAATTCATCAAAAATAAGTTCGAATTTATTATTTTCAATAACATTATCAGGAATAAATAATTTTTTATTTTAAGGCCATTCATCAAAAAATGGTGGAGGGAAAATTGGATCAACAGCGATCCTAAATAGATTTTCAACCATAGTTGGTATTATTCTATTAAGAAGAGGACAAGATAATTCAAGACAAGGATTAGTATTGGCTTCAATTAACCATAATTTAAAATTCTCATCAATCATAAAATCTAATCCATATAACTAATTTGATAATTTCAAAATTAATACTTCAAAACTATTAATTCTTCTATGAGGATCAATTTTACCATAAGTAGCTTTCATCATATCTAAAGCTGCAGATCTCATTTTAGGATAAATATCAATGAAAAAATTTAATTTAGAATTTGGATAATTACAATCAACATATCTTTAAAATTCTATATAAGAAATCTTATTGCCTGGTTCATGTTTACCATAATCTTAATCTTTTGATTGAACAGCATCATTTGTTAAATGAACAAATCTATCTAAACATTTTGTAGTGAATTCTTTTGATGATGTTCGTATATAACCTTCTTAATACCAATAACCTTTAAAAATTCCATTTTAAGATGTGAGTAACATGTAACATCTAATATCAAACTTTCGTTTATTATACAAAAATGGATTATCAATATATTATTAAACTATATATGTTCTTTATCTGCCTTCTTAAAATTCTTCACTAATTATTTTATTAATTTCATTTAGATCATTACATACAGTAATTCCATTACCTCTATTAGTTAATTCTCCTGGTTTGATAATCCACAAATTAAGAGGTAATTTCTTTTTATCTTTTCTATCTCTATTTTTTTCAAGTTCACGAAGTTCTTCACTTCTTTTGTTATAATAATCTAAGAATTTTGAATATTCAATATCACTTAATCCTTTTTGAACATGAAATGTTACAGGTAGTAATTTATTATAGTCTTCTTTTATAATCTAAAAATAAAGTTTCATATTGTAAAATAATGCTTTTTTATTACCTAGATGCCAGTTATCCTCCATATGATTGTGCATTTTTTAATATCTACTATCAAGTCTTTAAATAGTACAATATTATTTAATTTCTTTTAGCAACTTTTCAGAACAATCACTAAAAATCAATTAACTATCAAAACATTTAGTTTCTTCCATATAATTTAATAATTTCTGTAGATCTTGAGAATTAAATATTCTTTTAATTGAATAATAATTAGGAGGTTTTTTTAATTGATGCTATGAAGAACTTTATTATTTTTGTATTCCTCCTGTAATACTTACTTATTTTGGTCTTATATCAATATCTGAATCAGTTGTATCTCCAATAGTTTCTTCATGACTTAGAATAAAAGATTCTGAACTTTAAGCTCCAAAATCTGTATGATAAGGATGTAATAATTCTATGTAAACATTTTATTTCAATTATGTCCATGACATATTAACTTTTGTTGTATCTAAAGATTCTACTTCTGACCACCACCATCTTTATCTAAAAATATTTTTGACTAAACCACCATTATTTCCAAGACCTACATAATAATAGTATGCAGGCACATCCAATTTATTTGGACAAGTAATACATTAATTATTTGAAAAATTGATTTTATTCAAAAAACAACGATAAGATGTATGACGTAAAGTCCATTTCTCTTTTTATTGATTTTACTATTCAATAATATTATTTTAATTTTATTTCTTTTTTTTTCTTGGAATAATTTTTTTATCAATATAAATTGGTTATTATTATTATTATTATTATTATTATATTTGTTATTATTGCTGTTATGACAAATGTAAAGCACTTTACAATTTCTTTTCTTTTATTGTTTTATATTATGGTGTATAAATGCTTAATTACTTTGTTAAATACTTTTGAACATTTTTTATTGGACTAATATTTTAAACCTCTTTTTAAGGAGTTCCAGATCTGCTAGTGCCTTATTCTTCTTTTTCTTCTTTTGATTTTTGCATTAATGGAGTTGATGTTGTTCTTCCCATCTTATGTACACTTTATTCATTTTCAGATATTGACTTTTATTCACTTTATATGAATACTCTATTCTTTCTGCTTAAAGCTTTCTACAATGTTGGACTTATTTTTTAATTTTAAATAATTACGTTTCAATCATGGAATTTTTTAAGGTTTCCACTTTTTCTTTTGATTAGTACTGTCTTTTCTTTAGTTTTAATTTATCTGCATACAATCTCAATGGTGGAAGAATTTTCTTATCTATTCTATTCATTATCACTTATTACTTTTTTCCAGTTCTTCAATTGTTTATAGAGCCTATTATGTCAGTAAATCTTCTCTTGTTATTTTATCATCATAACTCTACTTTATTAAAATACTTTATGAATTCTCATTAGTTTTTGTTGTTTATGCTTTTTATTAAGTTTAAAGCAATCCTCTATTAATAAAAGCAGTCAGAATTTCAGAATTTGTTCTATCTTTTATCGATTGAATTTTAGTTCTTTAAGAGATTGATAAATGTTCTAAACGTTGAACTAATGGTTTTAACGCTATGAATTATTTTTAATGATATGAATAAAAGTCCTTGCTATTATAGAATGTGTCTGCTATCTTTTATGAATATCTGGGTTGTATTATCATATTGTAACAAAAAAAACAATATATAACTTTAAAATAAATTTATATGATGTAAGGTGAGCAAAAGGGGTAGAATAATAGTTTACATCAAAAATCCATTTTAATACAAAATATCTCTCTAAAAAATATTATTAATTTATGGACAAGGCAAAAACAAACTATCTTTTAGAAGGAGAAGTCCTAGTCAAAGGCAAGACTTTTGGTCTTTGGCAACCAAAAAAATACATCATAGACCAAGAACTTAGAATATTTTCAATAAAAAGTTCAAAGTAAAATAAAAATTACCATCTTGCAAATTATTAAGTAAAAAATATTCTCATTCATTTATAGATAGCAAATATTGAAAGAAAAAATAATAGATTTCAATTTGAATTGATTTCAACAATCAATGAAAAGAATATATTGATGGGATCAGATAATGAGAAATTTGCTAATGAGCTTATGTAATTCTTAAAAAAAATGTGTGGATAATAAATCCGAGCTTAAAGTTTATTTGAACCTAATTTATCATCAAAATCAATTTGTAAAATTAATATAATTAATTTACAGCATCCCTTAGAGATTATGATTATGAAATTCCATAACATTTTGAAATGTAAGAAATTCGAGATGCGTATGTTTTATAAATATTAATTTAGCATTCAAAATATACGATCTAAATCTTACTAATTAGAGTAATATGAGTTAATCTAAAATCAGGTTGTGAAAGTTTATCGTAATAAAAATAATTAACTTAATTTCAAAGTATTTCTTACACTACCAGGAAATTGTATCAATCCTCCTTTATAAATTAGGTTTAATCAAATGCTAAACATAATTGTTTCAAACTTAGTTTGATTGGAATATTCATAATTTAAAAGAATATACTTAAATATAAGATTTTAAATCAGAGAAATCACAAATGATAACAGAAATAAGATTTATCAAAAATTGGTTTTAATTTAAAAGAGAATTCACATATTTAAGACATATTGTAGAATTTAAAAAAAAAGAAAATGTCAAAATTGTAATTGAAAAAAAAGCAGATCATAAAATACATTAAGGTACTGTTTCAGGAATATTAAAATTTGCTGTTTGGGGTCTAAGTTATGAAAATAACTAAACAAATATTGTATTATTTACTGAATAGAGTTATAATGGTTTATCTTTTATAGAAGAAGATTCAATTCTCTCATAACAATATTTTTTGCAATATGAAAATATTATAAAGCCTTCATAAATAGATTTTGATAAATAGCATGTTTAAGATTAAAATTTAAACATTAATCCTAATAATAGTCCTTAAAATGAATAATAAACCTAAAAGTATAAAGCTTAAAATAGAAAGGAGGGAAAATAGCAGTCCATAAAAGTTGAATAATCTACAATATAAAATTAAATAATTTAATAACCTATCATCATATCATCACCTTAACAAGGTCCAAATTAATTAAATCAATTTTAATCACCATTATAAATTCCTATGTCTTATAAAGATAAAAATATTTAAAATATTCCATAGATAGGAAATTTAAAAGAAGATGATTAATAAATTTAATAATAATCAGTTAATATGAAAAAATCAGATAAGATGACTGAGTTTAATTAAGGTCAAGGAAAAACGGATTAGAATAATCTTTCTTAAGGTTCTTTAGAATAATTAAAATTAAAAAAAACTTCTAGTTCTTAAGAATCTTCTTAAATTGTTGGAAATAATATATCATAAAATATCTTATTTTAATAACCAAAAATAGAGGATGATTAAGAAAATGATGAAATTTAACCTGAAAATGAAGGATCTGATGGTAATATGACATAATTTTATGATTGTGAAGACGATATAGATGCAATGAATGATAAATTATTTATTGGATCATCTGATCAATAAGCTAATGTAACTGATTAAAGTGTTATGGATGTTAGAAATTCAATAACATAAAGATAACTTTAGATAAAAAGCAATTAAATTTAAAGTTAAAGTGACACAATTTAAAATATAGAAAATTGGGTAGAAAAAAAGATGTAGGCTTATTTTAGTGGTAAATTTTGTCAAATAGCAATTGATATATAACATATATTGAATCCATTAGAATCAGATATAAATGTATATAATTAGTTATTAATTAAAAGAATAGGAAATATATGAGAGAATAAGAAGGAGGACACTATATATTTAGAAAAGACTTTTAAAGAGATGAAAAGAATGGTGGACTTAAGTGTATAAATGAAGTGAAAGTAAATGCATAAAAGAGTGTAGTTAAGTTTTTATTGGCTAGAATAGGTATAAATAATTAATAATATAATTATAGGAACTTCACTTCTAATGGGAAGATCTTTAACTACTATATCAATGCCAGTAACTATTTTTGAATCCAGATCTAATACTGAAAGAGCTTGTAATTCTTTAGCATTTGCTCCTGTATTTTTAGATGATGCTGCTATATCTAAAGATAAATTCTATAGAATTAAATAATGTGCAGCATTTTCATTTGGATTTATATTTTCATATTTATCTATGGAGAAAGTAATAATCTATATAAATTATTTATTATTAGCCATTCAATCCTATTTTAGGAGAAACCTTTTAAGGATATTTTGATAATTGTCCTATATATTGTGAATAAATAAGTCATCATCCTCCAATTTGTATAATTTAATATTATGGGCGAAAATATAAGTATTTATTTAATATATTATAATTAGAATCGATGCTCGTTTAGAATTAGTTGCGAATTTTCATTCTAATTCTGTTGTTGGTAGAAATGTTGGTGAAGTTAAAGTAATATTTGAAAACCCTGCTTAAGAAATCATTATTTTGTTAGCTCCAGGTTGTATTTATGGAACTACATTTGGTGATAAATCTATGGACTTTTTAGAAAAATAATTTTTATTTGATTTAGATAATAAATGGGTTATGGAATGTGCATTTAAACCAGAAAAAAAATATTGTTAATATTTTAATATTGAATATCTTCCATATTCAGATTATGTTGCAGGAGGTGTACTTGAAGTTACTGATTCGGCTATTGGTAGATATTTAAGAGAAGGTTATAGAAAATATAAAGGTTTAGATTTCAAAACTGAAGTTAAATCTATTAAAAGTATTATTAAAGGAGTTTGGAATCAAGAATTAAAAGTAATTATTATTCTAATCTAAGTTTGATAATTAAAGATTGATTTCTATTATGTATGATTTCCCAATCAAATTAGAATTAGCTTAATATCCATTACCATCAGATGCTAATTTTAGAATGGATGTTTTAATGTGGAAATTAAGAGATTTTGATTAAGCATAATAATGGAAAGAAAACCTTGAAATATTTCAAAGATAAGATCGAAAACTTAGAGAATCTTTGGGACCTAAAAAAAAAAGGAAATGAATTATTAAATAGGATAACCCTACTTTTTTTAATTCTATCAATTCATTTCTAATCAATTTATATATCATAATAAAATGTTAATTTTATTGTTTAAAAAAATAAAATAATTACATTTATCATATTTATAACATTATACAATAATAACTTCTTATGATCTTTTATTTTAAATAAATTAGCATTAAATCTTAGATAAAACAATATTAATTAATCATAAAAGCAATAATCATAATATAATAAAGAGAAATTTTAAAAAATATTTAATAAGAATTTAAAATTTTTTTAATATTTAAAAATAAAAATAACTAACTTCTTATTTATAAAATTCTAAATTTTATGAATAGTTAACTTCTAACTAAATAAAATTAAATAATTTCTTCAAATATTTAATAATTATTGATATAGAATTAATAAAGTATTATGAGGAATTTAATTTATGATTGTGAATATTTACATTTTTGTTTAATAAAATATATGTCTATAAAAAAGTAAAAAATTAGGTTTTAATTAGACACTTGATATAATTAGCATAATTGATTATTGAAGAAGAAGAGGAACCAGACTTTAACATTATTGTTCCATCAGTTATCAAATTAATATAAATTGAAATATCTCCAAATAAATAGCAACTTGCAGAATTGTAGCAACTTAGATATTTGATTGAAGATAAATAATACTTTTCTGCATATTAGATGAAGTAAGAGCTTTTGCTAAATTATTCAAATGATTAAGAGTATATAAATTATACCAAAGAAATTTTTGAGTTGATTGATGATGACATAGAAGAAATAAAAGAACTTACAAAATGGTTTGATTTATAGGGTATTCATGTAACTAATTTACCCAGATGGCTGGTCAATTTAACAATAAGATAGTAGAATGTAGATCAGATATTAATAATTGCCTAATTCTCCAAGAGTTATTGCTAGAATTGACACAGAAATAAAAATTCCATTAGATATATTTATTAGTCTGATATATGAGACAGAACTATATCCATAATGGTTTCCATTCTGCAAAGACTCTAAAACTATTTTATAACCAGATAAAGCAACAAAGATTCTACATATGCATTCATCACCACCTGTTATATCTGATAGAGAATTATGTGTAAAAGGATGGGGAGTAAACAATTTAGAATATGATGGAAGTGTTCTTATTTTAAGTCATTCAATTGATACGAGAACAAAATTATTAAAAAGATATGGGTAAATATTTTTAATTTATTTCTTTTGAGTATCTTTTCCTGAAGAACCAAAACATGTAAGAGCTGATCTAAATGTATTTTGTACAAAAGTGAGACCTATCTCATTTGATCATCATATAGTTAGTTTGGTTATTTGTATTGATTTGAAATTAAAATACATACCAGATTTCCTACCTAATTATATGCTAAGAAAATTTGCAGTAAATTATCTCAGAAATCTAGGGTGTAATGTTTGATAAATTGGTTTCTAATTCTAAAAAATATAAAGGATCACTTTGGGAAAAGAAAAAGAATGAAAGTCCAGAATTTTATGATTGGTTAAATCAGAAATTTAAGTAATATGAAGATAAATTGAAAAGATGATGATTTCTTTGTAAAAATTATAAATTTAATTGTAAATTAGATTAATTAAAAACAATATAAACAATATAAAAAGTTGATTAAAAATCATAACTCATCTTTAGATTTTTTATTCTTTTTCTTTCCTTTTCTCAATTCTTTCTCTAATTCTTTCTTTTTTTATCTTTCTTCCTCTAAAATTTCTTTTAAAATTTCTTCATCAAAATCAGATAGTCCTGATTATTAACTTGCTTCTTTTCTTTTTTGAAATATTTCTTCACAATTTTTTTCAATAATTTAAATAGAATTAATATTAATATTGCTAGATTATCCCTTGTATTATTTATCAATAAATTTACTGATTGAATCATAATCAAATCTTCCAATCAATTTAGAATAACTAAAATATTTAAAATATAAATACATCTTTTTACTACTAGAGTAAGCCACAAAATTAGGTAATGCATCATCAGAAATATCAAATTTTAATAATAATTCATCATGACATGAAGCATCAATGAAAACAAAAGATGCTTATTTAGCTCCATGAATATTCTTAATTTTGTCTAATACTTCTAATTAATGTTCCCATTTTGATAAAATATCATCATGTTTTACTTATTTATGTTCACCATTTAATAATGCAATATAACATAAAGTTTATCTTTTTTAACAAAATTCTTCAAATTATTCTTGATTAGTTATTTCTTAAACTTTTTTACTTGATGTCTTTTTAGATTCATCAAACTAAATATATAATATATTAATATACAGAATCTAAAAATGATTTGATTTCATCGTAACCATGTTTTCCTGTAAATAGCGCTTGTTTTACTTAATCAGACTTAAGTTCTTCATCTAATTCTTTCTTGTCCTTTACATCTCTAAAAATTATAGTTATTGCAGGTTGATTTGATATTTAAAATTATTCAATAACCTTTTTTGATGCATTTTTAAATGACAAAAATTTATATTTACCATAATATTCTTATAATTAACTTATAACTCTATATGTTAATCCAACTTATTGAGTTTAATAAAAATAAAGTACAACAATATTATTATCAGCAAGATATTAACTCAATTACATTTATAATGATTATTCATTTATATTTATAGTTTTATCATCAACTAATTCTTGAATATCTTTATTTATTTCATCTAATGAATATTCTTTTGTAAATGATATTTTAGATGCTCTTTTTTTTGCAGTATTACCAACTTAATAGAATTTAATACTAGGATAACTTTTAATTTGCAATTCTTTAGCTAATTCTTCATCTTCTTAAGTGTTAACTTAAAATTCATAATAATCAAATAAAGATTTATATTTTTTTATAGTTTCTTCCCAAGTTTTATGTGGAATATCTTTATAAACATGTACAAATGCTGGTTTATCATTTCTTAAAAGTTGTTTATTTAAAATATTTTGATCTAATTTAGTTGGTATAATTAAATTTTATTTTTCATTATTCTATTCTTAATCATCTTATTTTTATCTTCTATTTTTTCTTTCCTCTTATTTCTTAGATTATTCATTGATTTATTCATAAGGTATTCTATCTTTAGTAGCTAAACTTCTAACAAATTTCTTTATTGGTTTGAATAATAAATCACCATCAAATAATTCTCTATTATAAGTATTATCTCCATTATTTTCTAATCCAACTATTTATGGTAGATCTTTTATATCAAATTCATCTATTAAAGATTAGGTTTCTGGAGTTGCTACAATCTCTCCAAATTTTACTCTTTCATAATAATGTAAATTTAATGCTTTAAGCAAAGCAGATGTTTCTTTTCTCTTTGTAAAAAGAATAACTTTATTTAATTTCTGATCAGATGTCTCAAATTTTTTGAGTTCATCCATATTATTAATTCTAATCACGTGATTTGGAATAAATTTATATCCATACTATCCTAAACTTTAAGGATTAGCTTCTCCTTAAAATCTATGTTCTGTAGCTATCATTTTTTCTTTTGTATAAGGATTTATAGGTTGACTTGGAGGTTCAAAGAATGTAATTTATGGCAAATGTTATATCACATCTGGACTACAATATGGTAATTAATCACTTTATTTATATCAAATATCTACTTTGATTTTGGATCTTTATTTATTTCATCACAGTTTGTTCCATATACATTTATTATACCTTCTTAATCTTCAGCTACTTTTTCTATTAATGAAGCTGCTCTTTGACAATTTTCACATGAATCTGAATAAAAATAAACAAGTGAAACAAATTCTGATTCTAAAATATCTCTAAAATCTTATAATTTATTTGCATTCTTAATTAGATAAGAATTCTCAAATAATCCTACACTAAATGAACACAGAACAGCTAAGAAAATGATTTTCAACATAAATATTAATTAAATTCTAGAATAAATTATTTACGTGTAAAGAAATTTTATTTCATTCTTTTCATAAACATCTAAACTCTAAAGTCTAAAGTCTTTTGAAAAGGAAATTTTTTAAAATTAAATACAAATATATTATAAAGAAGAAAGAAATTATAATTAAATTATATTTTAATGTATTAAACAATTCTAGATGCAATAAAGACTGCATTAATAAAATTATCAATATTCCACTTCACCATTTATTCCAATTTTTCCGAAATGTAATAGTTTTATTAATGAAATTATATAGTATTTTAAGGAATTATTTTGTTTGAGCTAAATTTTAAAAATTAGATATAAAATGACAAAATATAAACAAAAAATATATGCAAATTTAATTAAACATAAAATTTTTCTAGAGACTTAAAATTGAAAGAGTTCTTATTAGATTTTTATAGTAACCGAAGAATTGAAATACTTTGGAGAATATAAATTCTTGTTTTGATTTAACATATTATAATTAGAAAAAAACTGATAATTAAAAGAGGAAAATGGGAAAAAGTTTAAGTATTATAAAAAAATTAAGGATAAGAAGGAATTCATGAGAGAGTGTGATTTAAAGAATTAAAATGATAGAGAAAAACTTTTATATTAGAAAATATGGATGAAAAACGTTACAACAATTTGGAGAAGTATCATAATGAAAATTAAAAAAAAATTAGAAATCATAAAGATGAGTAAGAAAAATAAATAAAAAATATTGAAGAAAAAATAATGTAAAAAATTATTATAAAAGTGAATTTCAATTTCCTTCTTCTATTGGTTAACCTCCTCTTCTAATCCACCTTATTCTTTTACCATCTTACCATTCTCCTTCTTTTTCAACTTTGGATGAACCTATATAGATTCCTTTACCATGTTATTTTCCATTAGACCATTCTCCTTTATAAACCTGAAAATCTTAGAAAATTCATACTCTACCATCAGGCCATTTAAATTCTCCATAACCATGTTTTTTATCATCTTTATATTAACCTTCATATCTTCTTCCATCTAACCATGTAAAAACCTATAAACATATTTATATTTAATATTACTCCTTTTCCATCCATTTTATTATTTTTCCATTCTCCAACATATTTTCTTCCATCTTCCCAACTATACTCTCCTTATCCTTAAATATTATTTTAAAAGAAATCTCCAACATAAATAGAACCATCAGCCCATTTAAATGTACCTCTTCCATCTTTTTTACCATTTTTATATTATCCTTCATAACTAGCACCATCAGGCCAAATTTCTTTTCCTTCTCCATTTTATCTATCATCTTCCCATTAACCTATATACTTAGCTCCATCCATATGAACATATTTTCCCTTAAATATATATAAATAATTACTTAACCATGTGCTTTATCATTTCTCCATTCTCCTTCATATATATCTCCATCTGAATGTATTAATCTTCCTTTTCCACATGCTACATTTTAATACCAATAACCCTCATATAATGAACCATCCTACCATATTTGTCTACCTCTACCATGTCTCTATCTAATTAATTTTTATATATTATAAATAATATACCCATTTTTCCATTAACCTATATAAACACTTCCATTCTCAAATTCATATGGCCCTAAATTAGGTAAATCCTTGTATTCTTCTTAATCTTAATCATATACAAAATCTTCCAATTTATCCAAAACCTTTCGTATTACAATTATATACTTATCGAGTTCGATCTGTCAGAAAATCAGGTATTTTATCTATTTTCTTAACTCTATCATTTGGAGCATGTTAATTAGCTCCAGCATTTTACTCTGGACCTTTTGTATATGAAGCTTCTTTTGCTGTCAATGATGATTTATCTTCTTATTATTGATGATTATGACTTTCCATTTTTTTAGGTTCACTACTTTATTTGATACAGTTATCTGAAATTTGTTCTGAACTCTTTTAACTTTCTTTAATTTTCTTTACCTCCTCTCTTGCTTTATGTCCTCGTATATGAGCTAAGAATTAATCTAATCTAAATAATTACCTTATATTTTTGTAGCTTTCTCCTTAACTAAATCTTCATCTAACTATTCATCCATTTTTTTATCTAGTTCCTATTATTGAGCACCTTATAAATTAATTTGTGTTTTTTGATCACCACACCATGCTTATTATCCACTACAACAACTACCCATAATCTGTTATGCTGTAATAAATATTAAAATTATATTAAATTATATAAATTATGCAACTAAATCATTATTATTTCTTCACTTTAACTTTATCGTCTAATTTTAAGATAAATTAAATAAATTTAATCTTTTGATTTAAATTAATCAAATCAAAAATCTCTTTATAATTAAATAACTTAAAACATAAAGAAAAAATAATTAAATCAAGATTGGATTATGGGTACTTCTCCACCTTTTCTAATCCATCTAACTCGCTTTCCATCAATCCATTCTCCTTCTTTCTCAACCTTTGATTTCCCAATATAAATTCCAATACCATGTTATTTCCCATTCTACCAATATCCTTTAAAAATCTTATATTTATTTCATTAATACCCTCCCATCTGGATAACATAATATCCCATATCCTTATTTTACACCATTAACATAATCTCCTTCATATCTCTTCCCATCATTCCAATAAAATGTCTATCATATATAATCAAATTAAATCACCCCTTTCCCATGCATCTTATTATTCTTGTACTAACCAACATATCTCTTTCCACCTACAATCTTATAATCTCCATGACCTTCAAATCTATTCTCTTAAAACTCTCCTTCATAAACTGAACCATCTGCCTCTCTTAATATTCCAATCCCATTCTTCTACCCATTCTTATAATTTCCTTCAAAAGTAGATCCATCTGGCCAATACTCCTAACCCTTACCATGCTATTTATCATTCTCCCATTATCCTATGTACTTTGCTCCATTCTAATGAATGTAAGTACCCTACTATTAATACTTTACAATGTTACAAAACCATGAACTTTATCATTTTTCCAATCTCCTTCATATATATCTCCTTGTGCCAATAATAATCTGCCTCTACCATGTTAACAATTATTCAACCAATAACCTTCATAATATGAACCATCTAACCAAAATTGTCTTCCTCTACCATGTTTTTAACTTTCATAATAAATAATTAATACCAATTATTCCATTGTCCTTCATATATGACATCACCTATCAACAATGCCTTTGAAAATGGATAATCTATGAATTATCCATCTTAATTAAAATTAAATGGATCCAATTTATCGAGAACCTTTTGATCTAAACATAATTTCATACACTTTTTATTTTTTCACTGTACTTTTAACTTATGTTAACTTCTTTTACATTAAACACAGGAATATGTTACTAACCATCCATGTTAAATTTTAAAACATTCTGCTTATTCTTTACATTCTCCTTTTAATTCGATCTATATTAATAAATAAAAGTTTCATCTGATGTTTATGCTAATGCCTTTGTTTATTATTTCTACATCTTCTTCCTTACTGCATAACCTCGATAATATTCTTATATTCATTCTATTTTAAACATACTCTATATTTATAATGCCTTTCTATTTAGAAGACTCAAATCTAATTTTGATGCATCTTAAAATGATAAATCGTAGGTTGCTATCTAAAAATTTGCATTTGTTAAGTTTTGACCTCCACAGCAATTACCCATAAATTTATATTATAAATATTAGTAAATTAATTAAGATGATAAATATTCAATAAGCACACCCTTTAATTGAAAGCCATTACATTTCTTTTCCTAGTCGATAGAATACAAAGTAAAAAGGAAAGACTAGTATTACTATTAACAATATCAATAATTCTGCTAATAAAAAATAAATGCATTTCAATAAACTATTAGTTAACTAACAACAAATACCAAAATTTGGGCTTATTTAATCTGCATATTTTTTTATTTAATCCTACTAAAGGTTTAACAATTGATTTGCCTGCTGCTTTTAAAGTTAATTTAACAATTAAAAGAGGACCTCTAAGAAAATACAGAAATAGACGAGGAACAAAGTAAATCTTTCTCATTTAATCAGGATTTTCAATTACCTTTGATGTTTTAAAACGACCATTAGACCAAACTTCTATAAAATCTTATTAATTACTTGCACATCCCTTTATCGACCAATATCTGTAATGATATTCATGATATTATTATAAGCAAACCCAACAAAATTAAAATTAACATTAAATACAGGTCATATGATTACACCCAGCATTTTTTTAAATATGTGATTTACATTTTGGACAATATTTTATTAAGTATTTTACAAGAGCTTATTTAAAATCACCTTAAATTGCATCCTAATATCATAATAAATAAAAACAACCTCACATAACATTCCTTAATGGGCAATTTGACCACAATTAAAACATACTAATAAACCACATTAACATTATATTAAATTTATTTTAGGATCTTTTTCAATAAAAAGATCACAATTTTTTCCTGGACACCATTTTTTATTTGGATCATTTTCTATTTCAAGTTTTCTCTTAAAAACCAAATATTATTTGAATTTTTAATCACTAACATTATCCTTTATAATTTCTTCAGTAAATGTATTTGTGCATCCAGCTTGTAGACATGGTATATTATTTATTTTTGCAATCTTAATTTTATCTTCTAAATATTCCTTGTAACAACTCCTTATAAAATTAAATTACTTAATTACTTACAAAATTAATGTTCACATTATAATAGCCTAACAATTTCCTCAAAACTTGAATTACAAATTGGACATTTAATATCTTCATCTTTTTATTCAATACTAACTTCTTAAATCTACATATTAACTGAAGATTTCCTCGAAATTTCACTTTATTATTATTATTATTATTCTTCATAATAATTTATTTTACCATTTGCATTGTTATTATTATCTTCATTCTCTTCAAAATAAATTAGTTCTACTTTCATTTCTTAATCTTATCCCTTTGGACTATTATTATTTGCTTGATTGATTATCTCAATTTTAACATCTTTGTTATCAATTGCTTCTTGTGAATCTTATCTCTTTGTATACTAGTTGTCTAATACAGCAACCATTTTTAAGTCTTTATTACTTGTTGAATCAATATTATTATTATGCTCAAATTAACTTTCCTTTATATCTTCTTGATAAGTCTAATCTTATTTTATTTTTTCCTCATCCTAATCCTAGTTTTGCATTTAAATCGCTATATGATCACATTAATCAGGTTCATGGTCAACCTCATTTTATTTATCTACAATTGTGTTTTATTTCTCATTTTACAATTATTGTTCATTTATACTTTATGGCTACAGTATTTCTTCTAAATTAATATCGCTTATTTAAGACATTCAAAGCACTAAATATGCTTAAATTTTTAATATTTATTTAATATTATATTATCAATAATTTAAAACAAAAATATTCCTTTTTCTGATCTTCTTTTAATAGGGATTAATTATTATTGACTTATTTATATTTCATAAGTCCTAATTAAATCTTTTAATCTAAATTTTCAACATTTTCACAACTTTATTTTAAAGTAAAATTTATTTCTATTTGACATGACTATCTAAATATTTAATACTTGATTATATAATATATTAAAAAAGAGCTAACAATTAAAATTATTCACCATAATCTTTTATATATAATTTTCCTAATCTTAAATTTGGTTTTTAAATTGTCATTTGGCTATCTAACAAATTTGTAATATATAATTCAATAAGACAATTTATTTTTTATTCTTTAAATACTAATTTAAACAAAATACAACATAATACTACATGATTGCTTAAAGTTTGACCAAATCATAAAACTTAATTTTTTTGTTTAACTAAACAATACTAATATTTTTATTAGATAATGTATTAAGTATTTTTACAAGCTCATTATTTTTGGAATGGTATGGATTAGCATTGATTCAATTGAATGAATTAGACAAAACTTAAAATTTTAATATTGCTTAGAAGAAAACTATAAGTTATAATTTTGGGAATGTTATAGCTTAAAGCTCAATTATATTCTTTACAGATTATTTTGTAAATAATTGGAATATTTGTAGAATGATAAGCAAATAATTAAAATTAAATTTCTTCTTACAAGATTATTATCATTATTCTTCATTGAAAAAATGTTACGATTGTAAAATTATAAATAATACTTGGATTTCCCTATAAAAATTGAAATTTAAAAATGCTTTAGAGATAGTTGAGTAGTTGAATGGAATCATATTACCTGTACATCAAAAGAAGATAATAGAATTGTCCTAAGCTTACGATATCTAAATCAAAATTTTTTGAGTTTATTAGCAACAATGATTACTTATGTTACAAAGAGGATACTATATTAGGATTAATTATTTTCAATATATCCAGGTTGAGCAAATAAGATTCATGATAGGGTTAGGGATTTTTACATTCTTTCGAAGAAAGGATCAAAAGAAAATGATATCCCATATTAAATAATAAATTAAACACTTTAAAAATTAAGGAGAATAATGATAGAATATGATTCTATATTATGTTTGAATAGTACTTAATATTAGTTTTTTTTTATCTAAATATTTAAAGAATTTAATTTATGGGCAATAAAGAAAAAAAGAAACAAAATTAATAGAGATATTTATAGTAGGAATATTCTATTTATGCTAAGTTTAAAGAAGAATTACATTTATTCAAAAAACTCAATATTAACAACCTTTCTCCAGAAGTCATATTGTATCTTTTTGAAAAACTACTTGCTGTTATAAAATAATGTTTTATAAGGTTAATTTAATTTTTATTCTGTCTCTTAATAAAAAGAGAAATCAAAATTTTTAAACAATTTTAGAATAAATAAATTAGACTTACCCACAAAAAACAAAATATATATATGTTAGGGGCACTAAAGATAGAGATTTATCAGATATACTTAAAAATTACTAAAAATAATAAATTATTTTTATATATGATTTTTAATAATTAATATGTTCAGAAATCTTAGATAATAGTATCAAAAAGATATTGATTTTCATTTTTTGGAACAATTTAATAAATCCTCAATTAATTTAAGATGCTAGAATCAGAATTTACCTTTAGTGATTAAAAATAGTTGTGTAAGATTAAAATAGCATCTAAATCTCAATTAACTGAACTATCTGAATGTAATGTTAAAATATCCTAGTTCTAAAAGTATTTATTTAGAGATATTTAGAATCAAATATTATAAAAGATCAAGAAGTTCTTAAACATCTTTGGAAGGGTTTCTGAATAAAAGAGATTAACAAATACTTCTATCTTTACCTTTTCATTCAATTAAAATGCATTAAATACAAGTGATTATGAAACTATGGAGAAGATATATCTTTCTTGTATTATTTTTACTGAGATATTAAAAGCAACGATAAGAACACTAAAAATTAATTCTTTAGAATAGATATCTTTAATTAGGCACTCCTAAGATCCACATTGATACAACAAAAAAAAGAAGAAGAAATGCTAACAGTTAATTTAAATTATCTACATTTGCTGAATATATTGATGCTCAAGATAAACAAGAATCTAAAACTAAAAGAACAGATGATGAAAAAGTTATGAAAAGCCCAGTATATTTGTCATTCAAATATAATGATGTTAGAACTTGCAGATTGCTGAGATTTCGTAATAATAGTATTCGTACTTCTAATCCTGATTCTCCATTTAAAATTAATCAAAAACTTGACAAAAAAAATAAATTACCTCCTTTATCTTAAATAGATAGAAGGATGCAAAGAGTTTATTCGAATTTCGGTAAGTGATATTTTTTGCATATATTGATCAATTCAATAACAAGGAAAAAATATTTCTTAACTTTTATTTCATTTTAATATATCTAGATTATTTATAATCAATTATATCTCAAATTAGACTAGTATTTAAATATTTCTCAAGACCCTTATAATAAATCGATTTTAAATTGGAGATTGCATCTTATTATAATGAATAAAATTTTTAATATTTAAGATCTTAATTCTTAATAAAGATCAAGATTTAAAAATTTAAATAACTTACTTTCCTTTATGGTGTTTTTAAAGTCTAACTTTGTTTATAAATAATTAAAATTAAGCTTTTAATTTATACATCTGTTGGACGATTGTTGTAAATATATTGTTATATTAATATTCAATTCTTGATCAGAATATTTTGAAAGACTTTTGAATAATTTGAATTAACTTCTTCATCTCTAGCCATTCCTTCAAAGTTCATACCATCTCTTCCAGTTTGCATCCTCAAAATCATTTAGGGCTTTGGTGGTTATTCAAATTATTTTTATCTTTTTTCTTATTTATCTTTATTTTATTGTTATTTTTCTTTTTAATTATCACTAGGTTCATTTTGTTTCTTATCTTGATCCATTATTAAAAAATATATTTAATACAAAAATTAAAAAAATTTAATCTACTTTTGAACTGAGATATTTAATGCGTGTATATAATTAATTTTATAAGGGGGGTGTGTAGTTTGATATAAATTTTATATTTATTAAAAATTTTCATTTTTTAGGATAGAATTAACTTTCCTAGCTAATCGATCGGCCCTATTGGTTAGAAATTTTTTGAAGAAGCTAATTAAATTTTCAAAATCAATTTAATAAATTAGCAGTTTAAAATAAAAATGCATAGAGATGTGTATATTATAATATTTATAATACATATTTAAATTTTATTAGTATTTTCTTAAATTAATTACAAAAATTTCAATAAATTTTAGAAGTTGAGAATTTTTCGTCTCAAATTTAAAAAAAATTGATTTATTTCTTTTTATTTCATATTTATTAATATTTTATGAATCTCAGTTCAAGAGTTTTGTATTTAATTTATTTTTCATCTCTCTATACTTTCAATATTTATTTTGCCTAACATTTCTACTAGTGCCTGTTATGAAAGCTTTATGCTTATTCTTCAAAATATTTTGTGGAATTTCAGCTCATTTTTTCTATACATTATTTCATTTATAGGTTTCTAAAAAGAGTTATCCATCAGTTCTATTTATTGTTTTAAATAATTTCTATTGATTAATTATTCTAATTTTAATATTAGTTTTTCTTAATCTTTTATATTTATTTCAATAAGGATTTTTAGAATTAGTTTTCGCCTCTCTATTA